TTATGATATTCAAACACTGGAATTCGTTCTGTGTGTGTGTGTGTGTGTGGGTGTCTACACATTTCACAATATTTTGAAACTATGAAACTTCATGTTTTTTGATTTATCGATGCCTGTCTGTGTAATATGCCATTAGGCGATTTGATTTTTTTTTTTTTTTTTTGAACATTGTCATTCTCAAATCATATATTGAGATACATATATTGATTGATTACCAGAATCATCATTTACATTAAATGCGTGTGGTTTTTTCTTTCATTCATTAAGCAGTTAGTTCATTTGATTATAAAAAAAAAGTTTCAGACACACCTTGTTTATTTTCATATAAAATGTAGTAGGATGCGCTAAATGTTGGCCACACACAAACAAAAAAAAAAAATAAATCTTAATCTTGGATTAAAGAAAACCAAAAAAAAAAAAAAAAAAAACAATCAAATCAAATGAAAAAAAATTGCTTGTTGTCTTTGATGATTATCAAAACAACAACAACGAAAATCTCATTTAGACGCCTCTCTCTCTCTCTCTATCTCTCGTAAATCTAATTTTGAACATTTTTTTTGTTCACTACAAATTAATTAATTAATTTTTCTTCATTATAAAGATTCATTTTTGTAACAAAATAGCTATAACATAGATGTGTGTAGTCCTGAGAAGAAGAAGAAGAAAAATTCAAAATTCATGATTCATGAAAACAATCAATATTAGATCAATGATAACAAATGAATGGCCAATAAATCACTAAATCTTATTTTTCTTTTTTGTTGAAGATAATGATGATGATGATTACCACGTTATTTATTTCGGATATCCAAAAAAAACCCATTCATTTTAAGTGTGTGTGTGTGGCGGAAAAAATGGTCAATATACAATAATGGATCTACAGCGATGAAAATCGCATTTTATAGCCTGTGTGTGTGTGTGTGTGTGGCTTATCCGTTTTATCTTGGATGTTTATCTTTCTTTTGATGATGATGATGCTTTAAATCTAAATAGATTTTTTTTTTTACCCCATTATCATTGGTGTGTTTGTCTTGTTATCAAAAAAATAATCAAATTTTTGATGATGATCATTATCATCTTTGTGGTTGGCCAGACAGATATCATACATTCGAGTGCCGAAAAAACAAAACAAAAATATGTTGTAATTGAAAAAAAATTGCTCACCCTCTTTTTTTCTGACCGCTAAAAATTGTTTTTTTTCTTAACAACCAACAACAACAACAACTGATGACCAATCGGGCTAATTCTTGCTATGAATGAAAATGATAAAAGAATTTATATCCAGAATGTTTACGTTGATTATTTAACACACCACAACCTACATATGTGGTAGATTTGTTTTTTTTTTGTTTTGGACACAAAAAACAAATTTTTTTCATTTAGGTCTCTCCTAGAAAATTATTTTTCCTTTTTTTTGATTGAGTTTTTTGCTATTCATTGGATTTTTTTTTTTGTTCATATTATTGCTCTGAGGAAAAGTCTTTGAAATTGAATTTTTTTCCACTTTGAAGGTATTTTCTCAGTTTCTAAATAATTTAGCAATTCTACATAGAGAATCGTTCAAAAAAAAAAATGCAAATATGTCAACCCTTTTGGCTGATTTTCGGTATTTTATTTTGTTAAGAAAAAAAATCATCATTATTCAATGAAAATGTTGTTCTCCACCAGCATGCAATAGCTCGATGATTATGATTATGATTACATGACAAGACATCGTTTGACAGGTTTTCAAATATTCTTTGATTATATCACCGGCGGCAACGGCTTTAATATTAATTTGTCTCTAGCCTGTTTTTTTTTATTTCATTCAATTTTGTTGTTATTTATTATGATTTGAAATTTTTGTTCCTCATTATTCACATTTGGTCTGTTGCTTGGGTGAATGTTTTTACAAACGAACACGACATTTGTTCAATTTTTTTAGTTGATAATTGAAAAAAGTTTCAAATCAAAAAAAGAATTATGATGTAAATGTAGTTTATATTCGTGTGTGTGTGTGTGTTTGAAATAAGAAAAAAATGCTTAAAATGGCTGAAATTCCATCATTTACACTCAACTGATTAGAATGCTGTTTACAGCGAAAAAAAAAGAAGAAAATAATTGATAAACTTGTCAATCAAAATTTATGACCAATATTTATTCATAATTTGATTGATTGATATGCGAATCAAATCAATGTAATCGGCAATGATTTGATTTTCTTCTTCATCTTGTTATCCAAGAGAAAAAAAAACACTCATGAATATCATTTGATCATGATTGACTGATTGATTGATCATGTGATATTGAAAAAAATCAAAACTTTTTTACCATTTTTTCTTGATTCTGATTCTCAATATATGGAATTTTTTTTTGTTCGTATTTCAATTTCATTTTTTTTCTTTTTCTAATTAAAGTAATTAAAATGAATAAATCATGTGATGATGGAAAATGAGAGAAATTTTTATTTTCTCGATAATTATAATTGCGATTCATTTCTCCATCAACTAATGCGTCCCATCTGAACGAATTGCTCTAAAACTGACAATCCAAAAAAAGACACGTATTAATTAGGCGATGAAGAATTTTATTATTCCAATTCTGGATTCATGTCTAAACTATGATGATGATTCACATGTGTATAATCATCATCATCATCATCATCATGATCCTGGAACACAACAACAACAGCAGCCTCACAAAATTCAAACTACACACACACTACCAGACATGAATAGATTACATTTTTTTTTGTTGTTGGAAAATTGCTTCTTTTCCATGTTGACCATATCGAATGTTGTGAATGGTGTGGGTATCCATTGAGCCATTTTTCATTCCAATCCATCAATGTCAAATTCTCGTTCTTTTTTTTCTCGTTTCATTTTAGTTTTGTGTTCTTTTTTTTCTAATATCTTCACTGACTGATATGGAACATTGTTGTTGTTGGTCTTGTGCCACGTTTTTAGTAAAAGCAAATTTTTTTTGCTTCTTCTATCACTAGCACGATGTATTCTCATTCATTTATTCATTCATAGTCAATGGAAGACCAGCATAAAACAAAATCAATGCACATGAATGAATAACACAAAGAATTTAGAACCAAAAATTCTATATTTAAATTTTTTGCATATACAACCATTATAATAATATGATTTCAAATGTTTTTTCATCATCATCATCATGATTATAATGAAAGCCAATGGTTCATTTCATTTTCATTTCATTTTTATTTGATTGTGATTATGATGATGATGATGAAACCAACCAAGTGATCCATTTAAGCGAATGTTATTATAATTATATATGCTGCTGCTGCTGCTTTAGTTGCTTTAGTGTGTTGGTCTTGCTTGTATTGATGGATTTGTCATCTATACGAATCTGGAATACACTTTTGTATTCCAGTGAATGATTGATAAAATAATTTTTTCCCATTAATAATAGATACATACAATAAAAAAGAGAGTGAGAGATGAAAGTGGAGATATTAGTCGTCATTTTTTAAATGAAAACTATTCAATCATCTAGATTTTTGGTTGATTTTTCTGTTGATCGTATCATTTTGTAGAATGATTGAAAAAAGTTGACATTCAAAGTCCTGCTTATTATCCTGATGATGATCCAGAATATCTAATCAACTCTATGTCTTGTGGGTGATTCAAGGCATACACTTGTATGACAACAAAAACCATTTGAATGAATCATCTATTCGTATTGGAATGAATGAATTCACATTCTGACTGACTTTATCATCATCATCATCATTACAACCGCTCACCTTGATTGACTTTCTACAGATGTGATGTAAAGTCTTAAAGTCTATAAAGTATTATCATTATCATTGAAAAAAAATTGATTGCATGAATATTTTTTGATTGATTATAATAACATTATTAATCTGCGAAATGAATCATGTTTTCATGTTGATTAAAATTGGAAAAAAAACCTAAATTTCAGTACCAAATGTTGAAAGTGATCAAATTTTTTTTATGGCTTGTTTTTCAGAGATTTCATTAGAAAAGCAGAAATTTCTCTGTCTTTTTTTTCTCGTTGCTGTTAATGATTTTCAACAGCGCGATTGATTCATTCATTCATTCATGTCAATCGGATTATTTTTTTTTCGTTTTGTTTTTATTAAGCATCTTTTAGCCAGTATTTTTGTTTCTCAAAAGATAAATTAACACATCACCTTCATCATTCGATGATATAGACTTTTATTTTGTTTGAAACGAAAATTTTCATCAATTATTATCGTTGAACGGTTTTTTGGCCCGTGAATTGTGTTCTGATAATAATAACAATAATCGTAACACACGCAAATCGCCAACGCCAATGTTCACACACACGCATTTCTTTTTTCACCTGTCATCAACTTAATTCCGAAATTAATGTTTTCTTTGTCTTTGATTTTTTTTTCGTTATTTCTTTCATTTGAAAAAACCTTGTCTTTATTTGAAAAATTCATTTCAAATGTTTCATTTGTCATATAATTTGTAATCGGTCATTTTGTTTGGTTAATTTATTTTTTGAATTACATCATCCCATGACAAAAAAAAAATTTCAAAATTGCAGAGCTACTGACGCCATCTGCAGGACTAATTGAGAAGTTTCTCGAAAAAAATTCGAAATTTTTTTTTTAGAATTTTTCCAATCATTTAAAAATGGTTTCGAATGTGAATAATCAAAATCTTTCAAATAATAATCGTATTGAAAATGTCTGCAAATTGTAATCGTATAGAAGATCCAGAAGTGTATTCGCTTTTGAATGATGTTACCAAACGAATCGATCATATTCGACAATTGTTGGAAATGAAAAAACTTGATGCTTCAGATCGATTCAAATGTTATGTCGCCAATCTAATCGATAATTTGGAATTTCAAATTAATGATGGATCGCTTGTGGTCCATGATGATGCAGAAGAATCGAAACTATCCAATCATTAATGGAAAATGTTCCAATTTTTATTTAAATTGATTCTTACCAAATGAAAAAACGTTTACAATAAAATTAAAATATTTTGAAAAAAATCTAACATATTGAAAATGAGCGAAAATTATCAAAATTCTAAAAAAAAAATTCAATTTCTGAACAGCAGCACTGTGTTATGTGTTAATGTTTACGTGGATTATTATTTTGATCTTTACCACTGGATTTATTTTTTCGTGAAAATATATTCCTCAATGATGACGATGATGGTGATGAACTAGTTCTTGGATGAAATTTTGTATTCTTCCGTAATAATGACGGATTTATGCCATAAATTTCATTATTATCATTGATGGCATTATCGATGTTGTTGTTATTGATGGAACCACGACCATGATTATTCATTTGTGCAGGAATCATCGATGGTGGCGGTGGTGGTGGCGGTATCATTGTAATTGGATCAAATATTGTTGAACGAAAAACATCATTATGATTCGGATAGAATGAATTCATATTCAATGATGATGATGATGATGATGGTTGTTGATTGTTCCATAATTTTTTTGCAATCATTGCTTTACGAACAATTGGTGGTTGATTTGTACGTGGCATCATCGGATAACGTTGATTTGAATGTTGTTGTTGTTGTTGATTATTATTATAAAATTTTGGTACATGTGCACTTAATCCATAAAAATATGGATCATCATCTATGTATGGGATATAAATATTTCAATCATCATCAAATAATTTAATTTTTTTTGTTATTATAGAAAATTACCTAGATTTGACGAAAGAGGTCTCTGCTGTTGTTGTTGTTGTTGTTTTATCATTATCACATTATTATTATTATTATTATTATCATCTTCATAATCCGGTTCCGGTAATGTTAATGGTGGATTTTTATTATTTAAATCACGTGGTGGTAGCTTTGGTGGTAATAATGAATTTGATTGATGGTGATTATTATTATTATTATAATGAAAATGATAATGGCCATTTTGGAATTTCGATGACGATGAAATTGTTATTGGTAATGAATAGAAATTATCTTCTGTTGAAAGAAAAAATTAGCATAATTATCGTTATGAAAAAAAACCAACTGATAACAAACCAGCAATTCTGTTGATTGATGATGATGATGATGGTGGTAATAATTTCATCAACATTTCCAATGCAACCAGATTTATCAATATACACCATACAGGTGTATTTAGCAACAATTCATCCGTATTGATCGATACAAACGATATGAAACAGAAACATTTCTGTTCTAACAGACGTGTATTTGGTGTTGATAATCGAAATTCATTCAATAGATCATTATGATATTGTTTCATATCAAACAATTGTATCGATTTTCGTTGTTCAATTTTTTCAATAATCATATTATCCATTTTATCGAAATGAATCAAAAACACATCAGCATCGGTTATACGTTTCACCAAAAGATTACCATTTTCATCCATACGTATTTTAATACCATCATTAATTTGATTTTTAATTTCAAAACATTTTCTATCACGCATTGGATTTTTGAAACCATTCAAACCAATACGATGACCATCGAATCCAATGTTAAAACCATTAATGGTCAATATTGGTGTACGTGCATATGCTTTAGCCACACGACGATTACGTTCCATACAGATAACTTTGGCCCATATTTCATCATCGATTTGATCCCATTTCGTAATGATTTCATCGACATGATCCTGTTTTTTGTTCGGTGGGTGATAGAAAAGGAATTTGTATTAATTAATTGAAATCAAATGATGAAATTATCCATTTCATTTTTATTTGTCATTTACAAAAAATTGTATTGTTTATTAACGTGTGGATTTTGATAATTGACAAAAGAAAATAAGACGAAAACAAAACAAAAAAACAAACCAACGCCCCGTTTATGACCACTTGTTGTGCAAATATGAATATATGATATTTCAAAACAACAATCAATCGAATATGCAACAAATCCGGATCGATAATTGATCGATTTGAATTTTTTTTGATACATAATCAATATATGAACGAATGATAAAATCACAAATTGTGTGTTTGAGGGAAAAGTCCTGAATCTAGATGACAATGTTCAACAGCAAGCAACCATTGAATCAATCGATTTCGTTTGTGTGTGTGTACAATTTTTATTATCCTAATCCAAATGAAAGAGAAACCTTGAATGTTTTTTTTCATTTCGCTAAAATTTGAAATGGATACATTTCCATCCATTGTTGTAATCCATCAAATCTAATTCTAAATTTTTTTTTTCCACCACTCTGTGAAAATAAAAGTGAAAATGAAAATGAAATCCGTTTTTTCTTTCTTTCTCTCAAGATGATTGGTTTTGTTTTGTTTTTTTTATTGTTTGAATCGATGACAATTTATGGTATCAAAATCATAATGATGATGATGATGTAATTTCTACAAAAACAACAACAACAACAACAACAATAATCCATGAATGATGATGACTTTTGATAATCAATCTATTTATTTTAATGATAATGATACATCACATATGATCCTTGATGATAAATTTGATTCATTTTTTTTGTATTACAAATTGAAATGATGAAATAAAAACCTAATGAACTTTTTTCGTTGTTGTTGTTGTTGATCTAAATGTGGAACCAACAGCCACAACAACAACAAATGATTGATCAGAAAAAAGGATTGTTTTTTTTGTTCAGTGTCAAAATCTGTATTATATTCATAGGCTTTATGAATAATAATAACAACAACAACAGCAAAGTCGATATTAAGGCAAAGTCATTTATTGTTTGTGTGATAAAGATGGTCAAATAATAACACATGGCGGTGTTTACTTTCAATTGTTCATAATTCGTAGACACAAATGGATCAAAACGCAATGAAAAAAAGCACATTTAACATTCATTGTGTGTGTGCGTATAATAATCTATTTGAAATTCAATCTAATCAATAAATCTATCGTATCGATATTTCGATCATTGAAATATAACAATCATTTATGAATCAAAATTATTATCTGTACATTATTCAGACCGTTGTGGTCTCAAATGGTATACAGAAAAAATAATGATAAAAAAACACAATGGTTATCATCATTGATATGATTGATGCATTAAGTCACACCTACGATCAATGAATGAATGAATGATCTGATGATGATGATGATGAAAAGTGTAAAAACAAAGATTTGAAAGGTGTAAATTTGGCAATTTTTCTTTTTTGGCTTGTTCATTGATAATGGATTTGAATATAGAATAGAATCAAAATGAATTCTATCTTTTTTTTCTCCTTTCCCGTTGTTGTTGTTGTTTGGTTGTTTTTTTTTTTTTGAAATTTAAAAAATAAATTCAAGGATTATTCAATTAATAATACCTTGTTTTTCATGGAATTCACATCACAACAATAAAGATGTAAATGACATGAAATCACGCTCAGTACTGTGTGTGTGTGTGTGATATACTTTGATTTTTTTTGGAAAAAAATTTGTTCCAGAAACAAATTAAATGTGAAATTTTTTTTTCTTTCATTCTTTTTTTTTTTTTTTTTGATTGATGATGACCCTGATTTTACAATTATACATTTTTGTTTGCAATAAATTTTTCATTCATTATTTCAACAACAACCGTGATGATGATGATAATGCGGGCCATTTTACAATGGTGAATATTCTCTCTCCTCTCTATCTCTCGTTTTTTCTCTGTTTCTTGTGGATCCTAGCCTTATGCATAAAATGATGGTTTCGAAATTCTTGGAATGAAAAATTTTATTTTGAATTTGAATTTTCAAATTTTTAAATTAACATTTGACACGGAACGAATGAATATAAAGATTTAGAGATTTAAAGATGTTATCGATCACACACACACACAGCATACACGATAATTATCGATTATCATTGAAAATCAAAATTGCCAAAATTTCTTCATTCTATCTAATTGCATATTTTAAATCAAATCTATCAAATGAATTAATTTTGATGTCGTTTTTTTTCAATTGATTTCCAGTAATTTTTTCTTTTTCGTTGATCAATCAATGAATGTCAAGGTCATCATCATAATTGATAATCGATAATTGATCAGTCGCGTCTACAATTTGATGATTTTCATTCACTGTCTTTCAACAGAGATGTATATTATTCAATCAGCAAAAAAAAAAAAAAAAAAAAATCTTTCAATCTAACATCAAACTTCTTTCTTTGATTGTTGCAAATAATTATCATTAATGGAGGCAATGGAAAAATTTTTTTCTGTTTTGTTTATTATTACGCCCAATGTGTACACATTGTCCATTTGATTTTTGATGTGTGAGCGTGAATGAAAATGTTTGAAATGGACAATGGTAGCGTTAAACTTGTAATTTTTTTTTCGCTATTATTATTGCTGCTGTAATTCAAACAAAAATTTCTCAAGTTTACACACACACACACACACACAAATGATCTCGTAATACTTATTTTGGATTGTTAAATTCAGCAAAAAAAAAAAAAAAAAAAATCAAATCAAATGGATTGTCCATTCAATTAGATTTATTGAATATAATCTTTGCCACTGTAATTTGATCGATTTTTGTTTTCTTCATTCAGATTAAATGTGAAAAGAAAATTTTCCATACCGATATAAGTTTGGTTTTATTGTACCAAACATCTTCATCTTGTTGTTGTTGTTGAGTGAAACTTGTATAATCATCCGATGTTGTTGTTGTGCTGCTATTATTCAATGCATCACGTGAACGGGATAAAATTCTTCGCCGGCTTATCATATTATTATTGTCCACTGAACTGGATGATGATGAACAAAGTGAATTTGGATCAGAACTAGAGAATTTTTGAAAAGAAAAAAAGAAAAATGGTTAAATTTTAAATTTTTTTCCGTTTGTAAAATGCGGAAGCTTATTGTTTAAGTTTTGTTTTCAAATCATTCATTTGTTCTTTTGTTTTTCAATTGTCAAATATCGATAATAATGTGATCGATAATAATCGTTAGGGTTTAATGGTGGTAAAAAACGAATTTTTTTTTACAAAAAAAAATTGGTTACCAATTAATCCATTGCTGCCAATTGTTTGTTTTATATTTGTGGATTATTAATCTCAATCACCAATCGAATAGGCAAATTATTTTGTCATCATCATCGAACATTGATTTGATTGATTGATGTTTTCGGCAATAATAATCTCCATTATGGTATGCATTATTAAAATTTCAGATTATGGATAAAAACACAATACAGGATAACAAACAAACAAACAAACGAACAAACAAAAAACCAAACCTTATCTGTTTTCATTACATTTATAGAAAAAAAATCGTTGATTCATTCATTCACATAAAAATTCATTCAAGCAGGAAAAAGTAATCAATTCACAATTGTCTCATTCAATGTTAATTGTTTTGATCGATCATAAGAAATAAGAAATGGTGATTTGATATTCATAACGAGTTTTTATTTGATTTTTTTTCTTCTTTTTCAATATGGAAAATTCAAATTTGAATGTTTGAAGATGGTTTCGTATAAATCAATGTAGACATTGTATTTAATGTAAATGACCCTTTAGAATCATTGAATTTTGTTGTTGTTGTTGTTGTTGATTAATTTAAAGTTTATCATAATCAACAAATAATGATGGCTCATAATCTATCCATCCATTATTCAAGGCTATTTTACATTCTTTTTTTTCCAATGACCCAATTGTAATTTATATTTTATATTTTCATTTAAATTTCAGTCTGTTTTACACATTGAATAAACTCTTTGATTCCGAGAATTTTTTTCTGTTGTTGTTGTTGTTGTTGAATTATGAAAAATCATTTCATGATCAAACATTTTGTCCGTTGGTAGTCTATAACATTTGTCAGTTGTTTTTTTTTGTTGAAAAAAAAATCTAAATACTTGACGTGGTTATTCACTTTTGACTGAAAAGTCAAGTTTAATAATACACATAAACACTGCAGCAACAACGGTCAAAACCATTGTCCATTTATTCAGATTGAATATTTAAATTTTTTTTTTTTTCGTTTTATCACATTAATTAGATCATTCAATATATTTAAATTTAATGTGAAAAACACGTGTTGATGAAAAATATTATTACGTTTTATGGTCATTATCATTATATCGATCAAATTGATTGATCTTTTGAATAAAATGATTGCTTTAATTGATGTGAACAACAACAACAACAACGAAAAGAGAAAAAAAACATCCAAATCTTCAACACTATTTTTCATAGCGAAAATATATAAATCATATCAAATTATGTGTGATGTGTGTGTGTGTGTGTTGATGATTGTTGTTCACATTCGGTAAACGATGTCCAGACCTATTTATCATTTTAGTTGATTGAACACAACAACGAAGGTTTTTTCTTTCTTTCAATCTTTTGGAAAAATTTTTCTTCATTTTTTGGATGTCATTCAAATTGAATTTGATTCGCCAATTATTCAATCGCAAAATGAAATTTAACTTTCTTTTCTCTTCAATAAAGCGAATCATTGAGTGGAAAAAAATGAAACTTTTTGAATGAGCCAGATTTATTCAAAAAAAAAAAAAAAAAAAAACTGACTGAATGCTGAATTGTGAATCAGTGAAACAGTGTTTTGATCTCATCATATGATTGGTGATGATTGAATCGAAAAAAAAACAAAAATCAATTATCACATCTATTGTGGAATGGCAAAGGAATGGATGCGTTTTAATTTGGATCAACAAAATGACCAAGTCGTGTGTGTAACTATGGTAGTAGTAGCAGCAGCAGCAGTAACTTGTTCAGTAAGTTCTAAACTTTCTGCATGCATGCATGCAAATGAATAACAAACAAACTGTGAAGAAAAAAAAAAAAAAAAATTGATGATCGAAAATGAATTGAAGCCAATTCTTTTTTTTTCTTTCAATTTCTTGGGCCACTTTTTTTACGCTAACAAAAACTAAAATTATACATACATACAGAGAAAAAATGAAACTGATTTTTTTTTAGAGTGAATGAATGAACTAAAACGCGCTCACACCTAAATCACATTGTCATGTTTTTTTTTCTCTCGTTGTATGTGCGTATTTTTTATAATATATTTAATTTGAAACTTGAACAACACAACGAATGTTCGTTTTCTTTTTTCATTTCATTTCATCCCCTAAATGAAAAGTTTTAACCTTCGACCATCCAAGCAAACAGCAACAACAATATCTATGGACAATGGCTATTTTCTGGAACAATTGCGATACAATTAAAATATGGCAAAGAAAAATTGAAAATTCTAGGTTAATCTCAATTCATTCATTCATTCATTTTTTTTGTTTTGTTTTGATTTTGATGTTTTTTTAATAAAAACGCAGAAAATCAGCAATTTTTATGGCGCTCAATTTTAAAAATTTTAATCACAAAATTGGTGACAATCACAAATTTTTCTACATCAATCAGATGTATTGATTTTGATGATAAAATGATGGAAAACTTGGATTAAAAGTGTAAAGTTTCTAGTTTATTCGATAAAGATGTTACGGTGACAAAATGTGATTCTTATCAATGATAATCAATTGATGCCATCTTTGTGTAATTTAAAATTGTACAGAGAAAAAAAACATGATGATGATGATGTGGCTATATGGTGGTCATAATCATCATATGAAATGAAATGAAATGAAAAAAAATTATTTCAATTTTAAGCATATAATATTGATGATGATGATGATCGTAAACATCATCATGATAATGGTCAAATTTAAATGATACAAAAAAATCCGATTATATGGATTAGATTTGTTTAACCTTGGTTATAGATTGAAATCAAGTGAAAGATTTGTATCAAAGTTGAAATATATAATTTATTTTCCGTGTAATAATCATTTTATTATATTTGATTCGATTTGCTTACGATGCGTTGATATTGTGGTCAAACACACATTCATGTGACCAATGTGAAAAAAAAACATTTGACATTTTTTTTTCTTCCATTTTCACACCATCATCATTGTTATTGTTTATGAATTTTGAATTTTTGTTTTCTATTGTTCTACATTCACAAACACCACACACGCATTCATTTTAATCTGTTTTTTTTTTTGATTTTAGCATCTCATTATTCATTGAATTGTTTTGGGGCATTAGAATGCAATATATGCAAATGCAAATTGAAAGGTTTTTTTTTATTTGGCAAATGATGAATAATCCTTTCATGTTTTTTTTCTCATTTAAATGATGATGATGATGATTACCTTGATGAGACACCTCGTAAAATAACAAAAACAAAAAAAAAAGATTAATATATCAGAAAACAATTATCCAAATTTCCAAATTAAGACATAATTATAAACATTGAATGGATATTTTTGTGTGTGTGTGTGTGTGTGTGTGTGTATGAGTAGGTTGTTCTTTAATTTCAGTGTCAAAGGTTGGCAAAGAAATTAATTATGATATATATCTTTGTGTATCTGTAATTGTTTCTTGTTCTGTATTTTTTTCGCATCTTCAAAATGATTAGCCCTTAAATAGCTACAAAAATCAAACACTACTTTATTATTCATCATCATCATCAATAGCAACGTATATGTAGAGAGAAAATTATCATTTATCTCACTTCAAGTTCAACGTAAAAAATTATTCAAAATTATTCAAATTATTGAAGGATTGATCAATGATACGGATGATCAGTATCATCATGGGAAAAAAAATCAAACAACCAAGCACGACATTTTTTTCCATGTCACGAACATTGTGATTAATGCAAAAAACAAAAACGGTAACGTAACAATAAAAAAAACGGATTAAAAATTCACAAAATTGCCACATCAAATATTAAAAGTCGCACGCAGTGGAAGCAAATTAAAGTGAAAACCATTTTTTTCATCATTCCTTTAACATTTAGTGTATGTGGGAAACTCATCTTTTATGATGATAATCATGGATGATCTGAATGTCATTCAAATTCATCCAATTTAAATTTCTTCCAACTAATTTTCTGATTAATAATTTGTACACAACATTTGCACGATAAAAAATCATGTTTTTCGTTTTATTTTGATTGCTGACAAATTTTTTTTTTTGATGATTGAATAGAATTCCGAGGTGTGAAATTCAATTCCTTTACAATCGATGATTATGATCACAGAAAAAGACTGCGAATAAGCTTTATTCATTGATAATGTTATCACCATTGTGAATGGTATCAATGATAAGATTTTTTTTATTGTTGATCATTATCGGAAAAAGGAAATGAATCTCAATCGAATCATCAATCAATAAAAATAATCGATCAGAAATTTTCCAGATACTTGTTGACACATACTCAATGGTCTTCCAAACTGCCGGTGCTGGAAAAATAGACAACTGTTTGATCAACTCGATCATTGATCTTTTTTTTCTTGAAATCAACGTATGTTTGTCGATATACAAGATAATTAACCGAAAAAAAATGTTACTGGAAATTGTAAATCAAAATCTTTTGATAAAAATCAATCGATCGATCTATCAATTTGATTTGGCAATAAAAAAAAAATAAAAAATGAACAAAGTTCAAACAACAATCATCGATTGTTGTAAAGTAAAGTAATTAACAAACAGAAATAAATAAAAACAATCGATACAAAATCATCGATTATTATTATTATTATTGCTCACCTGGTATCTGAACTGGTATTGAAACTATCTTGGCTATCATAGCTGATTTTCACTTTTGTACGGCCACTATTTGGAACTAAATTATTATTATTATTGATGGCCAACAATGAAATCATACTGGTCGAATGAATTTTACGTAATTTTTTGGCATCTTTTTTATTATTATTTCCATTTCCTTTGCTGTTGTTGTTGTTGTTATTGTTGTTGTTGACATTGATAATTGATTGATCAGTTGATAGTTGTTGTGGTTTAAATAATTTATTTGCATTACTATATAACGATAGATTTGGATTGATAATAGTTCTGTTATTGATTGAATCATGGTTGTTGTTCATTGAATTATTGTTGTGGTTGTTGTTAATATTGTTGGCCGCACGCAATACACTGGGTCCATCACATTTTTTTGATGGTGGTCGACTTGGAAATAGATTCCGTTGTATGAGTGGCATTATTTTTTTTTGGTTATTTCAAAGGAAACGGAAACAAATTTTCGATGCAATCAAAACCTCATATTTTTTTTTGTTGACATTCACTGAATTTGATGAATTTTTTTTTGTTGTTGTTCGTTTATTAAATTCTAGAAAAACAGCCACATATTTGTTAAACACATTCGCACACAACGACTACGATATATCAATGTCGATTGATTTCTATGAACACGTACTGACAACTGTAACACACACACACACACACGCAAGCAAATCAGATTGAGACATGAAAATTCCAATCACCACTCATACACTCATACACACATGTTCTTAGGAAAGAAAAAAAAATTTTTTCTTCTTAAAAATTACTTTTCTCTCTTTTTATTCCCCCCTCTCTTTAATTCATTTTATATTTTAGTGTATTTAGAGAGAACTGGAATGAGAGATAGATTTGTTTTAAATTCAAAAAAAAAGAGAGAGATAGATTGAAAATGAACAACAACAAAACACACAAGTACGAAAAAAAACGAATGAATGAATTACATTGACAAATCAATATCAGGAACAAAACTACAGTGTTAAACTTTCTATAATACTATTCTTATATATACGTGTGCAGGCAAATCATTGAATCGATTTTAAAGGTGGTTCATTTTTTTTCATCTATCTCTCTTTTTATTATTCCAAATTCATTATGATCATTTGTTGTTACCACTTTCACATATGATATTGAAATTAATGATTTCGTTTTTTTCCTTTACAATTCCAAATTGGATTCATAGAGATTATATTTGTTTGATTTGTTGCAGTCCAAATACAATTTGGAAAGAAAGGGGCAATTTTCTGTGGATGTGAAATGAATAATTTTCATCCGATCTGCGCATGTGTGTGTGTATGAATTGGATTTTTGAATTTTTAATCAATTGAAAATGATGAAAATCGATCAAATCAATGTATGTAGTGATAGATTGATTATCAATCAATCAAAATTGACGAAAAAAAAGAATCAATTTACAACATACGGAAACATGTGTTTTTTGTTGTTGCTGTTGTTGTTGTTTCGACTTGTTGAACACCAGAAAATAAAACAACAATAATCATTGGTCCGTAAGATTTATTTTATTTATATTTATTGATTTCAATCTCAATCATACAGTGACAAACAAACAAGCAAAACAAAACAAAACAACATGGTTCGACATTTTGTTCCAGATTTTTTTATTGTTGAATAAATTTAAAATGAAAGAATGAAAAAATTAAAATCGTAATAATAAGTAAATGATTTTTCATTATTCGTCTTTGTCATTGTGGTGGTGGTGGTGGTGGCGGTGATGATGATGTCCTGGTGCCAAAGTGTTGTTGTTTTTGTTTGTTTTTGTTGTTGTTGTTGTTATTTGATTATCGGTGACGCCCAATCAATCGATTCGATAGATTTTTGGAATTTTTTTTCTGTCTGTCACATATATTGTTTTTTTGTGATCCAATTGGTGGTGCGCCAATTGGTATGTTGTGTGTGTGTGTGTGTGTGTGTGTGTAAGGTCGTCGAGCGACAAGAAGATTGGATTTAACAATTTTTTCTGTTTTATTTTGTTTCTGGAACAGACAATAAACGCACACACACACACACACACATCAAACTTTTACATTTATTACATGGTACATGTTTTATATCATTGTTTTTTTTCCCCATCAATTGTATGATCCACTGATGAGGATTGTGTAATAATGAAAACGAATCATTTAAATAGTAATGAAATCTATTATTAATTTTGAACTTTCAATCGTTTAATAATGATTTTTATTTTGCTACAAATTTATTATTTGTCTTGATACACATTTTGACACCAATTAACGATTCAACAACAAGTGAACAAAAGTATTTGAAATCAATCGATTGATCGATCGATCAAGTATGAAGTAATTTGATCGTTAATATGTCTGTTTGTTTGCTTAATCTAGTACTTGTGTTGAAAAAAAGTTATTTTTAAAACAGAAAAAAAAATTCAATGTCCATGTCCGGAGCAAATTTATTCATCATCATCATTATTAAAACGGTTTTTAAATTGTTTCACAAATATTGATTGGGTGTGTGTGTGTGTGCATGTGTATGTAGGGGGCATATCTAGCTCAATTAGCTTCATAGTGACACATTTATATATGGCGGTTGTGGTGGTGGTGGTGGCGGTGCTGGAAATTTTTTTCCATTCTTGATCAATCAATTTATTGATTGATTGATTGATATTTTATTTTCAATCGCAACAGAAAAACAATGTGAATAATTAGCTTTTTTTTTCTTTGGCTAAAAACAAATAGTAAAAGTATATTCGAGGCGTTGTCCATATACCAATCTGTAATGAAGAACAAAAAAAAATAGATTTTCCAATTATATTTAATGTAATTCTTCTAGATTGAGAAAAAACTCATTTACACAAATACATTGAATTGCCATTATTATTATCATTTCATGGCTATGATGATGTAATGTTTTTTTTTAAATTTTTAAGTAGTAAAAAATAGGAAAAACAAACAATAAATATCGATATCACTTATTGATTGATTTTTTTTGTTGTTGTTGTTGTTGTTCATTTTTTCAATCATTAATTCCATTTCCTATGACAATGTGAATCAGAATGTTGAAAAATGAAATGAATGAGTGTGTTTGTGACCATGTCATAGATATCAAAAATGGAAAAATTATTCATTCAATTTTTTTTTTTTTTTTTGAAGGAAGAAAAAATTTAATTTAATTTTTTGTTGTTGTTGACAAAAAACAGATTTCTGGCACTTTTAAAACCTGATCAAGAAACAAACCATTGGTTTTTACATTGACCACAATCATCACATTATTATAGAAGACAGATAGAAAAACATTTGCATTTCACCTTGCTGTCTGTGTTTTGGATGGTTCAATGATTCGAATTTTTTTTCATTTCAAAGTACTGCCATCTTTTAACAGACCAAAGAACTATATTTCAATTTCACCAATTTTTTTTCAATAATCATTGAAAAAATCATTTTTTTTCACTTTGTTTTTATTTTATTTTATTTATTATCAGACAGATGATTCACAAATGAACTCATTGGAAATGAAAATAAGTAAAACAAAAATGAATACAGCAATAAGATTGATGATAAAAGAAAAATTTAAATTCAACATGATGACATTTATCTATGATGATTGTGTTTGGATGCCAAACATTTATATGGAGCTTGTGAAAATAAAAAATGAATGTGAATGACAATCAAAAAAGCATTCAAGATGAATATCAAGATCATCCATTTGAAATGTGAATCGTGTGGTTGTATACAAAGAAAAAAAAGGAAATAAAAAAAAATTACATTGATGTGATCAAAATGAGATCTACACTTGTTCTCAACACAATGTCGACATAGGATACACAATAGCAAACAAAAATTTTTTTTTGTGGCCAAGTATAAAAAAATTTTCCGCTCAATTTTTTTCTTTTTCTTCTTCTTCTTGTTTCTTATCTTCAGATTGTGGAGATTGTGGTTTATTATTAACATTATCATCATCCATATCGACATCCATCGACTCATCGATCTCATCATCATCATCATCATCATTCATACCAGTATCCTCTTCAGTAATTTTTTCAAATGGTAAATCTTCATTATTTTCATTGATTCCATCATCATCTACATCTTGTTCAGGCTCATCATCATCATCATCTTTTTGTTGTTGTTGTCGATTCGGATTAACAATTGATTCGAACAATTCAGGATCTTGTTCACGTATTGTTTGTACTTGTTTTTTATAGAAATCAAATACAAATTGTACCATTTTAGGCATATCATCAATGATAATAGTTTCTTTTTTCATCGAATCATTACGTATGATTGAAAATCTTTTTGAATAATTTTCATTCGGTATCAATTGTAATTGATTCGGATATTTACTTAACAAAGCAAATGTTTGTTGTAATTCCAGACATGATGTAAATAGATTTTGACGACAAAATACATAAAATCCAAGACGAGCACGAGACATTGCCACTATTAAACGACGAACATCTCTAATATGGCCAACAGTTTTTGTTCGTACCAATGATAAAAGAATATAATCATTCTGTTGTCCTTGAAATTTATCAACAGTGGTCACTTTATTCGGCCTTCCAATGAATGGATTTTTGGCACAACGTTGTTCAACAACATCACGTATAAGATGTTTTTGTCCATTATATGTGGTCAATATTGTAATCTTATCCGATGGATATCCTAATAAACGCATATACATGAATGTTGCCACAACAAATTCAGCTTCAGCTAAATTCTAAATAATGAAAAACAATCAATATAATCCAATTGAAATATTTTCAAAATCAATCGACATACCTGATAAAAGTATGGTAATGGTTCAGATTCGCCAATATTATTGAAATCTTCCACATTAATCAATTGATATTCATTGAGAAAACCTAATGGAAAAAATTGTTAAATGACAAACAAAATCCACACACAAAAAACAACTTACCTGGATTTGGAAATTGATATTCCGGTAATTCATTGATATGTTTGAGATCTTTAAGATTTTTATATTTCCAACTGTATAGTCGACATATTGATGGTCGTGCACGTCCTTGTGAATCCAAATAAATGGTTGGTACACCAAGCCTCACAAATCGGGCAAATAATGATTGTTCCATGTTGCTAAATTTTTGAAAACTAATATTTTTAATTACAGGTGGTAACTGTAAATGATCACCAATCATAATCCAACGTTTTAAACGATTATGACCAAGATCGGGATTTTGTAATAATAATGGTATGAATGTTTCAATCTCGAGTATTTGTGCCGCTTCTTCCATCATAACATTATCATATTGAAACATCAGATTTACTAATTCTTTACGTTTCAATGCTGCATGTGTACAGGTCATGGCAATAATTTTTGCTTCTCTTACCAAAAGGTAATTAGCACGATCACTACCTGAACGCATTATTTCAAATGCACGGAATTCATCCAATTGTGTGAAGATTTTTTTCAAATAACGAAAACAACCTTTTGCAATTTCGAAATCTTCTTCAAATGATTTGCCATGAAATAAACATTGAACATTGGAGAAAAATTTATGAAATGGAAATGTTTCTTCAATAATTTTTGCTGATCGATTATCATTAGTAGTTGAATCATTATGGCCTAATTTGGTTGGATCATTAATTTCGTATAGGAAAGCTTCCCATTTGGATAATACATGATAAAGATAGAAATAACGAGCCGTTTCACAAGTATATGCAACATCATCAGCAAGATCTAATGATTGGGCCAATTTTGCAACCATATCCAACAATTGCAAACGTTTCCCAAGTACATAATTAACACGACCATATCGGCTAAAATCTTTTTCCGTTTCCAATGTTTCTTCACCATGACCAAGTCGTAATAGATGTCTTTCATCAATATCGAGTGCCATTATTTTCTCAAACATAGCATTTAATGCTTGATTCGAATGTGTTACAATCAATGTCCGTTGTTCCGGATGATTATGATATAGATTATTGATAATCTGTACGGCTAGATCGGTTTTACCGGACCCAGGTGGTCCAACAACCATGGTTAAACCATGCTGAATTCCTGAACGAATAGCTTCAACTTGTGTGGATGTAAATCGTATACGATTCCATTTAGGCTGTTCTTCTACATATGGTCCACGACTTGGAATCTTGTATGGCAATACAGATATTTTCTTTGCTTCATCATCAATAGATAGCCTAAACGGTGGTGCAGCGTTGGTTGAATGAGAATCTTCTCCATTGACAGTGATTTGATATGATGGAAAACATTCATTAATATGATCATAATCCAGAAATGTATCGAAAAAATCTAATCGCTTAAATTGATTATTATTCGTAGCAATATTGGAATAATAAGCAGCATTTGGATCACCATAACCAAGAAGTATATCATGTAACCATTCTGGCACTACACATTTGATATTCATTAAATCACGTATTGTTTCCAATACAGCTTTAAAATTATTCTCTTTTGGTTTACGTCGTACCAAAATATTGAATGAATCATAAATATCATTGAATTTATTACTGTCTTGATTATCGATTTTAAACTGATTTGTATCGAGTAAAACACGATATGTACGATAATCGGTATCGAATTGTGGACGTTCACCAAGTGTTTCATCCACTAATCTTCCTTGTACATCGAGCATTCCTTCAATTTCACAACCACGTACATATGTAAGGCCAACTTGTGGAATGAATGGTTCATTGTAATTATATGGTGTTCCTGGTTTAGTTTCTGGCCGAACAGATATCAAAAAACAAACATCATGCTTACGAAGTGATTCCCATTCAGCTTTAATTGATTTTTTAACATTTAAATTGACTATAATTTCACCACGTACACGGCTTGGTTTATCTTCACCGATTCTGGCTGAGCCAATTTCAGTAATATGAAATGAATCAATAGGAATGGCCATTCGTGACCAACCGCCAAACATAACATCGCCATCTTCTGTTTTCCATGGTTTCAGATGTGCAACAGCATTTTCAATATCTTGACGTATTTCGTATGTTGATTCTAGACGAAATAGACGAAAATTTCTTAGCAGATAATCATGTAGAGTGAGGAATTGTATATTCAATTTAGGTAAAGCTAAACAATAATCGCCAGAATAATATTTAGATGGAACAAGATTCTCATCCCAAATAATTTCTTCACTTGGATATAATGGCATCTGGTTTAATGATTTCATTTGTGAATCATGCCGTTGATAACGATCAACCAATATTTCTAGCAATATATCTCTTCGAGTTAGATTATGAAAATAATTGCAAATCTTATCGATTTGTTCATTGTTATCTAAGCCGATTTCCAAATGATGACAAAGCGTGATCAATCGTTCTTCATTAATTAGTGAAAAATATTCCAATAATTTTTTTCGATTATCAATTGATGCTACACTGGCCAAGAATAGCGGTCGATATTCATCAATATCGGTGAATAATTTGAAAATTTTTTTCTGTAAATTGGTCAACTTTTCAAAATGTTGTGATGCAATCTGTGCATCAGTCAATGCTTCGCCAGTGACATCATCGATTTCGAATTTGACATAAAATCGTAATATATCCAATAATTGATTGAATAATCGACCTTCGTTTGGTCGTTTAGCCAACATTGATAATCGTGCCACAGTGATGACATGTAAATCATCGATGACAGCATTAAAAAATCGTCTTGTTGGTAATAATGATTCAATGTCGATCAAAAATTCCAAGAATCGTTCCGAATAACGTATTAAATCCATTTCTTGTCGATTTAGTTTCGGTTTAATTTCCACTGGCGGAATTTCATTTAGACATTTATAGAAATCATATATAAGATTATAGAGAAATTTTCTTTCAAACATTACTTGTTCACGTTCTTGTTCTGATAAACTTTGATCAGATTTTTCAATTTTTTTCCAAAATTTTTTCAATTTCGGCACTTTTTTGAATTCATATTCTAAACGAGCCGATGATAAACAGGACCAAATGGGCATTGAAATATATTTTTGTATCGAACATCGTATCAGTTCCACTTCGATACTGTTGAAACATCGAATCAAAAAAACCATCAAGGCAATCTTTTCTCGAGATGTTAGCGAGCATTCTGTATTGAGCATCAAACGAGCAGTATGTCGAAAAAATAGTGGAAAATGAGCGGGATTTTGTTCGAACGTTTGCCATGATCCAACACCTTCACGAAATTTTTGATTAACCATGGCAACAATCGACATGATTAATTCTTTACAATCACAATTTGATTCATCATATTCTGGCCATAATCGGTTTTCAAGATATTGATCAATTTCAAGTTTACTAACGATGGATGGTGAAAAAGATGATGCAGAAATCTGTTCAACATAAGTATGGCGAATTTGATCCAAAAAATTATCTGGAGTCATTTCGTTTCTAACGATAATAATTTATTTCAAATAATCAAAACAAATGAAAAAATACCAGCAAAATAAAGATTTGATTTTGAAAACATGTGTTCTCAAACTTCAAAAATATTTCAACGATGGTACCTGCAACATATGAATTGATCATACACGAACACATTGTCACACACTAATTTTTGGCGCAAAGTGAATCATACAAAGAGAAAAATCGATAAAAAATGAAACACGACGAATATCAATATCTTGATCTAATCAAACATGTCCTTGATAATGGTGCCGAAAAAAATGACCGTACAGGAACTGGTACATTTTCGGTGTTCGGTACACAAAGTCGTTATTCACTTCGTGATCAAACATTACCATTGATCACTACAAAACGTGTATTTTGGCGTGGTGTTGTCGAAGAGCTTCTATGGTTTCTACAAGGATCAACTGATTCGAAAAAGCTGTCCGAAAAAGGTGTAAAAATCTGGGATGCAAATGGATCACGAGAATTTCTCGATAGCCTTGGGTTTGCCGATCGTCAAGAAGGTGATCTAGGTCCAGTATATGGTTTTCAGTGGAGACATTTTGGTGCCGAATATCGAGACAAGAATTCCGATTATAATGCTCAAGGTGTTGATCAATTAAAACAGCTTATCCATACGATCAAAACAAATCCGAATGATCGTCGAATGATTATATCGGCTTGGAATCCAACAGGTATATTGTTATGTCATCAAATATAGTGTGACCATATTTTTTTATTCAATTCAGATCTTCCTAAAATGGCTTTACCACCTTGTCATTGTTTGGCTCAATTCTATGTTAATAATGGTGAACTTTCCTGTCAACTTTATCAACGATCGGGCGACATTGTAAGCCATTCATATGCATATTTTTTATTTTATTTTTTCTGACAAATTTTCATCACAGGGTCTTGGCGTTCCTTTCAACATTGCCAGCTATTCATTATTGACACATGTAATTGCCCATATTTGTGAATTAAAAACTGGTGAATTTATTCATACAATCGGTGATGCACATATCTACCGTGATCATGTTGATGCACTTCGTGAACAAGTAAGTTTTGACCAAATGTTTTGTCCATATGATTTATTTTTTTTTGTCATTTTTCACATATATAGCTGACACGAACACCGAAACCATTTCCAAAAATACAATTCAAACGTATAGTGAATGATATTGATGATTTTAAATTTGAAGACATTCAATTAATTGGCTATGATCCATATGCTGTAATCAAAATGAAAATGTCAGTTTAACCATGATTCATTGACCTTGTCCTCATCGAATGTTTTGAATCGTCAATGTTTCTTTTCACATATGTTTGTCACGCATTTAATTATGATAATCAAAATAAATTTTTTTTTTATATCAGTCCCTTTTTATTTCATTTCATTTTAATAATAATGATCATGATGATGATGATGATTTCAGATAAGATTTTTTTTATTTACTTTTTTCTTCTTCTATTTGTTCATTATCATTAATTTTCGCATAAGAAACGCGCACACACTCACATTACGATAAGCAAATCTTTGTGTTTATAACTCTAAACGTTCGAATTTCATTCCTCGATCAATCGGTCGGTTGGAAAACCAAACTAAATGGAATAAACTGCTTGCCAATTTTTTTTTTTTTTTTGAACAAAGATCTCATTCAATTATAATTATGAAATTGTTTTGTCCATCGTTATTTTTATTGAAATGATAATTCAAAATAAGATTGGCAATGCACATTCTATATACACACATACACACACACACACATTGACTGGTGATATGAATGAATAGTTTTATTTTTAGCTGTTTTTTTTTTGTTTTATTTTCGAATGATTGAATCAAATGTCATCTCATATTGCAATTGTTGATATGCAAAAACTCAACATTGAAAATTTTTTTCGTATATCAGTCCACCATGATTATATATTCATCACCATCATCGTCCATATAATCATCAAAGTGCAAAAAATCACCATAGAACAATTGATATATAAATCATTTGATTGATTCATCCAAGTTATTAATGTTCAAAAAAATTTTAAAAAACATTTTCTATGATGTTGATGAATGTATCAACAACATTGAATCATCTTTAGAATTGTCATCCTTTTTTAGTGTTTTGTTATTGTTTGCCAAGTGAAAACAAGAAAAAAATGTCATCCATAATGAAAGAAGATAAGAATGAGTCGAATAAGGTGGATACTGGTGAACAACAAATAAAACCATTTTCAATGATACCAGGACCATGGCCATCATTACCATTCATTGGTACTGGATGGTATAATTTATATTGTTCATTAAGTATGTTTATTATTTATGTTGTTGATTATTGATTATTTACTGTAATAACCATCATTTATTCATTCAATATATTCAGTTGGTCGTTATGATCTCAATAAATTACATGAAATTTATATTGAAAAATATCGTACATATGGTCCAATATTTCGCGAAGAATATCAAAGACATCGACCAATTGTTCATATATTTGATCCAGCTGATTTTGAAACAGTCTTCAAATATCAAGGACGTTGCCCGATACGACCACCAAGTGAATTTGTTTCATGTTTTCGCCGTTCACGTCCGGATCGTTATCCAAATGTTGGTCTAGCTAATCTTAATGGTGATGAATGGCTTGACCAACGTAATAAGCTTGCGCCTGCCATCATGAAATTGTCAACAATCAATGAAAATATGTTGAATCAAAATGAAATTTGCAATGATTTCATTGAATATCTTTCCAATATTAAAGATCCTGTAACAAATGTTGTAGATAATATTCAAGAAGCTACCTATCGATTAGCTCTTGAATCTATTTGTATGCTTTGTCTTGACACTAGAATTGGTGCATTTCAAACGACGACAACAACAAAGCAACAACAACAGCTACCAGAAACAACACCATCCGATGCTGAAATATTGATTGAATCAACAAAACTTTTATTCGATACATTCAACAAACTTTATTATGGTTATCCATGGTGGAAATTAATGAAAACAAGTGTTTACAGTGATTTAGAGCGAGCTGAATCAATGATTTATGATGTAGCATCAAAACACGTACAAAAAGCAATAGATGATCAATTGAATGGTATGAAATTAGCTCAATTTTCATAAAGACATTTTAAATGATTTAATCTCAATTTTTTTGCAGAAATATCCGATCGACAAACAGTGTTACAAACATTGTTAAAAACTGAACAATTGAGCAATGAAGAAATCAAATTGACAATCATTGATTTTATAATTGGAGGCATTTTCACTGTATCGAATACGTTTGCCTATCTATTCTATCATCTGGCTTCAAATCAGCCTGTACAAGATAAACTTTATACTGAAATTCAATCGGTTAAAGATGATAATGCCTTCACAGATGATTTTACACCCAAACATCTGGCTAAAATGCCCTACCTCAAAGCTTGTGTTCAAGAATGTTTCCGACTTAATTGTCCTGTTCCCGGTATAATGAGAATAACGATCAAACCCACAATATTATCAGGATATGAAATTCCAGCCAATGTAATATGATTAGTATTGTTTTTTTTCAATCCAAATAATCGATTTTTATTTGCTTTATTAATCCATTAGACAATTGTCTTTTCTCATCTAATGGCTACATGTCGTTTGCCAGACTATTTTCAAAATCCTGATCAATTTCTTCCAGAAAGATGGTTAGATCCAATAGAAAAAAGTACGATTCATCCATTTTCATTGTTACCATTCGGTTATGGTAATCGAATGTGTTTGGGCAAAAGATTTTCTGAATCAGAATTGTATTTATCTCTTGCCCGACTTATTCAAGCTTTTCAATTAAATTTAATCGATAGCCATGAACAACAACAACAACAATTGGAATTGAAACATGCATTCATTGTGATACCAGCTCATCCAATCTCTTTACAATTAACACCAAGATGATATTAAAACGACACAATGAACAAATTAATAATAATCAATGATCAATGATTTTAATTACTACAAAGAAATAAAAATTAAAACAAACAAACAAACATCATTAATACATTTTGTTGTAATTATTTTTTCCTTTTATTAACACCACTACCACCACCACCATGTTTAATATGGTCAACATGATTTTCATTATTGAAATTATTCACTTTTCTTGGTTTTTTATGTTTCATTGCCAATGTTGCTGTAATGGCATGTACGGCTGCACGAAAACGGACATTTTTCTTCGTTACAATATACCAGAATCTTCGTCCAAATATTTCAAGAATTTCAAATAATGATAGAAAACTGAAACCAACATACATTCCAAGAATACCGCCCAATGATGAGAATAATTTCGCCGTTGTATATGCCTTTTCCTGTCGTACTTCTTGGCAGGTCATTGTTTGAAAATATACGGTCACTTTAGCTAGATTCTGAAAATTCATATCCACTTTACCACGATCGAATGTAACACGATCCTCTCGGGTTGGCCATTTTGTCATTGAAACTGTTTTTTCATAATTAATTACCTGACAACGTGGTGGACATTTACATGTGCTAACTTTCTCTTCAGCTTGAAACATAACCTCTTCAACACAGTTTCTGGTTACTTTACGGCGAGTGTCACAGATTTTCAATGTAGAATTCAATTCCAATTGAGGTAATTGAGCACTTTGACATTGACAACGTGTATGAATGGTTCGTTGAAGACAAATTTTGAGGCATGCTTGCTGTGAATAGGATGCATTCTGTGTTAGCCGCCCAACTAATCCGGCTGGCCAATGATCAATACATTCTTCTGGGAATGGTTTCGGTAATCGACTTATGTTGACCATTTTCATTCCAATATAAGTGGATTGTTTAGGCGCAACAAATATGGCTTCCGAAGCAGCATTACCGATTTCATCGGGATGTTGTATCATAACAATAGCACCAATCTGTGCTGTACCAATAAGATATTCACTGATTTCAAGATTTAGTACCAATTCTAAACCATAATTAACGCCAGCAATAGATGTTTCATCTTTGATACGCTCCAGATTGGTTTTACGTAGATTTTGTGATTTGAAAGTAAAACAATTTCCTTCGGTTGGCGTGAAAAAATGTTCAAAACTATTTGCATGTGCACAATTCGTTGAACGTATCGTACAACGAAGCACTAAATCTTCGAATTGATGGCCAATTTGTTTGGAAATTTTTTCATTTGAATTATAAATAACAGCCAACCAATTGGTTAGATTTTCCTGCAGTTCTTTTTCTTCTCTTTCGGATAATTCAATGTTATCGAAATAGGCTGGTGGTTCTTTTGTTGTTGCTGATTGTTTTTGATTACCCGATTGATTATCCTGTGCATTGGTTGCATTGTTTTTATCATCAGTTGCTTTAACTTTTCGTTTTGGTCGATCCAATTGAATATCGATTGGTCCAGCAATATCATTAGGTATATCATCTGGTAATGGTTTTAATGTAGTCGTCGTAGTTGTCGTTGTCGTTATATTCCATTCAACATCACCGTCAACAGTATCGGTTTCATTAAGTGATGATGTATCATTAGTACCAGAATCACTAAAATTACTGGCTACACCATAAGTATTGATATCGTCCATTCCATCATTTGAATCTGAATTTGATGGTAATTGTGTTGTTGTCACCGTTGTTGTTCGTATTGATATTTTTGTCGATGTTTTAGGTGTTTTATTCGATGGACCTCGTGGTTTAGTTGTACGAGTAGTAGGTAAAACAGTTGTTGTCGGTTTTCCTGTTGTTACCGTCATTGGTGCTGGTGTTGTTGTTGGAATCATTGATAAATCAATGGATACCGGCGGTTGAATACCACATAATTTTTCACGTAAATCTCTCGGTATCATTGAATCTTTAATAACTGAAGAATTGTTCATACAAAGTGCAGAATAACGCACAATATTCATATTGCAAACAGTGACAGCCGGAAATTGTAAACGTCGACTATCACGTAATCGTACATCCACTGTAATTGGATATGTATAATATTCGGATACCAATTGCGATATATCACGTAAAGCAAGAAATCCAAAGAAAAAAAATGAACAAATCCAAAACATTCGTCGTACGAATGATTGTGATAATGCTATATCACGAACACCTGGTACTGATGATTCACCGAATAATCTTATTAGATTTGATGGTGGCATATAATCGAAACCATTTAGGCCAGAGGCACGCATTTTTCTACGATTATTATTACCACCATTATTGTTATGCAATGTTGATGGTCGTATCCGATACAATACACGATAAGGAAGATTTCTGGTAATCCTTGGAATTGGTTTCGAAGATGTTTGCTGTTGTTGTTGTTGTTGTTGTTCATCACCATCCTGATGATTGATACCACTATCTTTTGGATCATTTGATGAAGGCGGAAATTGAACACAATCTGTTCGATCATCATTACTATAACGAGTATTGAAATCAGTATTAAAATTTGTTCCAAATGTGAATGGATCCATTTCGGATCCTATTCGATCTGGTTCTGATTCCGATGGTTGTTGTTGCTGTTTACGCCAATGGCCATTTTTATTTTGTGTCGTCATTAACACTTGGCTAAAACCAGGTTTTTTTCTGGTGTGAATCGTGGCAGTTCTTGAATCGGTAACACGATATGATTTTCGTTGTTGTTGTTTTTCAACATTATTTAAACCATCATAGATCATCATTGTAGAATCACAAAGATCAGATGTAATTTTATCACGTTTAGACATGATGATGATGATGACCTGACAAAACAACAATGATGATCATCCATATTTTTCACATTGTTTTTAAGGCAATACTTACGTCAAAACTTTTTATTTGTTGCTGTTCTTGGATCACACAAATGGATCTATTTCGTGTGATGACCATTGTTGATGACCCAAAAAAAAATAAAACCAGAGAAAAAATATTTACTTAATAATCAAAATGACAGGTGATTCATTAAGCCATCAAATTTGGTTGGTCATTTTCGATTTTCAATTATCTTAATTGAAATAATAAATAGGGCGACCAAAAAAATACGTGTAATATCGATTGTCAACAATAATTGTCGCAATGTTTGTAAATTTCAAACATTGATCAATCATCGCGATTATTGAGAGAAAGAAAAAAATTCTATATGAGAGACATAATAATTCACGAATTAATTAATTAATTCATTGAATGACCACCAAATAAGAATATTTTTTTTTATTATTCATAAATTCCATTATCGTTTTTTCCAATATCCCACTGATCGATCGATGATGAAATGTTCAAAAAAAAAAATTGTTGATTTATCCATTAATGATCATCTGATCGAATGATGACTATTCATTTTTTTTATTATAATTGTGGGCTGTCATCGAATGTGTCTAATTAATGCAAGAAAGAAAAAAAAATGAAAACTTTCATGATTGCTCATCACCGGAATTTTTTCATATTTGTTGTGATTGCATTTGTTTTTCTGTTTGCCGTATATCATCATCACCAATCATGGATCAAGGACAATGTTTTCCAATTCAAATGGATAATTCTTCATCATTGATGACAAGTTATGGAAAAAACTTTCACAGATATGAATTTGGTAAGTCCCCAATTATAAAATATTTGATTAATAAGTGACATTCATTTGATTAGATTCACATTGATTACACACACACACACACACACAGAAATAATTAGCATTTCTTCATAATCATCTTTTTCTTTGTCTTCGAAATAGATATAGTATTCTTAATCCAATAGCTAATAAATCATCACTTTTCTCTGTTTGTTCATCATTTTAAAAATCTCCATTTTTTCTCTGTTTTGACAGATGTTTATAGACAGACATTCTCCTTTAACTTGAACTTCAATCAATGTCATTTCCATATTTCTGTTGGTTATTGAATATATCGAAATCGAATGTGTCCATGAAATAATGTCGATGAAAGCAACCAATAAGTCACGATGTTTTCATCATCATCATCATCATCATTACATTTGATATATCCGCGATTCGATACAGTATATGGCCGACGATTGACAGCCAGATTCTTATTTCATATTTCAACAGCATCATCATTATCAATTTTTTTTATTTGTTTACAATTGATCATCATCATCATCATCTAATCAAAATTGGTTGGTTACCTTCAATGTTTGTTTGATGAAAATTTAATAATTTTTTTTATTCATAGGATTCATTTTCATTTTTACGATGTTGATGATGATTTTGATGACACGACAAAGTTATCAGTATAATATGAAATTTTCAACAATTGTTTTTTTTTTTTTTTTGTTTTGTTTCATTTCTTCAATCATCATCGTCATCGTATGGATGTCATTGATCATGATAATGTGCGAATGAATCGATATGTATGGTGAATACTGTTGTTGATTTTCCGATTGTTTTGGACCAGTTGTCGACGATATAAACGATGATGATAAAGAAAGAAAGATGCTCATCAGCGTTCATTGTTTAACATTATTCGTTTCTGTTCGACGACCGGCATTCACTAGACACAAAGATCATTTGCCTAATTAGAAAATATATATTGAAATTACCAACCATCATGATGATGGTCAATGGTCTTTCCTGATGACTATCTTTATTGTTCCAATCATTTATGTTGGCCATCATTATATTGACTTTAGAAGGCAAAAAAAAGAAGAAGAAAAAATTTATTGATCCTGTAATGATGGGCCATTCAAATAGTTATCATTTTTTTGTTGTTATTTTGCAAATGACAATAAGTTAATGAGGGTTTTCGTTTTCGTTCGTTTGTTTTCTCTTGCCACATTATCATATCTCATATAATCATTGTTATCATTTGGGATCATAAAATAACACGCATTTCCATTGTCATATTGTTACAATCAAATGACCAAGTTCCAAAAACGACAATAATAATAATTCACACAATATACCCTGTGTGTGTGTGTGTGTGTGTATGTTGTCTATATTTGGACTTTTTGGAACTTTTGTTTTCTGAACCTTTATTTTCAAATTTTTTTAAATAAAAAATTTCCAATTAGCTAATTGGATACATTGGTTGTTCGGACACAAATGTTGAAAATCAATTCCAATAGTATCATTGTGTCGATAAGTAAATTTAGCAAAATTATCGATTTACCAAATTATTGTTGATAATAATTGGATTTCTTGGATTTGCATAATTGCATTTTTGTTTGAGAGATAAATATTCATGATTTTATGTTCAATCATGTGCAAAAAAAAACTTCAACAAAAACAAAAACAAAAAAAAACCTTTCGCGTAACGCTCAAGATCATCGTCTCTATTATTTCTTCAAACATTTTTTTTTAATTAATTTATAGTGATTCTCTAACACTAGTAAAAATAGAAAGCCATCAACAAGCCATTATTTTTGGTATCTTCTTGAATAATTTTCATTTTTATTTTCGGTAGATTATATGATGACGATCGATCGATGATATGACCGACCTTGATTGATGTCCGGATGCAGCTAATCATAATAAATAATAATAATTTTTAAATGCTGAATGATGATGTGCAATCGAATTGCGTTTTTTTTTCATTTATTTGCATTTTTGTTGTTTTTGTTGTTGTTTAACATCTCAGACATTAATCCCATCATCAGACTAGTGTGTCCATTAAACCTGGAAATCTCAAATATATTGATTCAATATACTAGAAAAAAAAGTATTGATCATCATCTTCGGGTTTTTTCTTTTTTTTCCATTGGAAAACCAAATAATTGATGATGATGATGATGATGAATCAAATATTTCCATACAGTATGGGTGCGGCTTACTTGTAATTTTTTTTCTGAATTGTCAATTATGTTAATCCAAAACCAAAAAAAAAAAAAATCCAAAATTCAAATGATGATCAAACCTGAGTAGGAAAAAAAAAAAATTCCATTGTTTTTGATGTTCAAGTGTAAATTGAAATCGTCATATCGTCATTAGAATGTGACTTATGTCTCTGTTTGTCTTGACTTTCAAAATCTACATTTTTTTCATAATAATTAAATACCAATAATCTTCGATAATAATCATCATCATGATTGGAATAAAGTGTTTGCACTAATAAACTGTACTTTCTTTATATATTAAATCCTATCCTATGATGATCATCACTTGGATTGTTTGCCTTGAAAGTCAAAAAAATTTATAGTAGTAGAAAAGATATTCCTACTACTAAATAAATTCAATAGAAATGACGATAATGATGAAATTATCCACCATTTGGTTGCTGTAGTTAAAACTAGTTATTTTCTCTCGTTTTCGCTTATATACACAACAACAGCTTTTCTAATTCGTATTTTTTTTTAATGATTTATCACAAATATTCATACGCACACACACACACACACTTCAAATGTCTTATGTAATTAATTACTTTTCATCATTTCATTTTATGGCTACTTATATAATTGTTTTTTTTTTTGATTTTTTGCTTTTTTCCTATTCCCAATGACACATTTGAGGAAGAATGACAACAAACATTCCTGAAATGCTTATGAGATACTCGTGAATTTTTGTTTTTCTTTTTTTTCCATTTATTCATTCATTCATTTGTTTTGTTTTGTTTTGATTCGAAATTTCAACTGCATGACAAATTATCATGAATTTCCGTTATCAGGAAACTGATGATGGATTTTGAATCGATGTTATCGACATGTTTCCGCTGTTGTTGTTGTTGTTGTTGTTTTGATCTGATCATTGCGATCAGATAACAAAATGTTTTTTTCTTTACTATAAATAGAAAATCACAAGATTTACAAGAAAATTCTGGTTTTTTTCCTTTTTTACATTAAATATAACTAAAATGATAATTTTTTAAGAGAGAAAAAAACACTACATTTCTTCATGTGAATATCATTATCATCATCATTCATGATTATTGATGGTTGTGTGATTGTAACTGTAATTCAATTCAAATGAACATTTTGTAAATATTTTTTTTTTTTGGCGGGAAATTTTTCTATTCGTTCTTGATTGAAAATATAATAATAAATTTGGCAAAAGAAAGAAAAAAAATGGACAATAATTCATCAGAAAAAAATGATCAAGTCGAATTGTTTCGAATTTCACTTTCAAAATTTAAAGACCTTGAATGAATTGATGTTCCGTATTGATTGGTATTCAGCAATATTGTTCTTTCAGGATGTTTTGTATTTGAGATACTATGTTGACAATCGATTGTTTCTGTGTGTGTGAATGCAAAAAGAAATAAAAAGCCATTTGTTTGTGTATGGCAAATCAACAAGAAAATCATTTCAAACCGGACGAGATTTCACCCAAATAATCAAGAATGATTTTTTTTGGGTGAAATCCCAAAAAAAAAATTATAATTTAAAATCAATTAATTGCCAGAAAAAAAGCGAGGGTAATCATTCATCATCAAGTGAGGAAGCGATTCAATTCCAATTGATGACCAATCAACAACAGAAACACAGTCATACACACATACGCACACATTGAATCATTGTCAATAGTCATTATTTTGACATCATCATCATCATTACCAAGTGCAATGATGATGATCTGAAAATTTTCTTTTTTTTCTCATCATCAAATCATTTTTTTTTTTTGAATGATAGTAAATAATTGAGTGAGAAAAAAATGAACGAAAAAGAAAGTGAATGTGAAAAGTGAACAACATAGCAACTTAGTAAGTAAGTAAGTAAAAAAAAGAATAGAAAATCTTAGCCTTTAAATGTTTTTTTTTTCATTTCAGACAATGACTCAATTATCTTTTTTTTTCTTGACACCTTGAAACAATCTAATATCTTTTGATAGGTCATTATCATTTTTTTTCTTTTGTTTCTTTAAAATTTTCTCTCTGTATAATTTGTAGAAAGGATTTTGTTTACATTTTTGTTTTTGAAACGGTAGATCCAATAATAACACACTGAATTGAGCTTTATGAAAATTTTCCAGATTTTTTCTCTAGAAACTCTTGAATAATATCATGTAATAATATCTACTAATTAGTATTTTCCAGTAATTTTGAAATTTACACTTTGGATGATAAAATGGCAAAAAAAAATCACTTGACACAATGCGTTAACATACTAAAGAAAATTTTCTTTTTTCAATAACAGAAGAATCTGCATGTTTTTTAATATCTAATGTTTGTGTGTTTGTGTGTGTGTGTGTGAATAAATGTCATTGAAAAACATAAATATTTTCTTTATTTTTAGTTTCTTTTTCAATGTTTTGATGAATAAAAATTTTTCATCGTTTTCGTACTAAAAACACTTAATAATAATATATATACTATATACAGGTGCTTAATGCGTACTTTTATCATCATCATCAAGGGTTGAATGATGTTGATGAAGAGATGATGATGATGATGATGATGAATTGATGGATGCTACTAGATGATTATTTTGAAAACACACAGAAAGAATGCGAGAGACCATATCATCACGTTCATCATTAGGTGTTCCAAACTACATTGCATTTATTATTATTGAATGGATTTTTGTTGTTTGCACGCGCCCACTTCCGCCACGCATTCCTTAATAATTCTATGTGTGTGACAGCAACCAGTAGAATGATGAGTAGCTAGCGTGTTGTTGTACTTTATGTCTCTCTCTCTGTGTGTGTGTTTGTGAATCCAAAAAATAGGAGTTCCATTATCGATCATTATCATCATATTGGAAATGGGTTGGCATTTCCAAATTTATTCTCCAAAATCAACAACAGCAACAACATTGATCATTGATGTATATGATCGTCGTAATCATCTTTTTGACCCTCCTGATATTCCGATGATTTTATTTGATTTCCTTCCGATTTTTTAACGATATATAAAAGGCTAATGTTTATGGAATTTATCGTTTTTTTCTCTCATTCCATTTCGATTATCGATAATCAATCAATCAATCAATCAAAGAAAAAACAAGAATCTAGAAATTTTTTTTGAAATATTAATGACGAATGAATCAATCGAAAGAATCGGATTCACCTACCGCCATTGTCATCATGATGTTTTCCGTTCTTCGTTGATTGATTAGATGTTACTGATTTTTTTGTTTTTTTATTTTTAAATTTTTATTTTTTTTCGCTTTCCTCTTCGACCAAACAAAATGGCCAATTTCAAATATATCGTGTGTTCATTATTTGAATTTTTATTAATACTAACCATTATAGTGAATTTTATTCGAGCTCAAGATATTGATCGTAAGTCGTATTCATAATGATCATTTTTGATAAAAATTAATCCAAATTCTCGTTCCACATATGTAGGTGAAAATAGATGTTCATCCGAAGGTTTTTTTCGTGATCCAAATGATTGTGTAAAATTTTATCGTTGTACTCGTGATGAAGGTGCAGATTTTTTTCGTGTTTACGAATTTGCTTGTGGTCCTGGAACAGTATTTGATCCAACTATAAGTGTTTGTAATCATCCTGGTTCATCACCACCATGTGAGAATAATGGCCAACAACAACAACAACAACTGCCAGAATATAATGCTGCCAATCAACCACAACAACCTGAACAGTATTCATCACAACCACAACAACAAGTTCCATCCACCTCCTCTGATTCCTATCCTAATCAACAAACATCACCGAATAATTATTATGAACAACCTAGTATTATTGCGGCTCCATATCCACAATCTCAACCGTCCGAACAACAACAATCGCCAAATAATGCAGGCTATCCTTCATCACAACAACCCGGATCTACATATAATCAACAGCCAAATAATTATAATCCAGATGAATGGTCATCTGCTTACGGTCAGCCATATTCATCCGACCAATCGCCAACAAATCAATACCCTGATCATCGTGATTACCTACCTGAACAATTTGGTGATCCACCAAGTCAACAAGAACAACAACAACCAGAATCAGCACAACAACAACAACAACCAGAATCACCAGCACCACCAACCGGAATCACCAGCACCACAACAACAACAACCAGAATCACCAGCACCACCACAACAACAACCGGAATCACCAGCACCACAACAACAACAACCGGAATCACCAGCGCCACAACAACAACAACCAGAATCACCAGCGCCACAACAACAACAACCAGAATCACCAGCACCACAACAACAACTACCAGATCAGCCCGAAGACGATGTTGAACAACAATTAACAAATATGGATGAAGATGAAATTACACCCGAAGATGAGGATTGTAATTGTAAACCAGTATCATCTGTGTTCCAATGTAAACAAGAAGGTAGATTTGCTGATCGAAAGAATTGTAAAAATTTCTATAGATGTACCAATGATGGTGGTGGATTCATTGCCGATCAATTTGAATGTGATATGGGTAGTGCATTCGATGAAGATACGGGAAAATGTGTTCCAGAATCGCAATCAAAATGCAAATCAGGTTTGTTGAATGTGTAATTATATTTTAAAGTATTACTTTTAATAAAAATGAATAATTAGATGCGGGTAAACCATCACCAAATGGAACAAAATCAAAATCGAAAACATCACCACAAAAAGAAAGCATTTCGGAAGGTGTGTACGATTGAAATGATTATTTGAATTTTGATTTTTTTTGATTGAAAATTGCAGAACCAGAACCAGTAGAAAAATCATCTGATGATCAAACAACTACTGCAGCAACATCTGATGAAACGGAAGCCACTACTACTCCAGCCAGTGTTGATGATGATACTAAACCGACGGAACCAAGTGAAGATTCCAGTGAATCAACTGAATCAAGTACAGATTCAACTGAATCAATGGATAAAACTGAACCTACAACCGAGTCATCAACAAGTGAAACAAGTGAACAAACAGATGCTACAACAGAATCAAGTGAAAAAACTGAATCTACAGAAGAGCCATCAACCAAACCGACTACTGAATCGGCTGATAAAACTGAATCAACAACCCCGTCTGCTGATAAAAGTGACGAAACAACAACTCAACCATCTACCGATAAAACAGAGACAACAACCGAACCAAGTGATAAAACTGAATTAACTGAAGAATCCACTGAAAAGACTGAATCGACAACCAAACCCAGTGAAATGAATACGGAAACGACGGAACCATCAAGTGATGAAACTGAAGCCACAACCGAACCTTCGAGCGATAAAACCGAATCAACTGAATCTAATGAAACGGAAAGTACGACTACTCCATCTTCAGATGATAAATCAACCGAATCTACAACCATGGAACCAGATGCTGAACAGCAATCTACTCCAGAATCAACAGAAAAAACATCAGATTTGATGGAATCACCTGATGAACAAAAATCTGAGCAAGCACCGGATGAGGAGGAAGAAAAACCAGAAGATCAAACGGAACAAGCACCAGAATCTGAAGAATCTCCACAAGAACCGCAGCAACCAGAACAAGAAGCTGCTCAAGAACAACAACAACCAGAAGAAATGCCCGAATCTGAGGACTCCCCTATCGAACAAGAATCACAAGATGTTCCAGCTGATGAACAAATAGAACCAAGAGCTCAAGCACCAGCCACAAAAACACCGGCCAATGACAATGATTTACAACAGCCTATCGAACAAGAATCGGAAACCAATTATCCAAATGAACCACAATATCCACAAACAAGTAACGATCCATCATACATGGATCGTGTTCAACAACAACAACCAATCGAACAATCAATAACTGATGATAATTCTCTTGGTGGAAATATAAATCTACAATATAATCAACCTGTTCAACAACAACAACAGCCATTACCACAGGAAAATGAAAATTTCAATGAAAATGATCCATATAGTGGTGGTGAGGCAGCAAATCAATTCTATCCACAGCCACCATCATCTGATGGAATTCAGTGTACGAAAGATGGATTTTTCCGCCATCCAAATAATTGTGCGGCATTCTATCGTTGTCATGAAGGTACAAGATTCGATTTCCAATGTGGACCGGGAACTTATTTCGATGAACGTTATAGTGTTTGTAATTGGCCTAATCAAGCCTATCCACCTTGTCCAAGTGATGGTGGTCAAGGAGATGCACCACCCACTGATCAAGATCAATCACAACAATTAGGTCAATTTCCACCACAATCCGATCCGAATCAATATTCTTCAGATAGTCCTTTTCCATATCCACCACAAGAACCAACTCAACAACAAAAAGAAGAACAACCATCACAAAATGATTATCCAAATCAAGCCGAACCAATCGAACAACAGAAACAGGAAATACAAAATGATTATCCACCCCCAGAAAATTATGGTGGTCAACAACAACCTCAACAACAACAGCAGCCTGAACAATTTCAACCAATGATACAACCACCTACCAAAAATCCATATCCACAGGAACAACAACCTCAACAGCAACAGCAGCCTGAACAATTTCAGCCAATGATGCAACCACCTACCAAAAATCCATATCCACAGGAACAACAACAGCAACAGCAGCCTGAACAATTTCAGCCAATGATTCAACCACCTACCAAAAATCCATATCCACAGGAACAACAATCTCAACCTCAAGAACAACAGTCACCACCACCACCACCACCACAGCAACCGATAAAAAGTCCCAGTCAGCCACAACAACCTTCTCCAGTCAAAAGTCCGGCTAAAAGTCCTTCGCAACCAGTAAAAAGCCCAAATCAATCTCAATCACCTGCTCCTGTTAAAAGTCCAAAACCATCCCCTCTTAAATCTGCTCCGTTGAAAGCAACACCCAAAGCTCAAGCTAAATCGCCCACTAAATCCCAAAAAAGATCACCAGCTAAATCGCCTGCAAAACCACAAGGTAAAACGCCTCCAAAGTCTCAAGCTCCTAAAAAATCTCCCGTAAAATCTGCCCCTTTGAAACAAGCACGACCACCAAAACCAAAGTCACCAGCTAAACAGCCGGCTAAACCGAAAAGCCCACCAAAATCTCCCGCCAAATCAGCGCCTATAAAACAATCTCCAAAACCAAAATCACCAGCTAAAAGTCCCAAAAGTAGTCCATTGAAACAGAATCCGAAAAAGAATTCTCCATCTCCTAAGTCTCAACAATCTAAACCACCACAAAAGCCAAAATCTCAAGCATCACCGCCAAAGGCAAAGCCTAAACCACAGCCAAAATCACCGATTTCCCCTGCCAAAAAAGCACGTTTACAAAATGAGAAACCAAAATCCGAACAACAAATATCTCAGCAACGTAAACGACAAGTATCACCTTCCCGAGTTTTACCATTAAAGCCATTTGCAAAGCCAAAACCAAATCAATTGCGAAGACAGCCAAAACAAATAAATAATCAACCAACAATGTTCCAATGTCCAACTGCCAATGGATTTTTCGCCGATCCAAGTGATTGTTCAATGTTTTATCGATGCGCCGATTATCGACGATTCCATTTTGCCTGTCCTCAAGGCCTATTTTATGATGCATCATTAGAAAGCTGTAATTGGCCCAATAAAATTCAACCACCGTGTCGTAATCGATAATCGACAATAATAATAAGATTTACCGAAACCAACAACTATTCAGATAGCAGATAATTTATTACATGAGAAAATAAAAATGATTTAACAACTAAAATTTTCAAATTCAGAAATCGTTCAATAATTTACACTTTTTTTGAAAACGAAAAAAATAAAAATAAAGTCCATTTTTTCAAAAAAGATGATAGAATCCAATAATTTATTTGAACAGACGGAATTGATAAAAAAAAATACAAGTTCCTAAGAATAAAATTTCTTATTAAGAAATAAAAACATGTAAATTTTGTATATTTGAATAATTTACGATTATTATATTTACAAAGTAACATCATCCATTGTAACAGATGGTTCCGTAGTGATCAAAGAATTCGAAGAATTTTCAGTTGAATCTTCTGAATTCGTTGACATCGTTGTTGTGAATATGACCATATTCTCTGGTATACTATTGATGGTCGTTGTTATCATCGATGACATAGTCATGTTATCGTCATTGTCTAAACTGCTCATCGTTGTCAACATGTTTATCTTTGGCTCTTCTGTTGCTCCTTTTTGATTGATTTTCATTTTCATCTGCTCTTGTTCAGCCATCAACATCATTTTGATAAATTCTTTACGATCCATTGTTTTGAGCATATGCGCTTTCGATACATAATTCGGTGGATAATGTGGACGCATTGATGATGGCGAAGAACCACCAGATGATGGTGATGATGAATACGGATCACCTTTAACCAGCTTTATTTGTGGTGGCCTAAATCCTTTCTGTCCAGGACTGATTAGATTTGTTTTCATTTTTTCCGATACACATAATTCCTTTAATAAAGAATGAATTTAACAAAAAAAAATTGATTAGATTTTCTTCAAAGATTTGATTGAAAATACATACCTGTTTATATTCAATATCAAATCCTCGTCCATTACCAAATGCATCGGATGTGAATTTGATCTGAGCAACTTTATGTCCATTATGCATTTCGAATGGTATCGTATCTGTTTCACAGTGGAATATATTTCATCATTAATATCAAAGAATATATTTTCTTTTTCTCAGAAAACACTTACATTCATTTTGTTCATCCATTTTATTGCCACATAATTTTTGTGTATCCACTTGTAACCAATCTTTTTCACATTTAACCGTTCCTCCATGGCTATCCGACGATGATAATTCAATATCCAAATCTCGAATTCTAAGTTTCACATTACAATATTCATGACCAATAGCTTGGATTCTATACACACATTTTGTATAGTCACCATATGGAGCTGGATAATTAGGACTTTTAATATGGCCACGATAATTTCGTACGGATATATCACAAACAGTGGGCATAGTCAATGTTGGTTCTATGATATATGGTATATGGTAGTGGTGGACAAAACATAAAATAAACAACAATCATTAATTCAATGAACCATGTGTGAAATAAAATCAAACTCACTTTGTGTTGGAGTAGGTTTGTCACAATCAGTATCAATCTGTTTAACATCCAATCGAAAATCACCGCGAGTATTTAATGATTTACTCGATATAAAATGTATAACTTTCTCATATTCATTCGGCATAAAATGATAACGGCCTATTTGAAATTGAAAAGTTCAAATTAGATTTTTTTTTTGGATAAGATCATCATAAGATTTTTTTGTATCATACGTTCATGACCAACAGGGAATGCTCCACATATTCTACTAGAATCAATTTCCAAATATTCTCGTTCACATTTCATTGCTTCATTCAATTGAAACATTTGAAATTTTAAATCGATTGCGCATACATTATCGTTAGCTTTACGGATCGTATAACGGCAACGAGTGATGGTAGAATCATCACGTGGACTTTCAATCTGAAAATTCATTTCATTTTCAATCAGATCACAATATGGATCATATGATGTTTCGGATGATGAATATGGCTTTTGTTGCTGTTGTTCTGGTCTATTTGTATCAGCATCCATCGGATGATTATGTTGTTGTTCAATCATTGGTATTCGAAACTGTTTCATCTCATATGTTTGCATTTTGTATTCATTTGGTTTATTATTATTGTTGTTGTTGTCATTATAATGATGATGATGACGATTATCGTATAATTGTTGTTCATCGATTTGTTGTGCAATATCGCTGACTTGTTTAAATCGACTTTTTATTGATTGTTGTTGTCCTTTTATCGGAAAATGATTATCTGAATTTTCATTTTGTCTTTGCATTGGCCGTGATGATGGATGATGATGACCATGATCAACATTAGTAGCACATTCAACTTGTCGTACTTTAATTTCAAATGTATCATCATCGATTGGACCAATATCCATTAGATTGGCAAATAGATAAAGTTCTGGTCGTTGAAACCAGAATCTTTTTGTCGTTGTTTCATGAATATGTCCACAGATTTTTTCACCATCAACCGATAGATATTGATGACCACAGCTACTATCATTGAGATTATATTTCATAAACATTATGTCCAATTGACAAACGTTTGTTTTTGCTTTTCGTATATGTAGATGACATATGGCACCACCACCATTCATTCTTGTCATTTGTAGATCTGTACTTTTTAATTCGAAAAAGATTTTATCCACAAACGTTTGTTCACATAGTTTCTGTGTATTAGGTGGATCATATTTTTGTTGTTGTTGTTGTTGTGGTTGTTGTGTCATTGGTGCCGTTGTCACCGTTATATAATCATGTCCATCATCTAAATGACGTTGTTGTGATGGTCTAGATGTTGTCGTCATCATCATCATTGACAATGGCTGTATTTTTGGTTTATCTTCATTAATCACTGTTATATTTCTACTATAATATCGTATTGGAATTTTACGTTGCTGTTCTTCACGTTGCTGTGTTGGAAATGTTGTTGGATTTGGTTTATTTGAATCTTCATATATAACATGTGGTTCAACTTCCATTGTAGCTTTATTTCTGGTATCGAATTCGAGATTATTTCATCATCATCATAATCGAATGGATTTTTAGTCATTATTGGTTTTCGATTTGGTGATTTTAATTTTTTCGGATTAGTTTTCGAACCAGAATAATCAGTTATGGATTTCTGCTCATCGGTTGTTGTTTTTGAATGTTTTTGATGTGGCATAGCTGGCCTGCCGGGAATGCAATCCACTTGTTCTAATGCCAAATGAAATCCATTGGCCGTTTGTTGTTGATTCGTATGGAAATGTAATAAAAGTTTTTCCTGTAAAAATGGTATCTCCTCTGAATGCGAAAAAAATGAAATATTTAAATGAAAATCTTTTTGATTAATGATGAAAATAAACTTACTAGATGTATATCGATCCAAAATACCACAGAAACGTGTACTGAAAATATCTAGATAATCACCACGACAATTACCATCTTCGCCAACTACATTGAAATATGTGAATGTAACTTTTAATCGGCAAACATTGGCACTATTTTTCCGTATCAGATATGAACAATCTAAACCATCAAAATAACGATATGGATAACCAGGTGATTTGATTTCAAACATTTTATCATCAAATGTTTGATCACAATAAATGGCTTCATTGTGGACAATTATCGGTGTTGGTATTGGATGCAGTGTTTGTGGATTTTCTACAGCAATAGATTTGGTTGCCGGTTGAATATGAGGTATCTGATTCGATATTGATGGCGATGGTGTTTGTGTATCTAAACACGGCAATTGTGTATAACTTGCTCGGAATCCTTTGAATGATGGTTTGACCATAGCTCCACGACTGCTGGTCACCATACGTATGGTCAAATCATCTTTTCGTTTATTCATCAAAATCATTGAAACATCTTTCAATTGATGGCCACAATAACGTATACCATTGATTTCTAAATAATCCTGATTACATTCAGGTGAATAATCGAAATCAAATTCAACAAAACGTAATTGAACCATACAATTATCTGGTAATGGTGTTATACGATATGTACAATTAACATTTGGTGGATAAAAATTTGGATAATCATATGATTGAATATTGCCAGTCACTTCAGTCACACAAATCTCACAAATCGATGGTAATGATGGTAAAAATATAAACTTATTACTATTAATATCAGCTGATGAACTTGAAATTGGTAATTGTTGTCGATTTTGTTTTACATCATAATTTTTTGGTTCCAAAATCAATGTATCACAATCAATTTGACGTGCTTGTATCATAAATCCTTTACGTGGCCGAAATAAAACACTACGAAAATAAATTCGTTTTTCCGGTTCATAAAATGGTATCTGCATAATTGATTCGGGTCGATTCGTATTACAATATTTAACATTATCAATAATTAAATAATCTTCTGTACATTTTGTCGATGGTTCAATATCGAAATCGGTAAAATATAATTCCAGTTTACAAAAACGACTATGGCGCCGTTGTATGGTGTAAACACAGCTGAGGCTAGGCAAATAATATTGTGGATAATTGGGACTTTCAAATTCAAAATATGTCGAACCAAATGTTTGTTGACATATTTGGTTAGCATGATAGATTTGATATGGTGAAAATGGATCATCTTTCATTATTAATGATGATGATGATGATGATGATGATGGTGGTGGTTTTATTATACGTTTAGCACCATGATCATTGTGGCCGGTTTGTGGACATTCATTTTGACGAATTTTAAGAAAAAATCCACGACCACTAACCAATGGATCAGCAAAAAAGCTTATCGTAAATTCATTATCATAAAATGGAAATAGCCGCACACTATCTTTCGCTATCGATCCACATTGTTTAATACCGTTGAAGCTTACATAATCCTTATTACAATCAGTACTTGATTGTAGATCAAATTCGATGAAATGAACTTCAAGAAAACAGACATTCACACCGGGTGCTTTAAATTTCACTATGCGATAATCACAATATGAATTTGATGGATATGGTGATGGATATAGTGGACTTTGTATATCGAATGATGAACTCATTAATATTCGGCTACAATGATTCTGTCGTTGTTGTGGTTTTTGTTGCTTAACCGGTAATTTATTCGGTTGATTCAATAATGATGAACATTCTATTTGACGAACATATAGTCTAAACCCTTTGTCAAATGATGTACGAAAAGAATCTGAATGAAAATGAATAAAAAATGTTTCATTCCTACGAAATGAATAGATTCGTGATTGTGTTTCGGTCATTTTTCCACAAAATTGTTCCTTATTATCAAAATCAAGAAAATCCGATTTAAGACAATTTTTCTCAAAATCATATGGTTGTAATTCGAATGAATCGAAATTGATTTCAATTTTACAAACATCCAAGCTATACGGTACGATCATGAAAAGACAATCTAGATCTGGTGGATAATTATCAGGAAAGTTGGGACTATCAATAAAAAATTCTTTTTGTCGAAATGTTTTTGAACAAAGAAGACTACTACTACTGCTGCTGCTTGGATTTTGCAAATATTTCCACTCGGGAATTGTTGGATCAAATTCCGATGTTTGATGAACGAAATTTTCTTGCTGCTGTAATAATTGTGTATCATTTGTTGGTTGTATATAATGTTGTTGTTGTTCGAATTTATATTGTTCTAAACTTTGTAGACCTTCATTCGGTTCTTCATGATGATGATGATGATGATGATGATCATAATGTTCACGAATAATACGATCACCTTGACATTCAAGCTGTTCGGTATGTATCCGATAACCTTTACGTTCATTCGTTGAATCTGTATGAAAATTTATAATCATTTCTGGTTTATCAAACACATAGATACGACTTGTTTCTTGATTTAGTGTTCCACACAGACGTACGGCACTGCCAATCTCCATATAATCATATTGACAATCTTGGCTGGCTTCTAGATCGAACATTTTGAAATGCATTTCTAGATAGCAAACTTTATCTGAATATTTTTTAATTGTAAAATGGCAATCTAGATATTTTTTAAAAAATAGAAAACAACAAATTCAAATTTTTATCAAATGAAAAAAACAAAAATATTTCCCATACTTTGATTATCCTTATAATGTCCATCAATTGTATCGCTAATAAGATCAAATTTTTTATCTCGATATATTTTTACACATGGTTCCGTATGAATACTGTTTTCATCATGCATCATTTTCGACAATGATTCTGCTGGATTCATCATGACAACATTATCTTCCATTTGTTTGGTACATGGTATTTGTGTATAATTCAATAAGAACCCTTGTCCATTTTCTGTGCTGTCACTTTTGAATAGAAATCTTATATAACCATCTGGATTGAATGGGATTATTTTCCGTTCATTTCGTAATGAATGGCCACAATAACGTTCATTTTGAATTTCGAAAAAATCACCACTACAATCACGAGTATTTTGTAGATCAAAATCAATAAAATTCATTTCAATACTACAATAATGGCCATGTGGATTCCGTTCAATAGTATAGGCACAAAGTAAATCGTTTGGATATGGGTCCGGATATTTCAATGTACTCAGCTTTCCTTCACGTTCATGCCATAAAATACTGCATTTTTGTTGTCGACCTTGATTACCACCACGAATATTACCCGATGCTGGTGCAGGTGTTTCAATTGGCATAAATGCATTTCGACAATCATTTATCTGTCGTATTTTGATATGAAAACCAGGCCCATTCACTTGGCTGTCAGTTTGAAATGAGATCGATTTGACAGCCGTATCAAAATGGAAAATATTTCTTGAACCATTCGGTAGACGGCCACAGAAATTTTCACCATCAATTTCAAAAAAATCATATGCACATCCTTCAGATTCTTCAATATCAAAATGAATAAATTTCAATTCTAAGCCGCATACATTTTCCGATTTCCTGATAACATAATGTACACAATCAAGATTATTACTATAATTTTTTGGATAATTAGCACTTTTAATCTCAAATTCCATTTCAGTATGTCGTTTTTCACAATAACTTGAACTCGGTAAACTTGATGCCAACATTTCCACTGGATCCACTATTGAATGATCATTATTATTATTATTGGTATTAGAATTCTCGTCTTTCGATTTCTCCAATTTTTTTGCCGTCAATTTATCACAGGTATCAAATAACGGTTTATATTTAATGTTGAAACCGCTCGAATGTACAACTCTATCAAGCACAAGTCTGTTGTTTGTGTAGATATTTGAAAATTAAAACTAATTATTATAATAACAGAATGATAAGAATATTATACTTACCTAAAAACAAAATCTTTTTCATAATTCGGATCAATATCAACCACATCCATACGATTATTCCAATCACGGTGGCAATAACGTTTCCGGTTATTAAATTCAAGATAATTATCTACGCAGCTATTACGATTGGCTGATAATTGTGCAAATTCTTTTTCCACTGCTTGTCTTTGTTCAGCATCTTTATGTTTCTGTTCACTACGCATATCGGTCACATCAAAATCATTGAAATGTAATTCAACACTGCATACAGTTGGATTAAGCGGTGTAATGCGATAAACACAATTAACACTTTGAGATGGATCGCCAAAACTGGTTAAATTTCCTTCATTTGACACAAGCCAAAATTCACATTTATTTGTCGATGAAGTTGTTGCTGTTTTTGTATTCGGGACATCAGCTACAACATTACCTACTAATCCGGAATCATTGATCAATTATTCTTATATCATCACTTTTATTCACTGATTTAAAATTATTTTTATTTCATTTGTTGATCCGAAAATATAATTAAACATCTTGTGACCACAAGATAATTAGAAAATTGATTAAATTTCTTTCTCTCTGTTTTTTTGTTGTGAAAATTATCGATACAATCGGATTTTCCTCTCTCACTCTCATTCTCTCGCTAATGATTCAAACATAACAAGCTTGATTTATTGTTTAGTATAACTAGAAAATTGTCAATTCCAAACATGAAGAAAAAAAATTTAATGTTAAATGAATATCTTTCAATTCACCAATTAACAATCATTTCAATCTTTCATCAAAAAAAAAAAAAATTTAAATATTCAACACACATATTACCATTGACCGACTTTATTATTATAAGAAGATGGAACAGAAAAAAAATTACGGAATTCAAAGAAAATATCCTTCAAAGTTGTTATCATATATATTGTGGTCAAATGACAATAACAATGACAACAACAACAACAAAAGTAAAAGTAAAAGTAAAAGTCCAACCAAATAACCTCGACAATGAAAATTACTAAATGTAAAAAAAGTGGCTGATTTTCAGTATATAATACTGTAATCAAAGTCCAAGTTAAACTATTCAAACTAATTAGCATGATGATATCAAGTAATCAAGTAACTTTAAGATTCAGATGACTGCTATAAAATGTCTATATATATTATAAAAGTGTGTGGTTAATACTTGCATGCATGCATGCATCTTGTAATCTTCAAAATGTCTTTTCTTTCTTTTTTTTTTTTTTGCTGTTACTCGTTAATTTTTTAACATTTTTTGTTTCTATTCCATCTAATACATCCCTGGATCTGTATAATTCATTCATTTATATTCAGGTGTAATTAGTTAATTACGTAACAAAATAAAATGAAATCTATTTGGACACATACAGAGAACGAGAGATAGCCGATATGGTATATTGTCAAAGCATCCATCCATATGTTCGTGTTTGTTAATGGATAAAAAAAAAAGATGTGTCAAATGGTCAGTCCTTTTTTTTCTAATGACAATTAATGGAAACTTTTATACATTTGGATAATTAAATTCGTTTGTTTTGATTTTCATTTCATTCATTTTATATTGTACACATGTATGCATTGTAGAAAACAGAAAACACACACACACACACATCAATTCATCAAAATGTTTTGAATGAAAACAAAAAACAATGGTCTGCGGCTATAACATGATTATCGCATTAATTTTTTCTTTTTTTTTGGCCAAAAAACAAAAATTGTCTCTAATTTGAGTTTTGTTGAATTAGAAAAAAAAATCAAATCAAATCTATAATGATTCTGATCAACATTTCTTACATAATACTTGGTGACAAATTTTTTTTTTACTTTTTGACAAATTATTTTATTACTGAAACAAATTGTATGGTTCGTGCGTGTCCATACGGTATTTATTTTTTTATTCATTTATTATTTCATTTTTTTTCACATACTAAACACGTGCACACACATACACATACACTATTTTGACATTGACATTTGATTGGTGTGATGAATGAATGAATGAATGATGATGATGATGATGATGATGACATAAATCTTTCATATATATAGAAAAATGAATTTCTTAATGAATTAAATTAAAGAAAAAAAAGTAAAATATTTCTACAACTTTTATGTAATCATCATAGTCATAATGAATATTATTACCTATTGTCAACAACAAATGAAAGCAAGCAAAAAAAATTGCCGATTTCGTAATGTAAAGAATTTCATAACCATACCTTTATCATCGTTATTATTATTGTACGTATCGATTATTAATGATGATGATGATTCAGTAGTAGTTGGATGATTGAAAAAGGAATCTTTTTTCTATTTATTATTATGATGATTTTAAATTTAAAAAAAAAATTAGATTCGATATAAATAAAGAAATTGAATAGTAAATGATTGATAATTCAATGTTATTTATTATTCATCAAATTTTCAGTATTAATAATACTTACAGGATATTGAATTGTTTCATCATCCGGTTTCAATGTTGTTATTTGCTGTGTTGGCGTTGTTGTTGTTGTTGTTGTGAATATAAACTATTGAAATTCTCTGTCAATATAAATGATGGATGTTGTTGTTGATTGAATGAAATTGGTTGATGATTCGATGAATAATGATGATGCTGATGATTTTCAATTTGTTGTTGTTGTTGACATAATCCGGGTTCAATTTGTAAATATAAAAATGTCACTAAGAATCTTGCTGTAAATGTCAATAATTTTGCCATCTTAGTGTTTTAGAGATTTTATTATTATTTTTCATAGAGAAAAAAAAATCAATCAATTCACATTATGAAATGGGCGATAATTTTCAGTGTATATTTTTTTTGAAGAAAAATTTAAAATTTTACACAAAAAAATACTTGTTGTAATGATGATGATGAATGGAATGGATGACCATTACTAACGACGAATTAAATTTTTTTTTTAAAAAAATGTCTATGATTATTGTATGCCACGAGCTAACTCACGCGAGACCAACAATAAATAATGATTATGATGACCACCAAACACCATTGGCGAATGATAATAATGGTGATGAATCTTTAAAAAAAAAAATTAAAACAGTAAGTGAAAGTAAAGTAAAAGCGACGACGACGACAACAACAACGAAAAATGGCCATCAAACACGTTGAGAAAAGATGATATCAGAAAAAAAGAACTAAAAAAAACGACATTCATTGTTTTGTTCATTGGAATAATAATAATAATGTCCCAACAACATTCAGACACTTTCTCTCGTTCAAAAATTTCTTCTCTCATCCTTTTTTTTGTTATTACAATTGTGTCAACTCTCTTCTGCCCATGTGTGTATTTGATTCTTTTTTTCAATTCTTTTCTATTGTCTCATTCATTATCAGATTTTGAATGATTTTTTTTGTTGTTGTTGTTGTCAATGAATAATCATCACCAATCGATGAGAATCAACAAAAAAAAAAAAAAAAAATTATCGTGTCATATGTTGCTCATTGTGTTTGTGTGTGAATTTTATTGTTTTCACGCCCAAAAGGTCGACGAAAAAATTCATTGTCAACAACATTAATCATAATTATCATATATGACAAATAATCTTTTTTTTAAAGAAAAAAAATGACTTTGGATTAAGGTTAAATTATAATAAAAACACATACATACATGTGATTGAATATGCTGACATTTGTTTCGTTCTTTGTATATGACAACCCAATTGTTTATGTGGTGACAAATCAGATTTTCCTGCATATATGCATTCAATTCACCACAGAAACAAAATAACTGAAAAAATGGATTCTATTTAGTTTTTAGGGACAAATGTGTGTGTGTGTTTAAATGTTAAAAGGACTCAACTCAATTTACATAATATTAGAATTATAATTGTAATTTTAAATTCAAAAACTACTTGAACTTCGTAAACAGACAACGATGATGAACTTTTTATCATATCACACATATATAAATACTAAGGACAGAAAAAAATTCAAATTTTGAAAAATTTCATAAAAGAAATTCTCATTGGATTCCCAAAAATGGTCATTTCAGCATCCGGTGATGATGATACCTACCTTTTGATTGTTGGTATTTCAATTTTTTTTTACATCATTCATTCATTGTGAATGAGAAATAGAGGCAGATATTTCATCAACCGAAACGAAGTAAATTCATTTAAAAAAAGGTATTACAAACACACACACGCATACACACATCATTGTTCATAGGTAATTTTTATTCTTTTTCAAATAATAAAAAAGATTTATAACTCCACTGACCACCAATTGTGGATGATAATTTTCATCATTCAAAATTTTTAAAAAAATGCTTCAGGTCAAAAGTGATAATCTAATGTCCACACGCACACACACACACAAACAAACAATTGTCATTAGATTTATGGATTCAATTTGTTTTGTTTTGTTTTTTTTTCAAAAAATTCAATATTTATTATTTTTCCACTTACACAATGAGATAAGATCACAAGGAAAAAAAACAATAATCTGAAAAGCATGTCATCATAAAACAATGAATTTATGAGAAATATTACAACATTTGAAATTATGAAATGAATCTTTTTTTGATCACAAGACATATATCCATACGAAGAAAATAGTTTCCGATAAATAGATTCCATGATTATGATGACGAAATTGATTCACATTCATCGAGCACTGTGACCAAATTATCTTCAATAGAATCGGATACAACAATGGATGCTAAACAATGTGATGTCTATATTGTGGAATGATTCAATTTTAAAATGAAATGAATAATTTAAAGAAAATTATTATTATTATTATTATATTACAGACCTTGTGGATTATAAATTGACAACGTGAATCTTTCCATTCGTTCAACAATGAAAGACATAGATGAAATTTTACATAGTCTCTGTTGGAAAATAATTGAAAAGAAAAAAAAATAAACATAAAAATGCTAATTAGACATGATTCGTGTTTGATTTTTTTCTCTAAAATAGAAAATAAATTGAGATTCACGAAATGAGAAAAAAAAGAAAAGAAAATCACAATAAAATTGAATTGACGAAAGCAAACAAATCTACATTGCTTAAAATGATGAATGAGGATCGAATTATATTTTTGGCACAAACGGAAAAAAATTCAATTTATTTTCAATTGATATTTGTTGGCAAAAATTTATTTCTCTTTTCTCACCTTGCCAATAGACGTATTAATGCACGACAATCGTTGTTACGATACTTGAGAATATCAAATTGGATTTTCGAACCAATTTCGCCTAAAAGTGAATCGATAGCATTCATAATTATCAATTTAAATTCTCGAACTTCGATCACGGTAGCTTGTTTGATCGTAAAACATCTGAAAATTGGAAAAAAATGTTTGTTTTTGTTGACAATTTGAAAATAAAGACAGAATAAAAACACTTACAGCTCGATATCAAGATAGACGAATTTATTTTCAAATGTTCGTATTGAACGAAATTTTTGTGATGACATTTTTAAAAAGGGAATTCTGAAAATTTTTAAATCTTGAATTTGTTTTCCAATTCGAGAATCATGTGACATGATTTATTGGCACTGTTCATATACAATGTAATTTTTTTCTGAAATTCTTGAAATTGTTCCATTTTTAGAATGAAGAAAAAAATAATGATCATTAAGGATCTATTTTTGGGACAACAACAACAACAACAAAAAAAATCAATATGATCCGTTTATTCGAACGATGCGTGATTGGATTACATTTCATATTCCGGATCGTTATTTTCCAACGAACAAGCAGAGATATTGATCATTTTCTTGACATTTAAACAAATCTGATTGAAAGATTATTAGACACACAAACACATAAGCGGATTCAAGATAAATTCTATTGCATTCATCCAAAGATGGAATTTTTTTTCAATTTAATTATTATAATGCAATCATTCTAATGATGAACGAATGTGAATTGAAATATGAATTGATTGATTGATTGGAATAGGAATTGAATTGAAAAAATGGGAAATTTTTAAGAAAATTAAAAAAAAATTCTTTTTACTCAAAAAAAAATCCATTTTAATTTCGGCTTTTGCATAAGATCATCATCCATATTTTATAAATCATAATTAATCGACCAGTATTAGTTTGTATGGGTGTGGTAAACAATTGTGGAAAATATTTTCATTCAGTATTGTGGATCTGGAGAATTTGATGATCAAAATCAAAATCAAAATAAAAAGAAAAAAATGTGATTTTGGAATTCAATGTGATCAATATCATCATCAGGAGTGCACAATGAGTATATATAAAAAAAAACAAAATAAATAAAAAAAAAGAGAATCAATTTCTGGGTGCCAATGGATAATCCCATTAATGACAAAAAATAATGATGATTATCAATTATTAAATTGATAATTAGGAGAAAAAAAATGAAATGATGAATGAATGTGAATAAAATTATTTTACAACCACAATACTGTGAAAACTAAACAAAAATTCATCTTTTGATCTTCAGTTGATTGATTGATATTTACAAAATTTGTGTGTGTGTTGTGCAAGAAAAAAAAACAAAACAAAACAAAAGAATTGAAAATATCAAAATATCAATATTATTCACAAAATGACATTATTCCAGCGTATTTATTATGTATACATACAACATTTATATAAATAAAAAAAAGAGAGAAATTTCATTCCGGTGTCAATGATTATAATTTTGAAAATGATGAAAAGAACGAAATCTGATCAAAAATTAACAAAAAAAAAAAAAAAAAATTGAATTATCTTTCATTCAGTGTGTCTGTGTTTATGTGATCATTGTACAGAATTTATTGTGAAGAGAGAAAGAAAGAAATTGATGAAAGAATTCAAAGAATTTCATTGTCTTTTAAGAATTTTCAATTTTCACATTCATGTGTTTTGTGCAATTTTAAAATCTTCTTTTTTTTCAAGTGGCAATGACTTGAAATTGAATAGTTTCCGTTTTTCGTTGTTGTTGTTGTTGTTGTCGTTGTTGTTGTTGGAAACGAAAAATAAAAAGATCAAAATCTTTTAGAAATGTAGCCAAAATGAAAGAGAGAGCGAGTGAGATGTTGGAATTGGATTTCCGTGCATTTAAATGTTTGTGTATATAGGTGTTACTGATTTTCATTTCAAATGAAAAAAAAATCTTGTCATCTAAAATAACAATCGTTGATTCATTTTATCCACAAAAACTGACCAAAAAGAGAGAGAAAAAGCGGAAAAACGGATCGACAAAGACCAGATTTCTTTTTGGCTGACTTTTTTCCATTACTTATTTGTTCCGTTTTTACATCTGGTAGTTTTGAGTGGTGTTGAAATAATGAACAAACAAAAAAGAAAAATTGAATCTAGACACAAATATCACAATTGATGATGATGATGATGATGGTGGTGGTGGTGGTGGTGGCCGAAATGTTGTGAATGTTTTTGTGTTTCCATTCCATATAATATCATTCATAGAATATATGGGTCAGCCATTCATTCAATTCAATTCATTTATTTTTGAAATAAAAATGAAAAAAAAACTTGAGTACAAAGAATACATCACAGGCAGAGACTTTCCTTTGTTCGTGGCCGAATCATAATGTCTTATGCTGTCATCATTTTTTTTTCTTGATTTGTTGAAAAAAAATTCTGAAAATTTTTCTTCGACATTTTGACATTTTTTTTCCACCAAAAACAACAAATACAATTATAACAAAATGATGATGATGATGATGATGATGATGATGGGCTCATTCACATGTTGGATGTTAGAAGTTTAGAAATCAATTCGCTTTTCATTTATCATTATTCTTGATTTCATTCATTTTTTATCGTCAATGTGTGTAGAGAGAATGAAAATTCCATCCAGACACATACACACACACACACACACACAGAATTATATTATTATAAGAATCGATTTCTTTATAAGAATTGCCATCATCATAAATTATTTTTTTTTTTTTCTGTTGAATTTTGCTTTACAATGCAATGCTGGTGATAATGATGATGCGAGGAAATGAGCTGAATGAATAAAAATGTGTCAAACGATAAGAAAGAAGAAAAAAATGAAGAGATTAATCTACAGAAAACGACTATCGAATCCATTCGATAATATCGATATTGGTTTTTTTCTTGCTATTTTGTGTGATTATTTTGATGCAAAAATATTCAACAAAAATGTTTATGGTGATGGTGATGAGGAATTTTTTTTTTCTTCTTCTCTTTTTGTTCTTCATAATTTTTTTCGTTTATTTGCTTCTTGTTTTTTTTCTTCTTCTTCAAGATGATGATGATGATGATGATGGATGACAATTGGATGTTGAAGGCGTTGATTGTAATGAACACGATTGATCTGTTTGATGTGTTTGTGTGTATGTTGAGCCAGTCAAAATGGAAAGAAAAAAACCATTACCAAACCATCGATTAACCATATTCGATTAATAAGAATGATGACGATGACAGGATCACATGAAATAGAAAAAAAAAACAAATAAAGAATCGATTAATATGGTTGTTTCTTTTGATCTTGTGATATTTTTGTTTTCTCTCTCTCTCTCTCTCTCTGTCTCTTTTGGCCTAAATTCGATATGCATTCATTTAAGGGTTTTGTTATTTTCGAAACGAGCATGTAATTAGTCAACCACCACCAACAACAACAGCGACAAAAATGAATGACAATAACATTTCTGAGACACAAAATATTCAGTTTTTTTTGTTTACTTTCACTTTTCAATGTTTTTTTTTCAGTTTGTTTGCTGATGAAAATGATAATTGGATGGTACCCATTTATATATCAAATAAAATCATTGAGCCAAAATGATTTAAACACAAGCCAGAAACATACACATACACCACATATACAATTCCATTTACTTTTTTTTTTTGGTTAAATATTTGTCACACACATATATAAACATTTTGACATTATGTCATATTCGATTTGGACATATACAATTACAAACACCACCACCACCACCACTACTACTACTATCATCAACCATTGACCATTAACAAACAAACAAACAGATCACAAGATCAAACAAACAGAAACAATAATTTTTTTTTTTTTTGGATAAGAAATGACCATCAACCATCAATAAAAAAAAAACTCAAGTTTAATTCTTTTTTTTTTTTTTTTTATTGGATGAATTTGAGACATTATATGGCATCTGGTTTTTTTCCAAACAAGCACTGGTGATCGTTCATTCATTCATTCTTTTTTTCTTATTGTCGAAAGAGATAAAACAAACAATTTGTAACTTGGCATATGTGAAAACATCTAAATCGTTCGAGAAAAGAAAGAAAACAATTTTTTATAAATTCAAAACAAGACTGGAATTGAAAATTTGACAATTCAACCATGACCACATATACATATAAAGATTCATTTTATCATACACATTCATATACATAACATAAATCAATAAATCAATTTCAAACCTAATTTATCGGACAAAAAGATTCCAAACATGCAAAATTGCCCATTGGCCATTGAAGTAAAAAAAATGAATTCAATTTAATTCTTAACAAATTCACCTTTTACTAGTTTGACAATATAACGATTTTTATATTTTTCTAACATACAAGGTATGTGTAATACAATACTAAAGCAAGTATTTGGAATGTTGTATAGTAAAAGTAAAACAGCAAAGAAAATACCGAAAATAAAAACCGAGAATTTCGGTATGCAATAAGATCGAGATTGTACATGTTTTTTCACTATACAGAATCCATTCCATTGGGAGTATGGAAACAGACACAAAAAAAAATAACGGAAAAAAATCTTTATATTCAGTAACGAACGATTTGAATTGAATTCCAGATGTCGCTACACACATAGAGTGGTTTTTTAGCCTATAATAATTAACCAATCAAATTGACAAGTGTTGTAAAAATTGAGTCAAAATCGATAAGCAACACTCGTGTATACAACTACTATTTAAGCTGATCAAATTAAGCATAATTGATTGATGATATGATATAGATGGAAATAAAAACGTTACTGATAAAAATATATTGGTTATTTTTTTCACGAAGAAATGATTCAAAATGGAAAACATCTTATATCGATTCACAAACAAAATTGTTGACAAAATTAATAGATCAATAATGATGAATGATCCAGTCATCCTTAAATCATTACCTAGGTATGGTGAGATAGTGATCAAGGTTTCCATATCATCATCATCACCGGGATAAAAATAGCTTAGATTTTCATTTTGAATCCAAGGGAAAATGAAAAAAAGCATTCCGGTTTAATTAACCTATACTTTGTACACATTGCCATTCATTATTATTATTATTGCAGAATTAGGCATTTTTTTTAATGACCATCTTGAAATGATTTGTAACCAAGCTAGTAACGACAAGTTTGTTCCAGAATTTTTTTTTAATTTACAGAATCTTCTGCACAAAACAAATAGAAAAAAGAAATTTTCATTTCATTTATACGACCATAATTGATTTGCTTTTTTTTGGTTATTACCAATGACTAATGATAAATTATTTTATGATAGATACGGAAACAAAAATTCAGGAATTAAAGAGAAAGAAAAACCCGATTCCAGTCAATTGCGAATGAGACGTTTTTATGATAAAAATTTTTTTTTATTATTATTAGAGTAAAAATAAAACAAGACAATCACGGTAGATCGACAACAACAACAACGACGACGATGAATCATTATTATCATTCAAGATTCGATATATAAAAATAAAATGAACAATCATGATATTGTAAATTAAACTTTCGTCTCTCTATAAACTAAAGCCAAAACTTGACAAATCAATCTTGTGTGTGTGTGTAATAAACAGAATAATGATAATAATAATAATAAACGATACATACTTGGTTGATACTGAAAAGAATTTCATTCAAATAAACAAACAAACAAACAACAAAAAGTGAACATAATTTTGGATCAAATCAAGCACTTTGTTGTTATTGATCTTTAATGATAAACTTTCCACTTCTCTCTTGTTCAAATACATTCTATTGTTCAAGGGTTAAGAATTTCAACAATACTAATATATTCTAGCTATCGGAATATATTATTATTGACATGCATTAAATTCTGAATTGAACAGCTGTTTTTTTGGACAAATAAACAATCGGATAAACCAAAACAAAAAAAAAAAAAAAAACGATTCATGTTCGCTTTACTTTCAAGAGTTCAAAACAATAACAATCAGACAAAATCAGTCAAACAACAACAAACGAGACAAAATATTGAGCCACTCAAGTAAACTTGACACACATAAAACTTTCGCCATAAAAAAAAAAACTACTAATGGAAGCCAATTAATCAAATTATTATTATTATTATCATCACTTTTTAATGGTCTCATCATTTCTCAGGTGTTTTGTTTCCTGTTTACTACTACTGTTGTTACCGTATAATAATGATAAATAATGCTCATGTCAAAAAAAGGTGTGAAAAAACAAATATATAACACAGCAGGAAATGTCTGTGTCTGTGTCTGTGTGTGTGTGTGTGTGTGCGTATGGGAAAAATTCTCACCACATATATACCGCTAGAAAGAAAAAGAATAAACAAACAATTTTCTTTGAAAGAAATGATTGAGAAATAACTTTTTTTTCATTATTCTATTCATATATTGTAGCATATTATAGCAGTATAATATAATTGAAATTGTTCTAAATTTCTTTTTGTATTTGTGTTTGTGGGTTTTAATTTCAATTTGAAATTAGCTTATCTAGTTGTTATTTTGTTATTATTATTACTAATAAAAACAATGTGAAAGCAAACACTATGCATGAACAACAAAAAAAACAATCACGATAACTTACCGGATTCAAATGACAATGATGAAAGTTGATCGGGTAATTCAGCCGTTGTTAGATATGCAGAATTTTCATCCAATATATCGCCTAAAGCATTCCGTCTACCAGTACGACCAGTATTGAGAAATTCATCTACACCTACCACATGACGTGCATCTATAGCAGTATTTGATGCCATTACATTAGTAGTATCACTTGATTCGGCTGTTGTTGTTGTTGTTGTTGTTGGATCAATCTTTATACCCGAAGTTGATGGCTGTTGTTGTGGATCACCCATTCGTCGTTATTATTCGATTTTTCAAAAATAACAACGATGATGATGATAATATTAATATTGATAATGATGATGACGATGGTGAGAGTGATGAAGATGGTGAAATGAATTCACTGATGATACTTGATAATGACATCGGATAAAATTGATTTTTTTTCTGCTTTTTTTTCTTGCTATTGGTCAATTATGATTAATGGCGATGATTTCAAAAGATTATATTGTGCCCATCATTTTTTTGCTAGCAAAGAAACAATCCGAAAATAATGGAAATTAGTCAACATAGAATTAATCAGAATTTTAATCATTATTCTCATTATTTTTACAGAAATATCGATCGCACATCATTACAATATGAACAACAATGGTAATCTTTTTTTCTTTGTTACACACTTGACAACAAAATTTTCGTAGTCATTCCATTTGACTTGTATTTGTTTTGATATGATAATCATGGAGTGACACATATATAAAATATATAGAGATAAAAAAAACCATTTTTTTGATGTTTATATATGATTAGGCAAAAAAATAAATATCGGTTATCGGTTGTCAACAGCACAAACAAACAAACAAACAAACACACACACACACACATTAACAACAAAATTGGAAAAAACAAACAAAGAATTTCATCAAAATATAAAATCTCTAGAATAAATTGCGAATTTCAATAATCATCATCATTATTCATAGAGAAGTGAATAACAAATTCATTCACATTCAGTGATGTTGTTGTTGTTGTTATGAATCTCATTTACATAAATAAAAATGTGAAAAAAAAATTCTTTTTCCCAATAATAATTATATTTAAAACATATTATAATGAATCATTCACAGAGTCAAAGATGCACCATTTTCGTTTCCAAATTTGACTAAATAATGAGAAAAAAAAATTCAAAAGAAAAAAAACTGTCTACACAGCTTCTTGTTTGATGTATTAAAAAATGATGATGATGATGATGACGAATATTTTCCATTATTTAACCAGAATCATCAATATCATCATCAAAATGCTTGAAAATTTCATTGTTTTGATTCATTTTCAATATATATGAAAATAGTGAATCATCATAATCATTATAACAATAACAATTTCTTTCTATCACTCTCTCTCTCTCTATTGTATAACGTGCTTAATTCCATTCCAAGTATTACGTGTCCATAGACAAACATGATTCATAGATGGATGGATGGATGGATGGATGGGTACATTGAAATGCATTACGGTGAAGCAAACATTTTTGTCCAGCATACACTTATATTTGCCAACATGTTTTCTAATTCTTTTTGCATCTAGATATTTTTCTACAAAATTAAAATCCATTCATTCATTCATTATTGTTGTATTCAAATCCATCAAAAAAAAGAAGAAAAAACTTTAATGTGGGATAATATCAACGGAAGAAAAGAATGTTTCTAGATTTAATGTGATTACCGTGCGACAACAACGACAGCATTATCATTGTTTAAGATTAAATCATCTTGGCTTATTTATTTTTTTTTTTTGCTCTCTAATGAGCAACTACCATTACAACATGTAGACATAAAAAGTAAACATTGAATATTTCATCACCATAATCATCATCATCATATAATACGTCAAACACAAAATATTTAACAAGGAAAAATCCGTATTTTTTTCATACGTAAGTCATTACCATTACCATTACCATTACCATCATCATCATTGAGAATTGCCACTGTATTACACACCATCATCATTTCTCATAAATTCATTAATAAAGATCCGTTTATTTTTTGTAGAGAAAAAAAAGTTTAACAATTAAATAGTTACCTTTTATTTACAAAAAAAAAAAATTAGACAGAAAATAGAAAAAAAGTTTCAGCACACATACAAAAAAAATCAACAAACATGTTGTGCTAATAGGAAACGGAAACGCAATGTTCGTAGGATTTTGTTGAAGCCTAAAACAAAACAAAATTAAATCACCAAGCAAACCATGTGGTGGACGTGCAAATTTAATTGAGAAATTGAAAACACACAAAATGAGAAAAATGGAAATCAATCATCAACAACGTTGTTGCAACACCAGTGAAAAAATGAAAGAAAGAAACAAAAATGCAATCCAATTCGAATCGAATATATGGACATATAAACGACGCTGATAACAGATTGATGAAGAAAAAAAAATTATTTCATTCTTTTTTGAATGACGTAGTTTTTGTTGTTTCATAATGATGATGATCATCATCATCATTCAACAGAAATGAAATCAATGAAAAAAAAACAATAATGATCATTATGATTGAAATTATTATTATTATTTGTACACACAGACAATAATTGCAATTGGGAACAGAACAGAACAAAACAAAACAACAAGAAAAATCAAATACCCCAGATCTGAATCGTGATTTGGAATATGATTTTTATGATGATGATGATGATGAAAAAATAAATTGATATAAAATCCAATGAAATAATCAAGCAAAATCATAAACATAAAACAAAACAAAAAAAAAGCTGATAATGAATGAATCATTCGAATTGAATTATGAATTGAAATTATCAAAATCAAATTTTTCAAGCTGCATGATTGATTTTTTTTTGTTTGAAAATAGATGCAAAAAAATAAAACTCACACACATACATGGATAAAAACAAAAATGATGAAACCATGATGATGATTCGTTGATGAGTTTTTTGTTATCAAATTTTGAAAATTATTTTTTTTCTGTTTTAAATTTTTAAGATGAAAATTTCACTAAATTTTAAATTTATATATTTGCATCATGTTCATCACGATCATCATATATATATAGATAGATAGATAGTTTTCATATTTATCAATTTACGCGCTTTAGGTCGATATATACAACACACTTGAATATATTTATTATTATGATGATGATGATGATGATCAATGATAAGAATTTCAACGACGACGATGACGACAGAGAGAAAAAGAAAAAACAAAAATACCGCCGAGTTATCCAAGCGTCTGTACAAAACACACACATAAGCAATGCACAGACAAACACTGAATGCATAAACCAGAAAAGAAACAAAAAAAAAAATTCTGGTAACAGTAAAATACAAAAAGAATTTTGACATTTTTCATGTTGCCAGTTTGTTACTACCACTACTACTACTATTACTACTACTACAAGAAACGACGATGGCCAATGCGGACCAAGAAGAAAAAAATCATATAATTCTCTGATATAGTCATTTGTGAATATCGAAATCTGGTATATGTGGATACAATTCTTATAGAGATTTGTTACCCTCTCCAACAACCAAAAAAAAACACATACATTCTTATTGTCTCTGCATTCTGATGATGATTATTTTTTTCCAAGTTCGATCAAGTCGTTATAATGAATGATTCTCAAAAAACAACAATGACGATTACGAAAAAAGCAGAAGTATTAGGAAAAAAAGGAAATTTTGGTAAATAAAATGTCAGAGTGCGCAAATTCACTACTATTTACAAAATCAAATTCACTATACTATTTGGTTTTCACTATATATATACGTTTCTTTTGTATTCTATTCTTCTCAACAAACGAAGAATCTGGCCTTCTGATGATGATTTGATGACGTCATCCTGATTGATGATGATAATGAAATTGCTAACAGAAAATTTATTTTTTTTTTGCTCTTTCTTTTTGATAAACATTTATTTTACCATTCGATTTGGTGGCCATCATATTAGGCATAAAAAAATAAGACTATTGTCATCATCATTTGTTATTGTCAATTTGGTTTGTTTCAGGTGCAAACAAATATTCAAAAAAAAATTCAGAATTTTGTTATTCTATCTACATTATTATACAACACACACTTACTAATAATGATTGATTGATTGATTAACTATCTTGATTCTTTTCGTGTGTGTATGTGTGTTCGAATGTTGTATAATATTTATTTTACGATAAAAATAAAATACAAACAATGAAACAGAATATAACGAAACAATGTTATAATCAATACAAACACACATACATTATCAATTCAGCTTATTCGAGTTGATTTTGATAATCGATGAAAGCGTTTCACTTTTCGATTGCCAATTTAATATGTTAATAATGATGATGATGATTGGGAACAAACCAAATGACAAATCCCATTGTTATGATGATGATGATTGTTCACAATGAACATCCATAATCGAATATTATAAATAGCATTACAATAATTATCATATATAGAGAATACAACCAGGAAACAATAGTCATTCATTTCAATAAGAATAACGATTCATTGATGATGATGATAAGATCTATGCGAGAAATCTAATTTGGTTAATGGCAAATGTATTATGCAGACTAAATCATATGATCGTCAATAATGGTAATAAAGTTTATTATGGCCAACGTTTTCCATTGCAAATGTTAAATTTTATGTCATAATTATTTATATTATATGAATTTGAATCTTTTTCTTGATTGTTTTCCATCCAAAGATTTAGTGATGATTTGAATTTCGAAAATGTTGTACAAATAGAATAATATTTTCACTTACCGCGAATGATTGACAATGATTGTCAGTCGAATAAAAATAAAAATAAAATTTAGAAACGGAATTAATTTTTGAATTTAGAGCGCGCATATAAAAATCGATGAGCATGAAACAAGAAATCACATGTTAGATACAACATTTTGCTGTTGTTCAGTATATATATTATATTGTGGCGCCATCTTTTCAGTGTAAAAAAAATCATAATAACTAATTGCCAAGATAATAGATGTCGCCAAAGAATTTTTTTGAATTTTTTTTTCATTTTCATGAAAAATCAAAACACGGAAGTAATTTAATCAACACAAAATTTGAGATGAAATTCTTTTCGAAAAAAACAAAACAAAAAAAGTTTCATATTACAGTATTTATTATTATTATGAAGAAGAGGAGCAAAAAAAAAGCAGGCCAGCAAGCAAAATAGAAATAGAAATAGTTAATAATGTGAATCAATAATGATTTAATCATTAAATCAGAGAAAAAAAAATAAAGATTTGTACAAATCGAAAAACAATATATATGACATATATAGCCAAATTAGCCATTTACTCATTTAACAATCATCATTATTATATAATGGATAGACTCTTTTTATCAGTCATCAACGTCTTTTTTCTTCTTTTCACCCATCTACATTCATTGTGTGCGTTGTCGTTTTTAAAAATATGATTAACAAAAAAAAAAAAAAATGATCCATGTGTCCGAAAATTCGAAGACAACAACAAAAAAAATTATGTAATGAGATACGAATGTAGTAATTGATCATCATCATACATTCATTAATCGAAAAATAAATTGAGAGAAAGAGAAAAAAATGAGCTTGCAAAATATCAGACAAAATATAGCCAGATTGTGTGATTAATCAAATGTGTTAATTTTGTTTGATTTCGAAACAAAATTATCATTATTACTAATCCATTTCAAAAGAATGAAAGTTCCGTTTGGCAATTATCGGCTGTATTATTGAATGATTCGGATAACATTGTCGTCGTCGTTGTTGTTGTTGCTGCTGTTGTTGTTGTTGTTGTTATTGGTAAATGATTAGTGGCCATCAAATTTATTGATGGTGGTGATGTAGATGCAGTAGATCCACAGCCACAACCACCACTACCAGATGATAATGATTCACTGATCGATATTGAACGATTTCGATCATAACTATTTATCTGTATGGGTTTACTATTTGTAGTGGACAATGTTGGACTTGCCAATTGACTACTGGCACCATTTGAACCATGTGATATAGCTGGACTATTTAGTACTTCATTGAGCGTATTAACAAATACATTATGACTTTCAGATATTGAATTTGTATGCTGTAATCGTAATGCTTTGAATGAATGCAATGATACTTGTGCCTATTATTAATAAGTTTCAAAAAAAAGAAAAGAAAAAAGAATAATTTAAGGATTATGATTAAAACAAACATGATATGATATATATAGATGAATAGAATAGAATAGAATATTCAGGAATATGTCTTGAAATGATCACAAATACACAACCATCATGTGTGGTTCATTGTACATTTGATTTGAAATATGATTTCATTTGGCACAAGAGAAAATACTTCCTTGACGATGATTATATCTTTTCTATGGTTAGAAAAAAAATAACCACGAAAAACAAACAATCATTAAAAAAAAAAAAAGAATAACAACGACCTGAGAAATAATGTAGTTCATCAACCGACTTGTATTTATATCATTCGGCGGTTTATTGTTGTAAAAAACAACGGTTATATAATCATCATCATTTGGAAAACTCCCAACCATTGAATGTATTAGAATCTAAGAATAACTTATAGATCATCAACAGGAAAAAAGGTCATTAAATTCATTAATTTTTTATGGAATACCAAACAAACAAACAAAATTCCATTGAAATTATGTTCTATTACCACTACATACGATTAAGAAATTTTCATCAGATAAATAAATACAACCGACACACACACAATCGATATTTAGAAGTTGAAAATTTTCAAAAAAAAAAAACGATGTAAATGACAAACAATCAACCAGTGAAAACCAAAAAATCACCACAGAACAAACAAAACAAAACAAAAACAACACCACATTTAATCTAATCTCAATATTTAATTCAATACACACACACACGAATCTGGTAAATGAGTCAAATTCATTCAAATCAGTTATGTCCATTATATGTGTGTGTACTGTGTACAGCAATTGTCGGCATTATAATCATCATCATCATCATTATTAATCAGCAATCAATGTGATATGTCAATGATTTCTCTCTTTTTTTCCACACCGTTTATCTCAAGTGTTGTAGATCACACAAACACATGCAAAAAAAAAATCTAAACTTTACTAAATCTTATTATTATTGGAAATCTAATACAGAAATGTATGTGTATTTGTACAAAAAAACATTGTACATCTTATCATTATCATCATCATCATCATCACTTTGTGTGTGTGATTTGACAATCGAGACTCTAAATGATGATATGTGTGACAGATGTGAGAAAAATATAAACTTGTCAAATACAAATATATGCAGATCAAATCATCATGATCGTAAACTGACTGAAAAAAATTTAACACTTTCGCTTGAACATTTCTGTTTATTTTGTTGTTGTTGCCAACGAAATCTCTTTATGTATAATGTAAAGTTTTTTTTTTGGTTCGTAAGAATTCCGATTACAGATTCTCACAGAGCTTTTTTGTTATATTCAGTGCAATGTACAAGATTCCTATGCAGAATAAATGGTACATTGCATTGAATGTAATGTAAGATGCTGGAATTAAATAACAATTAAAAATTAATGAAAATAAACATCAAAAATGAATGAATGACAAAACTAAATCAAATGACAACGATAAATACTTTATATCAAGGCCATCATCAATAGAATGTAGGATTCTGACAATATTGCACATATACAAAAATACAAAAAATAAAATATTCATGGTCATGGTCATATCTAATAACAAACATTTCGATGTATGATAGATAGTGTCGAACCAAATCGATCGACTGATCGATTGATTGATTATACGTAATATATATTTATTTTATTTTATTTATATAAATACTCAGTTTTCATGCGTGCGACAATTTTTTTTCCAAGAAACAAGAATATGAATTACCCCTACCCCACTATCAGCAGCAGAAACCGAATGAAAAAGAAAATTCAATTCAATATTATGACCTAGCCTATACGTTTAATTTGATTTGATCGATAATCGAGTAATCTATTAAATTGATTGGCAGACCACTCCCAACAGAATTTCTTTTTTTTGAAGAAAAAAAAAAATTCTTTTTTTTTGCTTACAAGTTTCCATCATTGAATGAAACAAACAAAAATATTCCATTTAATTATTTATTTTTCGCAGAGACAAAGAATTTTAATGATTTTTTTAAAAAACAACAGCTATTTCCATACAGAATAAAATGTAAACAACAATCTGAAAAAAATGCTGAAACAATGAAAGAATATGATGATGATGATGATGATGACAAGTTGAAAATATCATTATTACTTGAAAGTGAAAAAAAGAAAACATCAAACAAACACAAACAATGTTTGTTTATAAAATACAAAAATTAGCTAACCATCAAACAAGCTGAAATTCAAAATCAAATCTGTTCCAACAATAATGATGATGATAAAGTTTTATTTAAATGATCGACAAAAAAAACGATCACTGCCAAATGAAATCCATCATCAATTAACAATTGTGATAAATCAATCATTCAAAACTGTGTGTGAAAAAACAAAATTGATCCAATCAATGATAAAATCAAACATATAACAATCAAATATGTCTCAATTGATCAATTTCTTTTTTTAGAATTCAATGGATAAAAATGATTATTATTAATATATCGCCTACCTGATCACTCCATCGTTGTCCATATTTCCATTCGGTTACATAATGTTCTGTATTACATTGTAATGCATTATATGGTACGGTTGTGCCAACCTGAAAACAGGTGATAAAAAACAAATTAAAAATAACTACAATAAAAAAGATAATTGAATTTGGAAAAAAAAATTTACAACAAAAAAAAAAAAATCCAAATGCTTAACAACAGGTTTATTATTATTGCATTATCTTTTTTCTGTCATTTTGATTGATTATGATCATTATTATCGTTGTGGTTGATAAATATTCACAAAAAAAACAATCGATTGTTTTTTCATTATTTTTAAACTTTTGAACTTTCACACACAGTTTTGGCATAATTTATTCTTTATAATACGTATCAATAACAAGTTTTTCTCTCTTATTTTTCCGACTAATTGATTATAAAATCATCTAGATGAAAAGTAAGTCCGTTGTCAATATTATTTAAAGAATAAAATGTACATTTTTATTTCTTTAATTTTTCCTTATTACGTCTGTGTGTGTGTGTGTGTGTGTTTAACGATTACGATATTTATTCCAAACTTGGCTATCTTCATCACCATCATCATCATCATCATGTGATCATAGATGTTGTCATTACCGTCGTCGTTTATTGGCATTGGTTGTTTAGCTGGCTGGCTGTTGCCAAGAAACAAACCTCGTTTTGAAAATTATCGGCATTATGATGATGTTGATGATAGCAAAACAAATGCAATGATGATGAAATCGATATTTCAAATTCAAATCAAACAACAACAACAACAAATAATAATTTCAATTCAAAATGAGATAGAATTATTTTTTTTTTCATTGATAAAATCGATTCTCATAATTATCGACAAAAAAAAACATTGATGTTTTAGATAAAAATGCATTCTCATCATCATTATCTGGTGCAATGATCGATCTATAACAATGATCATTGATCATTAACAACGACAATGAGAATTTTATAATGGATCAAATTCTAAGAAAATATCTTTATGGTTAATTTACATTTTATAAATAAATAAATTCCACACTGCTGAAAATAGATAACCACACCATCTAAAGATAACCGAGGCCAAAGTCATCTTCGATATATCAATATAATTTACACTTATTCATTCATGACAAATCAAGGTTTTTTTGTGCGGCAAAAATAAAATAAAATAACTGTTGGCACGTGCATAATCATGATGATGATGATGATGACGCAGATGACTGAAAATAAAGAATTTATATATCGCTAATCAAGCAAAAATTCTTGGCGAATGTTGTTGCTAAATGTGACAACGTTCTTTCCATCATTATCATCTTTTTATACTGAATATATCTCAAGTTCATTTTAGTTCAGTTCTATAATAAAGTTAATAATAATCACAAATCAGAGAAATTTGTAGCGAAAAAAAATTCTGTTCAATGTAAAGCGAAAAATTAATGATAGGCACAAATTTCGCCTGTCATTTTTTTTACTTTCTTTTTTTCTCTTTTTAAATTCTCATTTATTGGTATAGGAATTGTTATTTTTACTGAATAACATGAATGAATGAGCCTGTCATTCTGTTTTTTTTCCATCAACGATTCTTGTTGATTTGATGAATGATTGATTGGATTCACAAGTATACAACCATTGACAACAATTCCGTTAAAAATCGTCAATCTAATCAGATGTGTGTGTGTGTGTGTGTGTGTGTGTGATGTCAATCGACTTAAGCTACAAATTGGGAAAAATTTGAATTTGGAAAAATAAAAAATTCCAATCAAACAAACAATAATCATCTGATTTAAACAAACAAACAGACAGAAAAACCTGGTTACGTCACGTAATATTCATATGGTTCATAAACTTGGAAACCAAAAAGTGAAGAAAAAATATCAGATTTCTTTTTTCTGAACCATCAACCAGAATCGACCAGAAACAACATCACAAATACATACAACCAACAAAACCATTTCATTCCATAACACGTGTATGCGTGTTGCAGTCGTCGTTTTTTGGGTTGAATTTTTGTTTCGAAAAAGCAAAAAAAGTGTGCCACAATCTCTTCTCACTATAGTTTTGTATGTGTGTGTATGAAAACGAACAAAAAAAAGACCTTGAGAATTTTGTCAGAGATTCAGTCCTTCAAATACACGCACACACACACACACACTAAATTCACTTGTATATATGATGTGCAAGTTAATGTATGAAGCTATACTGCCAAAGTGACTGAGCATTGAAAATTGAAACACTAAAATGAAATCGATAAGTTCTGAACAAAAAAAAAGAGCGAAGAACTGTGTATGCGTATGTGTATATATAGTGAAGATTTACAAGACGAAAAATTGAATGAAATAACATCAGAAACAACAACAATAATAAAAATAAAAATAAAAATCTTTCATGTATCCGTTCCAGCAATAGCAATAGCAACAACAACAACAACAACAACAAATAGAAAAAAACATGGCCATCATGTGACCTTAAATATGGTTCCTGCGTGTTTGGAAATATTGAAGCTTTCATATTCGAATAAAAAAAAGAATTGGATTGAATGATGATGATGATGATGATGGAACGGTAAAGTTTTTTTTCTCAATAAAAATAATATGGTCCTGGAACATTCCAAATGATTATTTCTGATGTATGTGTAAAAAGAGAGAGAGAGAGAGAGGGGGAATTGATTGGAAAATTTCAAATCGTATCACAAACACATACCTTGGAAAGAGCTTTTCGCACGACAATTTCATTATTAAAAGGCAAAAGATTACGTTCTTTAGCACGATGTAATTTATTATTAACACGACAATAATGATCACCAGCAACAATGGTTAATGGTACAAGTTCAACATGAGCAATTTCTGAATCTGGTACCATTTGTATGGCATCATTGCCAACAATAACGACAACATCACCATCACCAACATAAATACCCCATTGTGAGAATAATGTACGATCAAATTCAATTATATCACCAGGTTCTGGATGTAATTCAGATGCTGGACGAAATGAATGTAGATCAATTTTTAATGTATTCGGTGGTACTTCAATTGCAATCGTTTGATTCTGATCAATTATAATTAATTCATTTGGTTGCTGTGAATGTAGACAATTTTCCAGGTCAAGACTTGTCGATTTGATTGCCGAATTTAATATAGGATTCGATGATGATAATTCTGTTGATGCTGCTGCTGCTGCTGCTGCTGTTGTTGTAGATGGACATGAAGAAAAACTTCTTAATGTTTTTACACGTGGTGTTATTGTATCAGATGTTCCGGTTGTCGCTGTAGTTGTTGTAACCATTTTTATTATTGAATTTGGTGATGTTGATACTTTCGTTTCATCATGATGATAATCAGATTTTGTTGAATTTGTCGTCACTGTAGACGTATTAGACAAATTTATTATCGGTGTTGATAGCTTCATTCTCATCATTCAGTCGTTTTGAAAAAAAAAATTTTTTGACACAACACAAAAATGAATTCACCAAAAATTCACAAAAATAAATGTGAGACAACAGAAAAAAAACAATTATAAAAATAAAACAGGCAAAAAAATTTTGTTAATTAATTTATTTTTGGTTTGATAATATGATAGCACCGCTGTTTTGATCAAACGGAAATTGTTATCAAAAAAAAAATAAATAGATTCTATTCACAGAAATGAAAATAGGATTTCGAATTTTTTGTTTTCCATCGGATGGTTCGATTCGATGTCGATTTTCTACATTTACGATTTTCGGTTTGATCTTGTATAATTTGTGTGTGCTGTGCTGTATGCATATATTTTTTTTTGTTGGACACAAAGTTTTTTGTTTGTTTGTTGCCTGCACATATACACAATATCGTTAGCTATATGAGTGTTTACCATGTACCTCTGTTTCATACCACCATCATCACAATAGTAACAGACGATTGAAGAATATGATGTGTTTGGATGATTATAAATTGTAAATGTATGACGCCGATGATGATGGTTCGATGGATAAAATAATATCCAGTGAGAACTTTTCACTTTTTTTTTTATTATTATTATGCGTTTGTTTTATAAATATAGCGCAAACGCAAACGTAAATTTTTTTCTTTGCAATTTGATTATGATTTTTTTTTTGTTATGATTTGATTGCGATTGATGATGCTACCACACACACATATACACCATATATATTGATGATGGAGGCGTTATTATGATGATCGTGATAATGATGATGATGAGGGAAAGTAATATATATTCATCATTGGATAGATATGTGATGTTTCAGGCCATCAACACCACCACCACCACCACCATATAATCCTCATTGGTAGTCGATTGTTGGAATTTTTTTTTGACAAAGTTATTTTCCATGGTAAACTAAAAATGTAGATGTTACAATTGGATTTCCCATTATGAATTGGATTCAATTTCCGAAAAATGATTTTGTCTATTTGTTAATCAAGTTAGATGTACTTTCAGTTCGTTTTACGTTTGGTTTAGATGTAGTTGACCTGATTTTTCCTTGTTTTTTGAATCATTTCTCTAGAATATTCTGTGATTATTTTTATTTATTCAATTCGAGGACCAATAATGTTTATCATTGCGCATTTTCATTGTTTGGATGCGTTTGCGTAATCGAGAAAAAAAGTAATTTCAAATAACAAAAACAAAAAAAAAAAAATTAAGATCCGGGTATGAAGCAAGTTTTTTGGTGGAATTTCAGGTTTCTCGAATAGCTCAACATTTTCATTCTATAAACAACAAAGCAAAAAAACAGCAACAACATAAATTGAGATAAATCAATTTCGACAGAAAAAAGGTACATCTGTTTCTTTTGTTAGGTACACATCATTATCATTCTCATCATCATGGATCATAACATCAGAGATACCAGAGAGCTAAATATAACAACACAATTAAAAAAGAATCGAAATTCGGAATTTATTTTTTTTCTCTTTTCAGTGCATTGCATTGTTTTCGTTGTTTCGTTTCATTGAATTTGAATTTGAAAGGATTTTCTTTTCGTACATCTTAAATAATCTTTTCGATTCGAATTTTGATGATCATCAAAAATAAATCATTGTTCAGATTCTTAGAAAGTGTGATGTGTTTAAAGTGCTTTTTGGTTGGTAAACAAACATTATGATTAGTTGATTTGGTTGTCTGTGTCTGGTTATTTTTATTTTTATTTTTTTTTTTTTTTTGTTGCATTTGTATGATGACGTTAGTGTTAAACATTGAAACAAAACAAAACAAAAATCCAGATTTGATTAGAAAATCACTTTTAACAAAGGTCACAAAAAGGGCTATTCTTTACATTCAAATGAATGGTTGAACACATCATTCATTTCGCTTTCATTTCAAGGACAAACATCAAAAAAAAAAAAAAAAAAATGATATCAATGATAACAATCATTGCGTGTGTGTGTGTGTGTATGCGTAGGGCTCCATCCATGATGGATTGATGAATATGATAACCAGTGTGACCAGTTTTTTGTGCTTTTGGGCTACAAACTTGATTCAGAATGAATTGAAAATGAATTGTTTTTTTTCGAATTTTACACGAAAAAAGTTTATTTTTCATACAGAAAATCCTCAGAATAATAATAAAAAAATGATTTCCGTTTAGAATTAGATGAATCAATACCGCAAAAGCAAAACACATAATGATGAAATGGCGAATCGCTAAAAATACAACTCCTTACAAGTTGAACACACACACACAAAAAATTAAAATTTAACCAATGTAAATGATAATTAAAATTTTTATTATACAATTTTATCATCATCATTACACCGGCATTTAGAACCTGATTCATTGATTACTAACCATTTATGATCATTGATGATTAGATAATAATGAAGAGAAAATTATTCTAATACAGAAAAAACGGCACATCTTTCACATTTGATGATAAAATAAAATTTTACAATGGCCACTTTTAATACTGATGACTAATAAAATATCCTTGACAATTGTTGTTGTTGTTGTTGTTGTTGCAGACTATACGCACAACGTGTTTTTTTTTAATTTTTTAAGTTTGACAAACAAAATCGCCCCAAAAGACCATTGACATTTTAACATCAAAAAAAAAACAATTATTCCATCATTCAATGTTTGTTTTCACCACCATTCTCGTTGTTTTCCCAAATCCATTCACCACCACTTGAAAATCAAATGATGATGATGAATAATTCTTTCAAAACAAAACAAGTTCATTAACGTTTGGCAACAACAACATTTTTTTGTTTTTGTTTTTTATTTGAATTTGGAATATAATGTAAATGCAAAAAAAAGTGAAAAAAAGTAAAACAAACAAAAAACATTTGTTCAGGAATCCAATTATAGCAATGATTATAGAGATATCATCATCATCATCAGTCTTGCATTCATTCAGACAAACAAACAAACAAATAAAGTTGTCATCCGAAAACAATAACAACAACAAAAATACTTTTGATGCCCGATTTTTATTTCAATCAATCAATGTATGTATTCATCAGTGAGTGAGTAAGCGAGTGAATGAATGAATGGATAGATGGATGGGTGGCTGGGTATTTTGATGCGTGTGGTTTATATATAAATTTGTCACATTCAACAATACATCATTCACGAATTATTTGATTTGTTTGTTTGTGGACGATTCTTTCGAACATCTATATATATCTATAAAATTGATTTAAATTCATTTCAATTTATTCTTCGATTGGTGCATCAAGATCACGATATCTGTTTATAGAATTTAAATGAAACAAGAGAAAAAAAAGAAAATTGACAGGTTAAACTCGATTTATGTCTGATATGGATGTGTCTGTGTGGGTGTGTGCGTGTAGAAATAAATTTTTCATAAGAAACAAAAAACCGGAAAGAAATCGGTTATTCAGTTTTTTATTATTCCAAAATAATATTTTAAAATCAATTTGACAAATCAAAAATGCTTAAAAATCTAAATGGGTTAAATTCCTATTTTTTCCCTTTTTTATGAGGAATGTGTGGGAGTGGATATGACCTATTCAAAAAAAATTTTAATTTAATTGGATTTTTTTCTCTCTCTCTCTCTCACACACACCAATATTAATGACCGGAAACTAATACCATGGAAGAATGGCAATAATCAATTATTGATTATCTATGTCAAGAGAATTTTGTTCAGATCAATTCCTCGAAGGCAACGTCATCATAATCGACAGTGTCACGCGATGCTGATGGTTCCCTATTTTTTGAAAGGTAAAAGATAGAGAGAAAATGGGACAAGAAATATAAAAGATTTGACAATATTTCATATTCATTCATTCTTCTGATTGATTTGTGTAAAAATCATATTTATACGCTGTTATATTCTCTATATCTGTGTATGTATGTAATGTGTTTGTGGTGTTCAATGATAAAAATCCACTTACCGTCTTTTAAGATTTGGTCGCATATATGGATCCATAATCTGTCCATGCAATAGATATGGTGGTGGATGTGGACCAGCATTTGGATATCGTAGATAACCACCACCAGCCATTAAGCTTGGCATATGATTACCACCACGATGATTATAACCAAAACCATGTGGTCCACTAAGAAGTGGTTCATGTCTTGTTGTTTGCTGTTGTTGCAATGGTTGTTGATTATTTTGTGGACGATTCAATGGATGTTCCGGTAATTGTGGTCGTTTCGGGTCCATTATATAATTATTAAAATAGACTGTCTCTGCTTTAACCTGTTCGACACGTTCACCATGTTTATTCAGTATATGTTTACGAACAAATTCTGGTCCCATAAACTTTTTATTCGATAATGGACATAGCCATTTTCCTTCACCCAATTCTTTTGTGTTTTCTTTGATGAATGCATCAACTGAATCGTCAATAACTTTCAAGCCTAATTTATTTGCTTCTTCAGGCGTAATCTCTGGAATCGGTTTCAATAATGTCGATAGAATCCTATTTTCAAAATCTTTTATATATTCTGTTATTTCGACAGATGTAACACGAGCCGATGAAATTAGACCGCGTGCATGAACCAGGCCGATACGATTTGGCATTTCATCTTCATTGGCATAGTCACAATGATTGTAATAATCAATTGAATGTACGATTCGTAGATAGAACAAAAGCCGATCCAGAACTTTGATCAAATCTTCATCTCTTTCCAATTGTGTGCCTTCATTCGAGCCTGTTGCATTGCCATTCGCTTCGCAGGATTCATCGATTTCTGGCGAAACGATTGCCGGATCTTCCACTGATGTGCCCAATAATTCAGCTTCTTCAGCTGGTGCTTCTTCAATCAGATAATCGGTAATATTTTTCATCAATGGATTACGTGATGGAGTGGACAATGTATTCGTCGAACCATTTTGTGGTTCGGTGTTTGTTTCATCTAAGGTTTCTTCCCATAATTTTTTTTGCTGATCAAGTTTCATAATTAATTTTGCCGCATGTCGGATATCTGCACGTACAACGGTTTTATCCGATGATATTCCATTGATTGATCGAATGCGTCTAGTTAGATCTCGATTAACAATCGGACTAAGTTCAGTTCCTCGAATCTAATTGAAAAAAAACAAAAATTATCATCATCATAAATTTTATATTTCACAATGAAAACGCTTACTTTAACATTGTTTAGATTCCAACAGATTTCACGAATATTAACCGTGCGTTCATAGGTTGCCCATCCACGGCGATTAAATCGTCGATCCATTTGTGGTTCAGAAATTGCCAAACGTAAAAATCCAGGAAATTTACGACATTCCTATCGGAAAGAATTCATCAAATATCACGGAATAAATTTGCAACATATAACAAGACTTACATCTTCAATTTCTTGACGTGTGATTGATGGTGCTATATTGCGAAAAAATATCGAACAAGTCTTATGCAAAGCTCGCGGTTTCTTTTCATTGGAATTTTCACATTCATTTTTTTCTTGTGATTGTTGCTGCTGCTGTTGTTGTTTGGAATCAGTATGTTGTTGTTGTTGTTGTTCATCATTATCATCTTTGCTTGCATCTTCGCCTTCTTCAATCAATTCACCATCACCACTTTCAGCACCATCATCCATCATTGGTTTCAGTGTTTGTGATACTTCACCATCTTCGGACATTTGTTTTTCTTCATCAACGACATTTGTTTCATCCGGTTTTTCTTCATTCATTTTCTCATCAGATTCATCAGGCATTTTATCATTATCACCATCATTCTCATTATTATTGACTACATTATCGTCCGTTTTATCGCCAAAACTAGATGAAACGGATGAACCAACTGCTGGAGCTGCCGTTGATATAAATGATGATTTTGTTGTCGATGATGAATCGATAGCAAAAATCGAATCAATATTTTTTTGTTGTTGCTGCTGTTCATCAAATTCATTGTTTAGAGCATTCAGATCAAAATCGTTTCCACCTTCCATTTTAATAACGGCAGCATCCAATACTTTGATTATCTGTTCAGCTTTATCAACATCTAGTGAAACATTTTCAAAATATTTCTTTTCATATAATTCCATGAAAACATTCAATCGATTCTGATACGTTTGTTGCATTTTCGTTTTTCGTTTTTCCATCTCATCCGGATAATATTTACATCGAAACCTTTGAATATGGAAAAAAGAATGATTAACATAACAAAAAAAAAAAATATGAGAAGATGGAAGGAGTATATGGGACAAAAAAGTTGAAATTCTATTCATGATCAACATATTCGAATGATATATATATATATTTAATATATTTCTCACCTCTATGAAACCTAATTAATAATTTTTTTTGTTATATAGCACAATATTAAAAGAAAAAGCTTTCAAAATGAAAGAAACTTTAAATGAATAAATTCAATCAAATCAATAAATTAATCAATCAATATTGATTGATTAATGGATGATGAATATTTGTATGTGAAACGGAAGATTGTCGATTTACTGATCACAGATATAAAATATATAGGAAAATTTTTTTTTTGATGTAATGAACAAACGAAAAAACAAAAAAAAAAAAAAAACAAAACAAAACCAAGTCAAATCTGAGAGAAAAAGTTGACATTGAAATGAAGACACTGAAAATAAAGAATTGAAGATTTTCAAAAAAAAACACACTGGAATAAAATGAATTTTTTTTCAACTAAAAATAATTCACCAGAAAAAACAACACACACAAACTATGCTACAAAAAAAACAACATTCGAATCAAATACTATTTGTATTGAGAATCACAGAATAAATATAAATGCCCAAATAGATTGGCCTGAAAATTTAAGGAAAAAAAAAACAAAATTTTCGAACATTTTTTTCGATTGATTGATTGATTTGAAAATGAATCAATCAATCAAATAAAACAAAGAAAACTTACCATTCTTCATCTTTATGGCGATTAAAAAATTCCTGTATCTGTGTACGTTTAAATTCGCATTTATAATCATTATATTTAGAAATAAGAATTTCACTATCAAGATGATCATCTTGTTCATTAACGAATTGTTTTACAGTCATCATTGGTGGTTGATATAATCTAATAATTATTGATAAATATCTTACAATTATTCAATCTTGAATCAATTATTATCATCATCATACTCATCATCTCGTTCACGATCATGTTGTCCATAACTATCGCGATTATAATGTGAAGCAACATGATGACCTCCGCCACCACCAGCACCACCACCACCATGATATCCACTATCATAATTGGAATAACGTTCATCCCAATCGCGTCCACCAGTAGAACGTATTCGTTTCATTGGTGGACTCATATCACCGCTACGATCCGCAGGACTATAACGATCATTACGGGAATAATTCATTCGACCTGAATTATAATTATCTCGATAATCACGTCGACCGCTTTGATTGCGATCACGTTGTGACCAACTAATTCGAAAAGAAGTCCGTTGAATTATATAAAGTTTATTATTCGAAATTTCAATCTTACCTATCCGGTGCCCAATCATCACGGCGATTATTTATATTTCGATCATTGTAATCATTTCTTTCGCGCCGGAATTTATCACGGCCACGACGTCGATCGTAATCATCATCACTATCAGCCATAATTATTGAATGATTTTTTTCGATATTAGATTACCACTAATAATTAAAGGTCCAAATATTATGATCAAATTATTACAAAATAAGATTCAACCCAATGTTGTTAATTATTACCTCATCAACACACACAAATACTCAACAAACAATTGGGCACTGTCACTCACACAATATAATGAATGCGGCTTTGTGAAAAAAAAAAATATCGAGCGCATTTGCTATGATGAACGAAACTATCGATACAAGATTGATTTGCCGGCCTGTTTGTATTTCGTAAAATCGAGATTTTTATTAATTTTTTTCAAGAAAAACAAACATTTATTCATTTAAAATGTACAATGATAATGATATTGATTATGTTAAAAAACAGAAAATTGTTCATTATGGAAGTTTGGAAGATTCGGTTCGTATGTTACAACAATCAAACCAACAACAACAGCCAGAACCATCAACATCATCGAATATCAATACATCGAATCAATATTTTGATCTCAAACCAGCACCATTATTGAATAATGATAAACAAAATGCATTGGAAGAATTGGAACGGAAACGTAAAGCACGACAGATTGCTGTCTCTACGGATGATATCGAAGTACGTGCCCATCTTCGACATCTAAATCAACCGATGTGTTTGTTCGGCGAAGGCCCTGCTGATCGTCGTGAACGTCTTCGACAATTATTGGCAAGGCTCGGTGAAGATGCTATCAAAAAGAATAAAGATGAAGATCGAAGTCAAGAGGAAAAAGAACCTAGTAAAACTTGGTATCATGTTGGAAGTGAAAATTTATTGAAAGCTCGTCAATGGATTGCCGAATATTCGATACCGAAAGCAAAAGAACGATTAAAAGAGGCAAGACATTATAAACAAATCCCATACGAAGTTCGTGAAGCAAACAATCAGGAACTGTATAAAAAATTACGATCAATGGAAATCAGCTGTTCACAAGTGGCCGATCAACGGCCCATTTCTAGTTGTTCATTCAGCCCGAATGGTTCGCTAATTGCGACATCATCATGGAGTGGTCTCTGTAAAATATGGTCACTGAATGGATTACAGCTGAAATATACACTTCGTGGACATAATTGTAATGCTGATGACATTGCATTCCATCCTCGATCGACAATTGATCAGCCAGAAGAAGCTGTAAATCTAGCATCATGTAGTGTAGATGGTTCTGTACATCTTTGGAATCTTGGCAAAGAAGAACCTATACATTCATTGAATGGTCATCAACCACATCGTGTGAGTAGTATTGGTTTTCATCCATCTGGACGATTTCTCGCCACTTGTTGTTATGATAATTCATGGCGTTTATGGGATCTTGAATATAATGAAGAAATTCTACATCAAGAAGGTCATTCAAAACCTGTACATGAAATTGATTTTCAACGTGATGGTAGTGTTGTTGTTACAGGTGGCCGTGATGGTTTTGGCCGTGTTTGGGACCTACGAACCGGACGTTGTATAATGTTTATGGATGGACATCTCAAAGGTGTTATATCGGTATCGTTCTCACCGAATGGTTATCAAATTGTAACTGGAAGTGAAGATAATAGCGTTAAAATATGGAATCTACGTGAACGTAAATTAGAATATACTGTTGCTGCACATACGAATATTGTTTCAAAAGTACGTTTCGAACATAATTTAGGAAACTATATAATGACAGCATCCTATGATAATACGATTAAATTGTGGGCACATCCAGCATGGACACCGATCAAAACACTTAGTGGTCATGATGGTAAAGTGATGTGTGTGGATGTATCAAATGATAATAATTATCTAATATCATGTTCATTTGATCGAACGTTTAAACTATGGGAACAACAACATCTTTGATCATTTTGTCATTTAATCATTTTTGTTTTGTATATTCCATTTCATTTGATATATCACAGCAATTTCAATAATGAATCATATTTTTGCCAAAATTCTTCAGAAATTATATCCACATTCATTAGATCAAATAATTGTTGTTGATCATCTGATGATTCTTGGATTAATGGATATTCCACACACATTTTGTCTTTTTTCTGTTTTTTATTCTTTTTCGTATTGAAATTGTTTGTTGATTTTTGATCCATAAATAATCGACGATCAATTTGTTCCATATTCAATGTGATAATTGTACCTTTACGAAATTGTTGCAATTCATTATTATAATTGATACCATAATCTGTGAATAGAATTTCATTTTTATCACCACTGGATGTATGTGATAATCGTTGTGTTGCTTCATTTGTCGATAATTTAGGCAATAATTTTGGACCACAATAAGGAAATGAAACATTGAATTTATCACTTTTATCATCATGCTCATAGTGAGTATATTCACCGGTCAATGCATAAAAGGTTGTATTGTAAAGATTATTAATATGACAATCAACTTGTCGCCATCGCAGATAATCCATTAATGTTCGTTCATTTGGATAAAGAATACAACGACCATCGAATGATGGTGGATATTTCATCGTTTGTGTCAGCGATAATGATTTCGTTCCATCAGCCGCTATTTTCGGTATCAATCGTGTGTTTTTCGCATCGCTAAAATAATCATTCCAATGGTAAATGAATCCAGCCGTAAACGTTGATGTTATCAATGAAATGATTTTATTCTGTCGACGATTAAAAAACTGTGCCATTCGTCGTAAGATGAAACTATATTCATCACTTTGACCATATGCCATAATGATATTCGGATAGAATGATCTCATTACGTGCAATGCGGATCGATTCATTAGATCTAAACATCTATTAAATTTTATTAATTGAAAAAGAAAATTGTTCCAAATATTCAACATTTACCTTTTATCATTTGGTTTTAGAAAATTATGTTCCTTTGCATATCGATGAAAACATTGTCCATCGACACGGACAACGATGTAGGAATCTAACAATAGATGATAATCGGTTGCCGATTCAAATTGCCGAACATATTCATATTTTGATTTAGCCATTATGGGTGGTGTTTGGATCACAAATCGCGGTTTCGAACACGCGAACCAAACATCAATCTTGCCTGGTCATAAATGACGTAAATTTCTGTTCCATGCCGTTTTGATTAATATTTTTTTAATAATAATTTTTTTATAATTTATGATTCAAAATAATGGATGATCCGATGCTAAAATCGATCCAGGAAGCAGTGTTGAAAAAGACAAGCATTTCAAAAAAATTACAGATTGAAAGTCCAAACATAACTGATGATTCTGGCGGCAATATTTTACTACAGCAAAAAGTTGGTGGTTATGATTTCAATAAAGGAATCAATCATTCCGCTTTGTTGCAAACATATTTGACCACTGGATTTCAGGCAACAAACTTTGCTTTGGCAATCAAACAAATTGAAGCAATGCTCAACGCTCGTCAGGAACCATTCGAATCGGATGAATATGAAGATGATCCATTCATTCGACGACAAACGGGATGTACAATATTTCTCGGCTATACTTCGAACATAATTTCCAGTGGTATTCGAGAAACGATTCGTTTTCTCGTTCAACATAGAATGGTAATTTTTCTCATTAACGAAAGCTAACAATAATAATGATTTTATATTATATATCAGGTTGATTGCATTGTGACCACTGCTGGTGGTATTGAAGAAGACATTATCAAATGTTTAGCGCCCACCTATGTTGGTGATTTTCATCTATCTGGTCGACAATTACGTCAGAATGGAATCAATCGAATTGGAAATCTTCTCGTGCCGAATGATAATTATTGTCTATTTGAAGATTGGATCATACCGATATTGGATGAAATGCTTCGTGAACAACAAACACAAAAAATGATATGGACACCATCGAAAATGGCTACAAGGCTGGGTAAAGAGATTAATAATGAAGAATCCGTCTTATATTGGGCTTATGTAAATCGAATTCCTATATTTTGTCCGGCTTTAACCGATGGTTCATTGGGTGATATGATCTATATGCATTCATTCCGAAATCCTGGTCTCATATTGGACATTGTTGGTGACATTCGTCGTTTGAATACGATTAGTATGAAAGCACGACAAACTGGCATGATCATACTCGGAGGTGGTGTTATTAAACATCATATTTGTAATGCAAATTTAATGGTATGTTTTTCTATAACAAAATTATCATTTATTTCAAAAAAAAGCTTTCTAAACAAAAATATATAGAGAAATGGTGCTGATTATGCCGTGTTCATCAACACTGGTCAAGAATTTGATGGTTCGGATTCTGGTGCCAGACCTGATGAAGCAATTTCATGGGGAAAGATAAAAATGACTGCTAATCCTATTAAATTATACTGTGATGTTTCACTGATTTTTCCGTTGATTGTGGCCGAAACATTTGCTAAATATCATCATTATAGGTAAGCGAAATATATCAAATATATATTTGTCAATCAAATAATTTTGTTTCCATATTCATTTATCACAGTCTTTCGAAAAAATTGCTTTGAATTTGAAAATTAACAAGAAAAAAAAGAAAGAAAGAATAGCCTTATTTTATCACTATTTTTGAAATTGTTTTTCATATTCATTCAAAATCCTTTGACATTCATGAATGTTTTCTATCAGATTTTCCAATGTCCAATGTTTTTGTAGCAATGCCTGTTCAATAGTGAATGGTCCATATTGTATCAGACGAATGCCGGTACAACGTGCACAAGATTTCAATGCAATACCAATTTCGTTGACCAATTCGGCAAGGAAATGTTCATTTTCATTTTGACATTGAACTTGAAAACTAAAATTCGGTGGTTCAAACGTAATCGGTTTTATGGCCGTAATTAATGGCATCGTTTCTTTCGTAGCTGGACGAACATGGCCTTTAACGGCCATTTGATAGGCATCTTCACTTTGAATATTAACATTCGCAACTTTGAACATTAATGAACGTTGAGCAGCTTCAATTTTCGAAAGAATTCGTTCATAAAATATTTCCTGAATATGCTTATATGATGATTTCATTCGTACTTTTCCATCATCACGGTAATTCAATGATGCTAGACCAAATTCACCTTTAATTTCATATAACTTTGGAAGATTATAACGTTTAAATCCGGCTCCTTTATAAGCATCCGATCCAATAAAACCAACCATAACGCCACTGGCATACCATCCTGGGTTATTGGTAAACATCAAGGCTATTTGTTTAGGATCATATCTTGGACCCGAAACTAATGGATGATCGGCTAAATTAGAACGAATCTCAACATTCAAATCGGAATCTAAATCGCCAATTATTTCGATTCGTTCACGAGGTGAACGACATTCCATTGCATTCAATTCTATATATGATGATTATTTAAAAGACCAATTAATTAATTAATGACAAAATAACGTATTCAAAAAATTACCATCGGATACTTTTTGAGTTAATGCCAATCGAGTTTTTTTGAATCCTTTTTTCGGTGGTTTATACAAACAAAAACAACCACGAAGCATTCGATACGCAGCTGGTGCGTAGCTGATTTCTTTCGGCACAATATTCATCATTTTGGAACCAACATGATAACATTTCGATTACAAATGGAAAGAAACGAAAACAAATTGAAAAAATTCTAAAATCATGCCTGTCATGTGATGATAATCGATTATGACAAAACGATAGTGTCGTCTGTCACTATGAACCACGCGTTTTTTTTGTCCAAAAATTCATCATTCAATTCTAATTTTTATCTGGAACTGATGTTTGAAAAAAAACAATTTTTTTGTCATTATCATTATTATATATCATTGTCAACCGGATGAAATTTTCGGTGACCGAAAAATCGAGCAGCACATGTGTATGTGATGGTTTTATTTTCTCTCATCATCATCAATGTTCAGGAAATGTTCTTGATTGCTAAATTTGGCGCCTATTTTGCCTTTCCATTTCACTTTATCATCATTTGCAATGGTAAGATCAATGAAAGAAAAAAAAGGAATAGAAAAAAATCACATCACATCTATATCTATTCATCTTCCGCTCTTATTATTTGTTCGACGACATGAATCCACCTAGCGATCATCAACATTATCAAAATCATCGTTTTGATAACTACTGCTGCTACAACAATTAGATGATGTTTGTATGTCATACATCTAACAGCATTATTCAAAACTAGATGGAGAGTTGTCGAAATGTTGGTTTGAAAACTTGATCAAAACCTCCCAATCATTACTATTATTGATAGAAGGTTTATGAGTGTAAAAAGTGCGCGCGCTTTTTTCTCATGGATCCCGCCTCGAATAAAGGCTAAATAGACAACGATTGGTTAATGTTGTTAATGGCCATGGTTAATGAAGGTGGTGGTTTTTATTTAGAGTATCACACCACATGGTAGTAGCAGTATAGAAATATCATATATGACGTACAACGTATACTGATGCCGCTACCACCATCATTGAATAGCTATGATCTTTTTGTTTTTCTTTTCTTATTTATTTTTCTACTTCTACACCAAACACACACACACACACACACACACATTGAAACATGAAAAGAGAGAAAAGAAAAGATTATTAAGCGAAAGAAAAGCGACTGTCATACATTGAATTGAGCTAGTCTATCTGCCACTGTTGGTTGCACTGATTGTATTGTATGTGTTGTTGTATGTATATCGTAATTGTCTATTTGTGTTGGATGATGATGATTCAAGTCTAATGTGTGTGTGTGAGTGTTGTGTGTATGGTTTTTTTTTCTATTTGCGCGCTTCACCAACGACCAATATAACATTGACAATACATAGCGTTTTTTGTGCTTTGTAAATTCCTATTTCTACATTCAAAGTTCTATCTATCATCAATACGTAGTAAAGTTTTCTCTTTTTCCTGTGCTGTGTTTGTGTGGAAAATATTGTTTTTTTTTCTTGCTTTTGCTTTTGAAGAAGAAATTTCATTTCTCTATTTGTGTGTAAAGTATAATATACACTGTGCTTTTCTCTCTGCTTTTTGTGTCTGTATCTCTTGTTTCGTTTCTCTCGTGGTCTATGTGTGATATACAAAGCAACATCAACAACAAGAAAAAAAAATTGTACAACTGAAAGCAAAATTATTATATACTTTTTTGCCCACAATAATACATACATCCAATATATACATTTACCATATATATACATTCAAAACCGACAACCGACTGATGATGAAAAAATACTAATAATAATGATACACACACCAAGTGAATGACGAACGAAAGAAAAAAAAACTAAAAACGACAACGACCAACTCAACTCACCCTAAAACCGATCGAAAAAATATATACACAGTATCAAGCGACATCGAAATAGAATCTAATACGAGAAAAAAAAGGAAGAAAAAGAAAGCGAAAAAGAAGAAAAAAGACAACGTTTGTGAATAATACAATCTCTGTGTGTGTATCTATGTGAACTACATGTGAGTGTATTGTGTATGCTATTTCAATGTGTTGTGTGTGTGTGTGTAGATAACTCTCAACATTAATTTGTGTGTATAGTGAATGTATGTAACTTTTTTATATACAAAATAAAACTACAACAAGTGAGAAGAAATAATAATAATAACAACAACAAAACATCATCATCAACATCAATAAAATAACAACGTAAAACGGTGTGTACTAAAAACAAAACAAAACAAAAAATTATTTTAAATTTTTAAAAAATGTGTGATTAATCTATTCTTTTGATTTTGGCTTTATTGGCTACGGACGGATTTTTTTTCATGCTTGTTCTAGACAAAATTATTCGTAGAGATAATGGAAAAAAATTTAAAAGATGAAAATGATATTAATTTAGTAGTAGGCTATTTTCACTAAATGAAAATATGATGACAAAATGAATGTGTATGATGCACCTGGATTTCATTGTTGTGTTCACCATTGACCTTTGGCGCCAAATTTTGTCCATCATCATTACATTACAATATATATATGAGATATGAATGCCACTCATTTTTAGGTATAGTGAATGAATGAATGAATGAATGAATGAATGCGTGTAGAAAGAGAGAGAGAGAGAGAGAGAGGAGAATGAGCGAATGAGAAAAAAAATCGCGCGCCAAAAAACAAATCCATTATATGTGGTGTGTTTATGTGTGCTATGCATGTGCCGGTGTTTTGATTTGAAATAACAAACACAGTATAGATTTGTTTTTGTTTTATAGATATTCTTACATATGTCATGTTTTTATTATGACAATATTTAATGTTTCTTGGTTTTTTTGTTTCATTTTTTCTCTCTAACATGATAGGAATATTGGCGCGAAAAAACAACACTAATCGATCGATTCATCATTATTTGTTCCATACTGTCGTTTGTTTTCTAGTTGAAACGGAAACTAATTGAATAGAATCATCAGAATCGAAAGTACGGAACTAGAAAAAAATTTTTCCTCGCCCCAAAATATCCTTATATTTCATATTGGTCCTCAAAAACCAACAAAAATTCTTTTTTTTGTTATCTTGTTCGAATGATGTCCGATTACGCTGATTATCATCAAGCTATGGCGCATCACGCCGCAATTAATGCGAATCAACTTCATCCTGCAACAATGGCACAGATTCCGATGTCACAAATGATTTCTGCAACTGGTTTAAATTTGACTGTAATGCCTGGTCAGCTAAATAATGCCGGTCAACATCAATTAGCACATGGTCAAATTGTTTATACGACAAACGTTCAGCCAACGGTTGCCGTTGCAAATACAATGTCACAACAGCATCATCAACAACATCATCATCATGGTCATAAAAAACAGAAAAAACCCAAGGTTAATAAGGATGGAGTACCTGCACCGAAACGTGCGGCAACGCCATTTATCAATTTTACACAATGGTATCGTGAAGAATTAAAGAAAAATGGTCGTCCAGTACCAAAGATAGCCGAATTTGGTAAAGAATGTGCTGCTAAATGGGCACAGATGTCCGAAGAGGAGAAGAAACCATTTTTAGATGCTGCATCCAAAGATAGGGATCGTTATAAACGAGAAATGGCTATATACAAACCAGCACGTGATGCTTCCAAACCAAAACGACCGGGAACAGCATTCATGTTATTCATGGTTGATTTTAGAAAAGAAATGGCTGGTAAAGAACCAGAAGGTGGTGTAGCTGCATTGGCCAAACTTGGCGGCGAACGATGGCGTAATATGACCGAAGATGACAAACGGCCTTATGTTGAACGTCAAAATCAGGAACGTGTGCGATATGAATCATCAATGGAAGAATACCGTCGTAAAGGACAACAAGCTAATACAGCTCAACAAAATCAACAGGAAAGACGTGAAGGTTCTAATGAAGAATCGGATTCTGATTCATTACAACAAGCACAAGTCGCTGTACAACAACAGGCACAGGTTGTAGCAGCTGCTCAACAACAACAACAACAAGCCCAGCAACAACAGCAGCAGCAACAACAACAACAACAACAAATTCATTTGACGCCATCATCGACAACGGCTTATCTTTTGACCGGTACTGGTGCTGTCTATTCACAGATACAGGCGCCATATTCTTGGAACTAAACCATTGTGGAAATACATCAAAAACATCATCATCTCATAAAACACACCAGGATGAAACCTCAGGTATCTCCTTCCTCTTTTCAACCATATAAATTATCGATGAATACAAAATTGAAAAAAATCGATTATAATCTCACATTACCAACCAACAATGATTATTACCCTCACCATTCAACTCATCCACCATCAAATCACCCCAAACCATTGAATGATTTTTTTTCTGAGGACAAACCATCTTCGTTTTTTTTTTCATTCGGCCATTATCATTATTGATATTGTTCTCTCTTGACCTACAGACGACACACACACACACATACACCATAATACATCAATAACTCGATTTTTTTTTTGATCATCGTTTTAATGTCATTTTTTCTGGCTCGTTAGAATCGTGTTTTTTATCGGGCCATTTTTTTTTCTCACACATTTATTCATTCTAAATATTTTTTTTCATTCATTCACTTTTTCTCTTCTCTCTCTCTCTCTATTTCTAGCTATTCATACATAATAGCATCATCACCTTAACACACACCATCAAATTGACACATGAGATGATTTTTTTTCGAAAATCCACACACAATTTCTATTCGAAATTACAAAATATTGTTTTAGCTAGTTATCGAAGTTAGAAGTTCGTATATAATCTTTGTTTTTTTTTTGGTAACAAAAAAATATTCTTGATTTTCAAAATTGTTTCTTTAACAAACACACACACACACAATTTTTAATAAAAATTATATTACACACATATGCTTTACATTACTCTGATTTTCTTACTTTTTTTTCATTATCATCATTATTATCCACACACACACACACATGCCACAATCACATTGTTTTTTCTTACGGAGAAACTACTACTACTTTTATTATTATTACTATTACTACTACTTGAAGAATCTTGATTGATTTTGATTAATTAAAAAAAAAATTGCAGAAAAAAATGAATCTTGAGTTTTGTTTTGGATTTTTTTTTCTGTTTTGCCGCTCATTTTTTTTCATCACTACATTCAATGAAAATCGAATGATGATTAATGCGGACGAATTTAGACCCTGATTTTTGTTACCGAAAAAAAAAATTCTCAGGTTTGTTTTTTTTTTTTTTTATTCCTGAGAAAAAGCAACAACACATCACACCCCCATCCAAACGAATAAATCATTTCAATTTCGGAACCCGGATTTTCTGATCAAAAAACGATTATCATATTGAAATGAAAAGAATTATTATGTTGTAATCTGTGTGTGTATGTGTCTGTTTTGTTCAATCACAATCATCATTTGGTGCTCCTTCTCAGGCCAAAAAAAAAAATCTTTTTCAAAATTGATTGTTATGATGATCTGAATAATTCTATCTGATAATATTTGTCCTTCCGATAAAAAAAATATCTATTGACATTTTCCATTTGTGTTTAGCGTTGAAAAGAAATTTGTAGAAAAAAAAATATTGTAATCATTCACAACACAGACAAAAAAAATAACTTTTGAAATAATGATAATTTTGATATTTAATTGAGACAATAAAATGATCGTTTTTTCAAAAAAATAAAATACAAAAAAATGAAATGAAAAAGTTTGTATTTATTCATTTGAATCAATTTTAGGTCCTGGAATATTTGGAACCATCGAAACATAGTAATTGTGTGTGACAATGTCCGAGAATAATTTTCCATTTTCATTAGATCACCATCAAATGGCCACCAACCAAATGGTCTCAACTAACCAGAGAGTTTTTAAACCACAAACCAGGAATGATTAATCATTCTTGTTGTACAATAGTGAAGGCAAGTTTTCATGGTTCCAACAAGAAAAAATGAAATGAAAGTTTCGTTCCAAAATATACTACGTCATCCATTTTTCATTCGAATTTTTTTTTCTCTTGTTTGAATTTTTTACATGGAAAAAAGTTCATCCAAGATTTTTATTGTTGGTGGTGGTAAAGCCGGTGTCTGTGAAAAGAAAAAATTTCATGTTTTATTTGAATTTTTTGCTTTGCGTGTGTTTGAAAAGTGTTTGAAAATTGTTCAATTCAGAATCCTTCTCCCCGGTCCGACCACACCACAACCATCATCCATTTGATTGATGAAGAATCCAAAGCGCATGTTAAATTTCCAATCATTGATTTTGGATCGATCGGATCGATATGTTTGAATTTAAGAAAAAAAAAATTCAAAAAAAACTTCATGTCATGTCAAAGTTCATGGAACATGTTGTTCGTCTTGTTTTTGTTTTCCCATTTGATGATGATAATAATAAAATATTTGTGTATTTCATGACTATTCAATAAAAAATTTCATCATTATCATTCATTCATTGATTAATTCATGGATTTTTTTTTGTTTTGATGCGTCATGATTAAAGCCATGAAATTCATCTCAACCACACGAACCACCTTTATAATAAGAGAGATTAAATTAACGAAAATTTGAGAGAAAAAGAGAAAGAGAAAATTCAAGGATGACAAAGATATGTTGTTTTCAATGACAAATACAAACAAACACACATCATCATCATCATCATGATGATTGTTTGTAGAAATCATTTCCAGGATTATTGAAAAAAAACAAAACGAAAAAAATCAATAAATTTTCAATCCAATTCAATCCGTTGGTCATGTGTGTGTTGTGTGTGTGTGCGGCCATTTCGACTCGAATAAAAAACCAAATAAAACAAAACAGACATGTGGATTTCATGATGATTTTTAAAAATTTGAAAAAAAAACATTCACATTCTTAATAATTTTTTTTCAACCAATAAATAAATATTGTATTACTCTGATCTGAGGTCGATGAAACACGTTTGTTGATGATGAAACATTCAATTTTTTTTCACTATTTTGGTCGTTTTGGTAAAATGATTTTTTCTCGATTGATTTTGCAAGTCCTTTTATATATCGACGACGACAACACACGCAACCAGCCACAAAATGTATTTGGATGTGTTTGTTGTTTTTATTCAATTCATTTCATTTTTTTTGGTTAGGTTATAACAACATGCAACTGAAATCAACAACAACAACAACGACATTTATTCAAATAAAAATAACTAAATGAATGTAATATGTCTCTCTCTCTCTTTTTCGGTGTGTGTGTCTTCCAATAATATCCAGAAATGAAAAAAATGCCACCATACTTTATTGCTACACTATCTATATATTTGTTGTATCATTGGGATTGCCTCTTGATTCACGATTCGATGAATATACCCATTAAATGAATGAATGAATGATTTGAATTGAATGAATATGTGTGTGTGTGTTTCTCTATATCGGTCTATCACCCTAATAATAATGACGTTTTTTTTTCTTTATCTACTGTAATATTTGGATGAAATGTCTTCTTGGTTAATAAAAAAAAGGATGTTTTTACCGGTATTCTCAAACAGAAAACATGCACGGTAATAATCACATTTTTATTGGCTGCTGCTTCTGTTTCATTCACCACATTATTCATTATTGATAGAATCCACGTTGTACCATAATGCAGGAATTCTATCCATGATGATAAGTATGTAGCAGGAACCAAGCTTTTGTATACACACACAAACACAAACACATTGACTGGCTGGAATGAAAACCAGAACAACAACAGAAAAGTAGCCGGCATCAGTTTATTTTTCATTTGAATACAAATTCTCTTTCATCCATTCATTTGAGACTTTTTTTTCTTTTATGCCCAGTCTCTCTCTCTCTCTTTCACTAGCTCTTCCTCTCTTGTATATAAACTACGGTAATCATCATAATCATATAACATTCTGATGAAGAAAAGAAAATCAAATTGTCAAATTGACATAGAAGAAAAAACCACGTGTTGTATGTTTGTCATTAATTCATTCAATCAATGGATTCAATGTCATTGGTATCGAAATTCCAGATTTTTTTTTAACCTCATTACACCATGATTTCTGAAAAAAATTCATATTCTCCAAGTAATTGCCATGAAAAACAAATCAATAAATCAGCAAAAAATAAGAAAAAAATTGCTGACCAAGCATCATTAATCCAAATGGAAAATTGTAAACCGGCCATATCAACCACACCCTCAATACAAACCCTCTACCGGTGGTTGTAGTTAGTTAGAATTTCCATCAAAATGGAACAAAAATTGCTAAAAATTCACAAATTTTTAAATCAAATTCGATTCCATTTTCACCTAAAATGTTCAAAAAAAAAAACGCAAGAAAACTATTCCAAATACAACAAACAATAATAGATGAACCAGCCGAAAAAAATTGGCCTCAAATGATCCCTGATTGGGTCTATATAGTGGTGATGATGGGGAAATAACTAGTGGGTGGGGGAGAATGAAATTCACATGCAAAACTAAACGAACAAAAAAAGAAAAAAAATTACTTGTGAAAAAAGCATAGACCCCATAAATATAACGAACGAAAGAAAAGCAAGCAAATAACAAAAAAGTTTGTTTTAGCCCAGACCGACAAGGATTTATACGTTCGATGCTCGTTCGTTTTTATGAATGATAAAAATTCAACGAAAATTTTTCAGTTTTTTTACCTATTTAAAAATCCAGCAAAAAATGGACAATATCCCTCATTTGTCCATGATTCATATAGGAATAATTTCTAACAACGTAGTAATATAAAATAAGCGACATAATAATTTAGAATTAGATGGAAACAACCGAAAATGTACGGTAACCACCATTTTCTTTTATTTCATCGTTTCATTTCATTTCGTATATTTTTTTGCAGGGGGGTTTATCATCATCATCATCAATCGTTGTTCCCAATGGAGAGAAATAACAACGACGATGCTTTTCCCCCCTTACAACAATTATGGTTGTTGTGTTGCAGCTGTGCATACACAACAAACGCCATTTCATTTTATGAACAAACGAAAAAACTGCTTTGTGTGTGTTGTGTTGTGTGCACGTAGTTTTCCACCCCACAAAAAAAAAATTTAGTCATATCGACCTATGATGTGTATGATCATAGAGAAAATAACTAAAAAGGACAGCAGATGTGCGCACTGCTGCCGTTGCATGTCGCTTGATTACACATTCCTTTCTTTGTCTGTCTATATTTCCACAACACAGGACACGCCTCATCTAACACAAATACAAGTTTTTGTCAAGAAACACTAAAAACTACGCAGCAAAATTTCCCCTCTTCAAACACACAAGTTATCATTATCCCCCTTTTTCTCCCTCTCTATAGTCGTCCGCTCAGTAACAACGACTCCACCACAGACATTTTTTTTTTCATTCCCCATGAATGAGAAAAACTCACAAACAACACACCCAAACTAAACTACAATATCTTATTTCAATCAAGCGGGTATTTCTTTTCACCACAGGACACAATAAAAATCGACTATCAAAAAAAAAAAAACAACGAATCGTGTGCACCGAACAACAATTCCTATTACCCTCTTGCCCCAAACGAAAATGCTTAATTAATTGATTAATTTGAATTTGCCTTGAAACAACACAGCCATAACAAAAGAGGGAGAGAACAAACGATGATGATGATGATGATGATGAATATAAAATGCAATAGTACATTGTGGGGAAAGAAAAAAATTTGATATGATGGAAAAAAACAAATCCAAAATGGACGAAAGACACACACAGTATATGTGTAGTATATTTGTAACTACAGTTGAAACTCGTTTTTAATTTAAGGGAAAATAAAGTAATTCTCGATTTTATCAATATAAATAAATAAATAGTACACATCATGTGAGTGATAAAGTAAATAACATGTTTTTACATTGAACAAAAATTCTATTCATTTTAGAAATTTCTGTTTTTTTTAGTATCCGGTACACATGGACAAATTTCACCTAGATTTCACTGTATTTCATTTATTTTCTATTACACATTTTATTTGGCTCGACAAAACACTTGAAATAACAAAGAGAGAAATGGATTCGGCTTGGTGGAGATTGGTGGAATGTTGTGCCATGGCAAAGAACTTATCGTTGATAATGATAAAGTTGCTTGGCTATTTTTTGGGAACCATACACATGGTTGGTTGGTTGGCTGGTTGATTGGTGGAGGTGTTTTTTTCCTGTTTTTTCCATTCGATTCAATTTATTCAATTGCTCCCCCATCGCCATTACTATAATCATCATCATCGTGTTTTCCCCTCTTGTTTCCCCTTTTTTTCTGTTCTGAACATTTCATATCAAGCGATAGTTTTTTTTTTTTTTGAACACGACATTCACTCACTAACAATTTAGAATGGTCCGTAAAAATCTGCTGGATGATGATGCTGTGCAAACGACACGACCAATGCAGCAGCAGCAGCCGTAGATGAAAATCCAATCATCAATCATGGTTCACATGAACACCCCCCTTCCATTCTTGGTCGATGAGCCAGAAATAAATTTCAATTTTTTTTTGGTTAGTAACACACACAAATGATACACAGTGAAAAAAAAACTCATTTTATAACCATAAATTGAAAATTGAATCAGAATCACTGGCGCCACCTTGTGCTGGAATTCGGGAATAAATCGATATCAATCAATGATGATGATTTGCCAATAAAACAATGACATTATTATAAAAAGAACGGAAATTCGGCGCCAAAACGTTGTTATCCACACTTTTAAAAGTTTGATTACAATTGTGTTTGAAAAAAAACCTGATTGAAATTTTCTTATATATCGTGATTATCATGTGATTATTGATTATGATTAATCACCAATCAAAGATCCAGTTACCATAATGATGATGATGATACACTTTTACAAATCACTTTTATGGAGAGAAAAAAATGAAATGTTGAAAAAAATCATCACCATTGAGATTGATCGATTAAAGATTAAATTATTCAAACAAGTCGTGCATCTCATTTCAATTATCAAAACAAATTTTTTTTTATTTTAAATTTATCAAAAAATTGGCATTATTTCTATAGAAAAGAATAGAATGACGTATGTTATTAATTGATTATCATCTGTATTGGATTAATGATGAATGGGAATTAAAATATCGAAAAAAATAATGGAAAGATACTAAACTAAATAAAAGACGAGATCTTTTTGTTTTCTTTTGTTATCATCAACAAGATTTGACATCATCGAGACTGAGATTATCAGTTCCAATAATGAATGGATGTGATAATGCTTCATTAGCACTGAAACGTGTCCGAGGATTTGGATCTAACAAATGTTCCAATAGATCATATGCAGAATCTGGTGCTTGATACCATTTATTTGTGGTGGTTGTCGATTTATCATCAGCTGTTGGTGGAAATGATGTCGTTTTCAATTTGATGCAGATTTTCTTTAAATCCATTGTCGGTATTGATCGTCGTGATATAGTCAATGTTTTTCCCAATGCATTAGCTGCACGTTTTACTTTTGATGATCCTAGTAAGGTTATAATTTCAGCTAAACAACTAATATCATCATTACAGCGAAAAAATGGATAACGCCCAGAAAGAAGACTGGCAAATATTACACCACAAGACCATATGTCGATTTTTGTACTTTGATTCGGATAACGTAAAAGAATTTCTGGTGCACGAAAACCGGGCGTACCGGCCCTTGGAACATTTAATTCTATTTTTGAAAGACAATCATGGCAAATTGTTGCTGTTTGCGTACAATCACATAGCCGCTGTTGATGATTATGTTGAGATAATTTTGAGATGGTTAAATTGTTGTCCACACCATTAACAGTGTTATTATTGCCATTTTGTATCGAAGATAATTCTGGATGTAACAATTTTTTGATAGTTTGAAATCGAAAATTCATCGGTTTCGATATCGTTTTTGGTGTATTGTAGTGATTAACGTTTTCTTTATATTTTGGATTGACTAACGACGGTGGCGTAGCACGGCTAAATTGTAAATTTTTCTGAACAGTTTTTGGCGGTGTTTCTGGTATCGATAATACGGCGGTCTTAATCGGCGTTTTATTCACATTATCTACGCGCATTTCACCAGTTTTCGTTGGTGTTTTGTACGCGTATTGATCTTTGATTGGTGTATCGGGTATTTCCGGCTGAAATGTTGTACATGCATTTGTATCGTGTTCATTAAATGGCGTTTTAACTGGTGTTCCAGGCACAAATAATGAATTTGAACTTGTTTTTGAATCCTTATTTTTCATCACCATTAATGATGGTGTTAGTGGTGAAATGAATATACTGGACGTTTGTTGTTGTTGTTGTTGTGGATGACTTAATTTTTTACGTTTAGCATTTTCATTTTCAACATTGGATTGATTATTCATTTCATTGAATGAACGTTTCAATTGAACATCTTCAATTTTTGTTGAATTTTTCTGAAATTTACTACTAAGATTTTTTCGTACTTTTGAATCATTAGTGATTGTTGTTTTCATTGATGATTTATTTGGATATGGATACAACGATAGATTGATTGTATGATATAATTCACGTTCACTTTGTGATAGACCAAAATCGACTAAAGCAAATTGGCCAGTAGATCGATTGTATAGAAAATTTGATGGTTTAATATCACGATGAATAATGCCATGCGAATGAACACGATCCAAAGCAATTAAAAGATTACGCATATATGAACGAATTTCTGTTATAGTTAAATCGCATAGATAATCTTGAAATCGATCATGTTCAACGATAGGCATAACAACAACAGTATGGCCAGAATTATAGAAACAAGTCTTTATTGGTATAATATTCGAATGTCCGCCTAAATCACGAAGAAAACGTAATTCTTTTGCTATTCTAGCCGGTTTCACAATCGGTATAATATATTTAAGTGCATAATATTTGCATTCTTCACCATCATCATTGTTGTTGTTGTTGTTATTATTATTATTATCATCCGTTTCGATACCACGTTTTAATTTGGCTTTATATACTTTAGAGAATGTACCTTCACCAATTTTATCAACAACATTAAAATATTGTGCTATTTTCGGCACATTATTCATCATTATTTTCATGTAAACATCATTCTCTAGGCTTGATGTCGCTAAATTGGTTAAATGATGAATTTTCAAATTAGCTCAATGATAATTGAAACAAATACAAACCTTTTTTCGGATCTTCAATACGCAATGAACTAAAATTATTATGACCATTTAGAACGATTGTATTTCTCGATTGATTAGTAGTGTTGAACATGGGAGAAGTTTTTTTACCCACACTTGATTCGGTCATCGTATAATCAGCAATAGCCACAGAAATCAAATCTAACAAATCAATTGGATCAACAGAAAATGCAAAAGTTGGATCCAAAAAAATGTAAAATCAAAAAAAATGAAAAGTTTTCATTTGAAAACAATAATCATCGAACAAATTCTCATCATAAGTTGAGTCGTCTGTTCAATGCACACTATAGATATGATATACTTTATCATATATGAAAGTGCGCCAAACTCGTGCTCAATTCGCGCTTGAGTTCAAACCGCGCAAATAAAACTATACCATTCACATATGCCATAAAAGTATTGATTGTTTACTTTTGTTTTTATATTTATTTTTATTTCATTCAATTATAACAAATCAAATTCGATCATAATAATAATTCATGGATCCAATCGAATTGAGTGATGATTCAATGGATGATTCATTACTTAAGCCGATTCCGATAAGTAAAGATTATCATCAAAAAACTAAATCCAAACCAATCATCGTAACGAATGAAAATGACGACAAAGATGTAATTGTTGAATTATCGATTACAAAACCTTCAAAGACTTTTATACCATCAAATTGCATGCCAAATGGTTCGGTCAATGATGATGATGATGATAGTGATGTACAAATCATTGAAGATCATGAAGATCAACCATTAAATTCTTCATCTGATAAACTATTATTGTATACATCGATTAAAGATAATCCCGCCAACATTGAGAATGATTTCATCAATATTCGATTTGATGATGGTGATGATGATGATCATTGGATTGAATTAGATTCCAATGATTCATTGTGTCATAGTACACCATTGATTCGAGTGGTGGATAAAAAATATGATAACAAACCGTCGACCAATCGTAAAATTCTATCGAGAAGTAATAAAAAAGCTTTGATACAATCACGAAAGTTGAAAACATTGATAAATAAAAACAAAACAAAACGTGTCAAACCAATTAGTAAAAATTTATTCGAAAACAATGATGATGAAGATGATGATGATGGACAGAATCGACCAACGAAAATTCAACAAAAAGATGTCATCAATTATACGACCATAATGATCGATTCGTGTCTGTTTGATCTAGCCAAACAGGAGATTCAAACATTATTTCATTCGAAAAGTATTGGCTACGAGATTCAAGATAAATGGAAAGATTACTGTGTCACATGGAAATGTCATCCTGAACTTGAAACAATGATTTTGGCTGCAAATCGTAATGGAAATTCATTATTTAAATGTATGAAAATATCGAATAATTTTCTATTCGATCATCTGGTTATATTAATTCAATGTGATCAATTACATACGTTTCTGGATTCATATTTAATTTCACAAGATGAACCAAAAACGAATGAATTATTTGATTTGATTAAAAAACAATGTCGAAATTATGATATCTACAACGTAAGCTTGATTATCTATCAAATGGAAAAACATCTACGATCACAGCAAAAAATTCGGGACGAATCATTTAAACGGAGAATCAATGATATGATTGTAGCCGAAAATATAGACAGTGAAAAACCGCCAGCTAAAAATCGTCGAAAACAAAATAAAAAACAATGGCCATATAAACATTCAATGACAGCCGACAATATCGATATGTTATTGATTGATTGTAAATTTAAATTCTTACATCATTTCATTGATGATGATCAAAATCAATCACGTTCGAAATTATCATTCATCAATGTGGATAGTGGACTGGAATTGGCCAACATATTGTTTCGTTATTCACGTTCAATTGTCGAACAAATTTTTCGTATCGATCGTCAAGGTCGTACGAATATGGAATTTTTTGCTTTATCCGAAAAAAATCAGACAATTGATCCTTTGAAAGATGGTGAAAGCAAACGTCAACTTTGGTTACAGCAATTATTACAATTTCCCAATATTAGCCATGATGTTGCCGAAGCTATTGTTAATCGTTTTCATAGTCCTTTGATATTATTCAATGAATTGATGTTCAAATCATCATCATCGATTACCGCTATCAATATGCTATCCGATATACAATCAATGTCAAATACAAACCGGCGAGTTGGCAATGAATTGGCAACAAAGATTTATCTGTTCATGACTAGTATTAATCCAGATCAAGTCTTGAAAACCGGATAGCCAACATTTTATGTCCATTTCATTTATTTATATTAATTTTTAAATTTCTTCGGATCAACGCCAAATAGTGTTTAGTATTTCAAAATTTATTTTTTTTTCTAATAAAACAAGTCATACTTAAACTCTTACGTTATGCACACATTATCACTGCATTTGTGATTGATGTCCATTTGTTTGGTGCGCGCGCAACATTAATAAAATCAACCAATCACAATCACAAATTCGAACCGTTTGGTTAATGGATATAAAATTCAACGGTTAGCATTCGATTGTTAAATAGCCTTTTGTTTGTTGATCGATGATAGTTTTTACTTGAATTTTCGATTTGAACTTTTTCCATGTTTCATAATTGGTTTGCAAAAATTTTTTTATTGTACCAAAAAATTTTACTTCATCATCATGGATAATAGACGAATATCAATTTATCTTCCAATTAATAATGAGGAAAATACTTACAATGAATCACTACCGACAATTGACCATGAAAATATCGATTTTGACGATGATGGCCAAGAAGAATTTGATTCCAATATTGAATTTATCTTTGATAATACTAAAGAAAATAATAATGGATTTAAATTACCACCTCGACTTGCTGCCCGATTGTTAATGAATAAAAAACCGACTTCATTACCGAGCCAAGCTTTACCAAATATTCATAATGATCGGCATGTTGTTAACGATAATAATGAAAATGATCGACGACAAACAATGTTTATTCGACACAACACAAAAAAGGTATTATTGTTATGATTAATAATTGCTCCAATGTTTTCGAATAATTTTTATCATTTAATTCAGCATGATATTGATACAGCCTCCATTTCTTCACTCGATTCTGTTGGTGATGAAATTTCAAAATCGATTCCCATGTTTCCTGATGATTCACGATACGTTACCTGGATCAATTCAGTATTGGCCACAAGTTTTCTTATTGAAAATATTACCGTAGATACGGCCCGAATAATCAACGATTGTTTCATCAGTGAATCTGCAAAATATAAAGGTTCCACATCGAAAACAAATCAGATCGAAGTGTTAAAAGATGGAATAACATCGATTGCTTATCGTGAACAACAATTAATGGACAAATTACGACAAAAAGCAACTGCTTTCTTTCATTGTGATCAAATAGCAAACGCTAAAGAAGCTTTATTCGAAGACATTAAATTTGCTCGTTATTTTATCCGTAAAGATCGAGCCATACACATGGATGTCGGTTCAAAGAAGCATATATTGGAAGTTTTAATGAATTACAATCCTTTGTGGCTTAAGGTAGCACTCGAAACTATATTCAATGGGATAATCAATGATCACTCAAAGAATGAAGTCCGTTGTCTAGTTCAATTCTTAACACAACATTTGCTTTCGTTCAAAGAAGTGGCCAAACGAAAAAATAAAAATATAACCACTTATTTTATGAATGAAAACAACGTCAAATTGGCCAAAGAACATATCTTTTTCCATTTCGTATTGATTGTACATTTTTTAGATGTTGCCAAACGCAATCGATTAATTGATCATGATCCTTGCCTATTTCGAATTAATGCCGTTTACAAATCGTCTCGAGATATCATCATATCATTTAGCCGTGAATATATAACAGGGGTTGGTGATATAACTAAAAGTTTACGAAATGCTGGCATACATCTAGAACATGTCCAACAACCGGTTGAAGAATTCAATTTTACTGCCACCATGCTTAGTAAAGATCTCAGATGTGGTCTTAGATTGGCAAGAATTCTGGAAATCATTTATCAACGGAATGATATATTGCCAAGTCTTTATTATCCATCGAATAATACCACACGGAAATTGCACAACATGGATATTGTATTCAAAATGTTACAACAGGTTGGCATTGATTTCAACTATAATGGGCAAACAATCGCACCGAAAGACATTTGTATCGGAAATCGTAACAAAACCATTTATTTATTGGATCGTTTGATGCAAATTTTCAATCTCCGACAACGAGAAATTGAATACCAGAAATCACTGGACAAAATAGTAGCAATTCAAAGAGCTTTTCGAAGATGGATTGCAACCCAGCAAGAACGTAGTCTTTTTTTAAGAAAAAAAGTTGCTGCAATTCTCATTCAACGAGCATTCCGATCGTATCGTTTGACTCGGGAATGTCGTCAAAAATTTTTATGCAAAAAACAAGCTTCAATTACGATCCAACGAAACTGGCGTGGGTATCATGAACGGAAACTTTACCAAACAAAACGTGAAACAACTATAATGATACAACGTCGATTCCGAGCCAATCGAGAGATGAAAAAATGTCGTGAACAATTTCAACTACTGCGTCAAAACGCCATCATCATTCAACGAGCATTCCGATCGCATCGTTTGACTCAGGAATGTCGTCAAAAATTTTTATGTAAAAACAAGCTTCAATTACGATCCAACGATACTGGCGTGGATATCATGAACGGAAACTTTACCAAACAAAACGTGAAACAACTATAATGATACAACGTCGATTCCGAGCCAATCGAGAGATGAAAAAATGTCGTGAACAATTTCAACTACAGCGTCAAAGTGCCATCACCATTCAACAAGCATTCCGATCTTATTGTTTGACTCAGGAATGTCGTCAAAAATTTTTGAGAAAAAAACAAGCTTCGATTACGATCCAACGATACTGGCGTGGATATCATGAACGGAAACTTTACCAAACAAAACGTGAAACGGCCGTAATGATACAACGTCGATTCCGAGCCAATCGAGAGATGAAAAAATGTCGTGAACAATTTCAACTACAGCGTCAAAGCGCCATTACCATTCAACGAGCATTCCGATCGTATCGTTTGACTCGGGAATGCCGTCAAAAATTTTTATGCAAAAAACAAGCTTCGATTACGATCCAACGATACTGGCGTGGATATCATGAACGGAAACTTTACCAATCAAAACGTGAAACAACTATAATGATACAACGTCGATTCCGAGCCAATCGAGAGATGAAAAAATGTCGTGAACAATTTCAACTACAGCGTCAAAGCGCCATCATCATTCAACGGACATTTAAAACCTATATTTGGACTCGTGAATATCGTCGGCAATTCGTATTGATGAGACAATCGGCAATTGTAATACAACGATACTGGCGTGGATATCGTGAGAGAAAACGTTTTATTGAATTGCGACAAAGTGTCATGGCAATACAACGTCGATTCAAAGCTAATCAACTTATGCGAATGGATTATCGCTATTTTCAAAAATTGAAAGTAGCCACAATTTTTGTACAAAAAAAGTTTCGCCAAAATCGTCAATTTACTATTGATTATCATAATTATCAATCAAAGAAAAAATCTGCCACCCTTATACAAACTTGGTTTCGTCATTGTAAACAACGAAAAGTGATCAATAAGTGGCAAACCGTCGTTAAAACTGTCGTTGAACAACACAAACAAAAATGCGAGAATGCAGCAATCAAAATTCAGGTTTGGAATATCTTTTTATCTGGAACAAACTTTATATTTTTTTTGTTTCGTAGAAATTCTGGCGTGGTTACCGTGTACGTCGAGAGCAACGTGAAAAGATTAACGAATTACAACTAATTCTTGATCGATTAGATTATGCCAATCAGACGGCGACCGAAAATAAAAAATTGATAAACATTATCCAAAAATCGATTGATCGATTCCGTACTGCTACTAATATCGAATCGGTACGAAGAGAATTGGAAAATTTAGAAATGGCAACAACGTATTCAATTGAAATTTGTCAAATTATAGTCCAAACAGAATGGTTTATGCAAGTATTAATCAATTCATTTGATCATTTTAATCGAAGTGAACCACACAAAAAATTAATCGGAAACATTCTGGGCATCATTATCAATTTATTGATTAGAAACGATTCGATATTTCTTTATAATGAAACTGTTTTTGAAGTTATGATTCGTTTATTGCGAAATTTTCCGCGATCAGACTTTCTTCTATTTCGATCATTATACATTCTGAATCTTTTACTACAAAATAGACAAACTTTTCATGTAAGTTTCATCATCGTCATGTATGCCAAAAATTCTGAAATTATTATTTTCTCTATTCTTTTAGTGTTACAAACGAAACAAACACTGGATTCAGATCCTGGAGGCTATTGTGAAAAAGAATGCTCCAAAAATAGCGGCGTCTAGGACAAAATCCGTTTTAGAGCTCAAAAAATCATCACAAATACTGTTGAATCCCATCAATAAATTTACATTGTCTATAATATGCTCGGATTTGTCTAAAAAAATTTTTTAATTCATATATAAATGATGACTGATTTTCTTAATTAATATTGAATATATATTTACAACCACCAATGTTTTACAATCTAAACTATTAATTCAAGAAAAATTTGTTTTTATCAATAAAATATGATTGATTTATTGGAAAAAATTTTGGTTTTAATAAAAGTGATTATAAAAAAAATTTTTTTATTGAAAAAATGGATCCAATTGTTTTTATCATTTGCCAATAATATTCACTTCGATATTTTGAAATAGACAAATTGCCGCAACCGAATTCAGTACGGTAGTATCAAGTTCATTTTTAGCATAATCCGGATTCTTACAAACTCGGGTCAATAATTGTTCAAATTCGGTTTTAATTTGCCAGATATAGTCAAATAATTCGGGATCAATTTTGATTTCAATCCATCCATCCAAAAGAACGGTATCAGCAACAGTATTGACGCCATCAATATTTGGTGGAAATTCGAATGATTTGATTCCAAACAATAATAATTGTAGAAATGTAACCATTGTCATCTGTTTGCTTGATATTAGATTCTTATTCTGTGATTTTTCACTGTAAATGAATACGGGTGATCTAAGATTGGTCGAACGAGATAATTTCTGATTATTAACATATGAATAGAAAACGGATGTTTTATGTATAAGACCGATACGTTCTTCATTGGTCAATATACGTCGAGTATCTTTATGTATACAGACATTGGGATAGAATGCTGTCACTAATAATCCGGCGATTATGTCGAATTCAGCTGTTGTATATAGATATGATTGTTTAATTGTAAATAAATCTTCATTGAAACCACATTTTGTTAGGATAGAAACTAATTGTCTTCTTGCATTTCTTACCACAGTTATTGAATTCAAATTAATACAACGATAAGCATTCGATTTTGTATTTAGCGTATCATTCTTATCGCACATGCTAAACACTTTGAATGTAATCAAATGATCAGAAAATCGTTCTTCATCTAATTGTAATAATGTTTGCAATAATAAATTCAAATCGGAATTATCAAACATTTCGTAATTGATTGAACTGGCCGCAGCAATAGTGACGATTGGTGATGCAACATTCAATAGTATACTTTCGATAACCATTCGTCCAATTCTTGGATCTATGGGCATTTTGGCCAATATTGTTCCAAGAGCGGTCAATTCGTTTTTTGTATCCATAGCATTGATTATTCGTAAAGTAGCTAATGCTTCTTCAACAGCTTTTGGTGCTGGTGGATCCAATGCTCGTTGTAGAAAAGCAGTAACCGATCCAAATCCTAAATGTTTGATCAATAATGAAGTTTCCAATAATGAAGAAACAAGAATCTCTGGTTTCTTAAACTCTTCCAACATATTGAATCGTCTTTTGGTACATAAAACGAAAAAATAACCTGATCGTACACGACCAGCACGTCCTTGTCGTTGTTGTATATTACTTTGTGACACCCAATCAATTATATAACTTGTACAATTTGTTCGTGAATCATAGATTTTTCGTTTCATCAGACAGGTATCGATAACAAATACGACATCATCAATTGTTATACTGGTTTCGGCAATGTTTGTCGATAAGATTATTTTTCGTTGAATTGAATGCAAAAATATTCGATTATTATCTCGATGTGATAATTGAGAATGCAGTGGTATTAATATGAATTTGCTTTCATTGCCAAAAATAGGATGACGCTGTAGATAATTCAATAGATTGAATATAGAATTCCATCCGGGTAAAAATATCAAAATCGATCCGGTTATCGTCAATGAATTGATATATTCAAGTAGTGCGACGATTAATTCAAAACAGATGACACCTTCTTTCAATTCTTTTAACAAATCAATCGTAGTTTGCGATATCTTGTTCGGATATTCAAATTGTCCAGAATTTTCAATTTCTTCAGTAATTTCAACATCATCTTCCATGTAGGAAAGTGATTTTGGTCGCCATTTAATCATTTCAATCGTATCTTCAAGATAATATCGGCGAACCGGAAATACATGGCTATCAATTTCCATAACATTACGACAGTTGAAATAATTTTGAAAATGTGATACACCTAGCGTAGCGCTCATAATGATTACATGTATATTCAAATCCAATTTGATAAGATCGCGTATTATAATCAACAATAGATCAGTGTTTATATCACGTTCATGAACTTCATCGATGATAAGATGTGAAACACCTTTCAGGCCACCTTGTATTCGTCGTAAAAGATGTCCAGTAGTGCAAAAAAGTATCGAGCCATAAGGCCGTGGATATACATGATCAAATCGAACGGCATAGCCAACTGAATAGTTTCCATCCTTTAATTCTTCAGCACGTTCAAATGCAACACGTTCGGCGATAGAAATGGCACTGATTCGTCGTGGTTGTGTTACAATTATATTACAGTTAGCACCATTGGCAGCTTTGATATATGAATCCAATATAAACTGTGAAACTTGAGTTGTTTTACCACAACCAGTCGATCCTTTTATGATAACAACAGGATTATTTTCAATCATATGAATTACTTTTTCCTTATGTTCCCAGATTGGTAATTTCATTCGTGATTGAAGAACGCTTTGAAATTTCGTTGATTTAATCATTGTCTGAAATTCATTTTGTAATTCAATGTTAATTTGTTGTTTAGTTTTTCCAGCAAACGATGTTCCATCTAGATTGGAATTTGTCCATGGATTGAAATTCTCCATTGGTGGACACCAATAAAGAAAACTATTTTCCGGTTTCGGTGCACTTTCTTCCGAATTCAACGTTGGGTTAATGAGCTGCAATTGTTGTGCATAATGGTTATAGCTTTGAATATAATTGTAAGCTTGTGCTAAATGGTCCTTCAATTCGGGTTTTACGTTGAGCACGTAGATCAAAGACTATAAACAAAAAAGAAAATTGACAAAAAAAAATTACGGGAAAAATAAAAAATATCAATACTAACCATTTTCATTAGCTGTCGTTTGGATAAAGCTTCTGAATCAAAACTATCAATAAGATTATCTTTGTAAAGTTTATGTAGAATATTCAATGCACAATGACGGGATGCATCTTGTTTAGAATTGCCTCTTTCTTCTGCAAAATATTCTGTAAGAAAAAAATGACCATTAAATTATGAATTTTTTATCATATCTCATTTCACTTGCCTTTCTTATTCCTGTAAACAAAAAATTTCAATTTAGCCACAAATGTTCTATAGAAAAAAGAATTGATTATATTCATTTGCTTAAAAAAAAAAAATTATATAAAAATCTACTTTAAATGAGGAGGTCCAAAAGAACTAAATTCATAATCAGCTTTGATTCGATTAATTTGAAAAAATATGTTCAGCTGTTGTTTTGAATTATCCAGATTAAATTTACATTCATCGTGAATCAAGCCAATTTTGTTTCTAGCTGAATCTGGATCCGATCTGCGTTTTTTAGCATCATTCACCATATTCATTAATGATTCTTCACTATTCGAAGTGGTACGCGTGGATGAATTCAAATTGATTTCGTGTTGATCATTGATTTCCAAATTTCCCATTCTAAGATCGTTAACGTCGATAGATGTTTCAGGTGTTCGTACTAACGGTAATTTACGATTTCTTTGTTGATTGGAATTTCGTAATGAATGTGGGTTAATTCGTGGTTCGTGATGAAATCGATTTGGCGGTGGCATACGATGATATTGTTGAAACGGTGGATGATAATCATCAAATCTTGGCCTATCCTGATGTTGAGGTAATGATGGTGGCGGTGGCATATTATGATACCAATGATGATTATCAGGTCGGTGTGACGGCGGTAGCGAAAAATCATAAGGACCTTGTGGCGATCCATCAAAATGGCCGTTGGGCGGTGGTCCGGCAAAATGGTTAGGTGTTTGAACATCATACGGACCCGATGGTGGATAATCGAAATGACCAGAAGGTGGACCATTGTAATAACCCGATGGTGGAACGTTGAAGTGACCAGGTGGTGGCGGGCCATCAAAATGACCGTGTGAAGGATGTTCAGAATATTGTGTAGGGCCATTAAAATAATCAGGTTGTCGAGGAGCATCGAAACGATGAGTAGGTTGATGATTGTAATTGGAAAAATGTTTCGGATTTCTATTATTCTGACCATTATTATGATTATTGCGAAATGATCGTTTCGCATTCTGAACATTTTCTGTCTTTTTATCATTATTTTTACTAGAACTTTGTAGTTGAATTTGAGTGTTTTTAGCGGCAAAATTAACCGATTTATTTGCTGAATCTGTAAACAAAAGATGTTTCACGTTCAATATTTCGAAGCATTGTTGTGAAAATTCCTTTTCTGTAATATAATTCTGCTCAATCAGATATCTGAGTGTTTCCAATGCGGCTATATTCGAAGCGGTTTTTTTATTGTTTCCAGCTCCACTTCCAACAATCTGATTGATAGATTGGATTTTGATCTAAGAAAAAAAATTGATGCAAAAAAAATAAAATTAAAATGCATTATTATTAATTGAAATCAATTCTGTTCACACAAACGACAATTGAAAACAACAATCACCACACACATACATCGCAATGAAAAGTATGTTGATTGTTGGCAACATTGTCAACTCTGACATCATAATCTATTTTCAGTTTTTTCTTACTACACCAAAGATTCAATGCTGCTTTGGTATTGGTAAGATCCATTATTTTGGATGTTTAATCGATTCGTATTTTTCAAAAACACAAACAAAAAAGTTCGAATGTAAAAACAAAACATTGCATTATTATTTACACTGCTCCAGTTATTGCCTAAAAAACTCATCAATAAGTAGCGACATCTAGGAGAATAAAAATCACTTTTTCAATTTGTCAAAAATGAAAAATTAAATTTGATTTTGTTTTTTTTTTCTCAGAAAAAATTAAATTGAATAAAGAATCATAATGACAACAAAGAAAAAGAGAACAAATGAATCGAAAAAAAAAAAAAAAAAATCAGAAACATAGAGCCATGATGACGATGGATGTTGTTATTTTCGATCATTTTTTCTCATCTTGTTGGGTCAATATTAATTTTTGAAAATATTTCAAATTAGGCACAACATCATTCGGATCTACACCGGTTATTTCCGATGCTTCCATCGTTGGATCCATAATCAATGCATTTGCTCGGATTTTTTTGACAGGAAAATAATCATTTTCAACATCATCGCCAATATGTAGATATTCATTAGGTCCAACTTCAACGGTTTTGAGTATATGTTGAAAAAACTCTGGATCAGGTTTAGCCAGACCACATTGTCGTGATACGAACATAAAATTGAAAAAATGCCTGATATCAAGATCACGAAGTATTGTTTCCAAACGTTCATCAAAATTCGATGCAACCGCCAATGTTATCTCGGGTTTTTGTTTTCGTAGCTCCGATAATAATTCACGAGCATCTGGATTTAGATGCCACAGATTTCCGCGTGAAAAATATTTATAAAGTTGTTGTGACGCTTGTTCCAATTTTTGTCGATCACTCGTTTCATTATAGCCAACATCAGCAAATGATAATTGAATCAGACGTGACCACCATTCCACAGAGGTCAAATTGGATTTTAGACCAAAGTTTGGTAGTTCTTGATTAAGACGTTTAAAATTACTGGCAAAAGATTCATTCAATCGTGCAACGGTATCATCACTTTTTGGTGATAAACCATATTTCGATGCAATTTTCATGAATTCAGCACCAATTTCATTACTGGTTGTGATTAATGTTTTTGTTATATCGAATGACAATAGCCGAATTGATTTAAACATATTTATTTCTGATTTCTGATTTTTGGATTAAAACAAACAAATTTTGAAATTAAAAATTACAAAGTCAACATTTTTTTGAGACAAAACTCCGTTGTTGTTGTTGTTGTTCGCATTAAAAACAGCCGCGATAAGATTTATTGATTGTGTACTTGAATTTCTATCCATATAGTACGTCTGGTAAATTAAATGGGCCACATGCTTTGTTGAATTTTATGTGTTTTTGTTTTGATCAAAAATTATCCGATAGACCATGTCTTTATTGTGTCAGAAAAATAGCTATTTACAAGAGGTATGATAATCATTTGACATAAATTCTTTATAACAAAAAAATAAATTGCATAATTTTCAAACAGTACCAAAGTCCCGTTCGATCATGTCAGCCATCCAGTTTGAATGTAAATGGTAAACATTGTCAAGGATTCGATATTGTATTGGAAGATAGTATTTTCTTTCCCGAAGGTGGTGGACAGGTTTGATTTTTGGTTTACAATTTTTTCCATTCAATCAATCAGTATATTTTCTGCCCAAAATAGCCATACGATACCGGTTTATTGGATGATCAAAAAGTTATAAATGTTCGACGTGATGGCAATCAGGCTATATTGTTCGTAGAGGGTGACCATTGTCGATTTGATTGTGGTCATCAGCCATTGCAGAAAATTGATTGGAATCGTCGTTTTGATCATATGCAACAACATTCTGGACAACATTTAATCACAGCTGTAGCATTAAAATATTTTAATTTACTTACAACATCTTGGAATCTTGGTGCTGAAATTTCAAACATTGAACTTGATTCAACTCAAATCACTGATGAAACAATCGAACAATTGGAACAAAAAGTTAATGAAAAAATTCTTGAAAATCTGCCCATAACCATTTCATATCGTGATAAAGATGACTTGGCCGACATACGACAACAAATGGAATTACCCGATGATTTGAATGCTCATTCATTGCGAATTGTTTCTATCGAATCATTAGATAAGAATCCTTGTTGCGGTACTCATGTATCAAGTTTATCTCATTTACAAATGATTAAATTATTAGGCACTCAAAAAGGTAAAAAAGGAAAAACTTTGTTATTTTTTCTCTCCGGTAATCGTGTGCTCAAACATATGAACAATATTCTGGTGCGAGAAAAATTATTATCAACATCCTTAAAGTAAGTCTGATATTTAATTTTTTGTTCCAAATAACATTCAAATCATTTTTCATATTAGATGTACAGCCGAAGAATTTGTTCCTATTGTGGATAAATTGCAGAAAAATGTTCGACGTTTACAAAAGGTACACTATTACGATATTCAATTTGAATATAAATAATTTTTTTTTTAAATAATTTGTTTCTACAGAATTGTACATCGGCAATGCGAGATTTGGCCCGATGTGAAGGTGAAAAATATCTTAACTTGTTGGATAAACCTCGACTTTATTCAATACATCGAAAAGAATGTGAATATGATTTTGTTACAAGTTTTTTCAATACTATTGGCGATCCAACATCAATCATTGGTGATCGATTAATACTGATTTCACTTGCTGATGATTGTAATTCATTAAAAAGTCCCGGTCAAATTGTTATTGCTGGAAATCAACTACTTGTTGAAAAAAGTGCAAAAATGTATGTCTATTTCAATTTCTATTTCAAAATATCACCACTAATTTACTAATTTAAATATAAATTCTCTAATTCTAGTGCCATTGATTCGTTTGATGCAAAAGGCTCTGTTTCGTCGGGTAGATTTCGTGCCCGTATACCAGATGTATCTAAACTGCCCAAATTCGAACAAATGATTACAAAACAATCGTTAATGTCTAATGAAAATTGATTATTTCATTTTTTTAGTCCTAAAATAAATGAATTTTTTTCAAATAACGGGCAATGTTGGTTTTTTTTTTTTTTTGCTTTAAATCCTCTCATATATGAATGGATACAAACAAATCAACAGCAACAGACACATGTTCTCGATTTGCGCATGTGTAGCATTTTGCATGCATTTGCTCTTTGTGGCAGCACATCCTTTTCCTCACACACAACACTCTTTGCCTGCAAATTGATTGTGGTCTCTCAATCCAAAAGTATGTTTTTGTAGAAAATCATCATCATTTGGATTCAGAATTTCCTTTAAATCTTATTTTTTTGTTAAATTTTGAATCTGAAATTCTACATCTTTCGTTCATTTCGTTTAATTCAATTTTCATTAATTTCAAATCCGATTCGATTCGAAGACAATTTTTTTTTATTCATCCAGAATTTTTTTTCTCCTATCTTGATACTTACGCAGAATTTTATATTCACCGCCCAGACAAAATGAGCGAAGATTATACTGAAGCCCCACTTGTCAGCGCTGAGCCCGATATGATTGAAATCAAATTATTCGGGCGTTGGTCAACCAGCGATGTTCAAGTCTCTGACATTTCATTGACGGTAATGTTTCCTTGATTTTCATTCATTTAATCAATCTAATAATTGCGTCATTATTTCAGGATTACATTGCCGTCAAAGAAAAATATGCTCGATTCTTGCCACATTCGGCAGGCAGATATGCATCGAAACGATTCCGTAAGGCTCAATGTCCAATTGTTGAACGTTTGACAAATTCAATGATGATGCATGGCCGTAATAATGGGAAAAAATTGATGGCTGTTCGTATCGTAAAACATGCCTTTGAAATTATACATCTCCTGACTGGTGAAAATCCATTGCAAATTCTCGTTAATGCAATAATCAACTCAGGACCACGTGAAGATTCAACTCGCATCGGTCGTGCTGGTACTGTTCGTCGACAAGCCGTCGATGTTTCACCACTTCGACGAGTGAATCAAGCTATCTGGCTTCTTTGCACAGGAACACGAGAAGCTGCTTTCCGTAACATCAAGACCATTGCTGAATGTTTGGCCGATGAATTAATCAATGCGGCTAAGGTAAAGTTTTTCAAAATTAATGACCTAAATGAGGCTAATTTTTCTTGTTGTTTTACATGAAAACACAGGGTTCTTCTAACAGTTATGCCATCAAGAAAAAAGATGAATTGGAACGTGTAGCTAAATCTAACCGATGAAAAATGACAACAATAATCATGATAAATTGTCTCCGGAAACGAATAATAATGTTATTTTGTTCCGGTATCGAATTTGAATACAACGCAAAATGATTTGTACGATTTTTTCCTTTATAATTAATATCATTAAAAAAAATTCTTTAAAGTCATATACACAATTTTTTTCCCTACCAATCTCTCTTTCATTTCGTTTGTTTTTTCGTATTGAAAAACGAAAAAAAAAATTTCTTTTGATCAAATAAATATTCAACTGTTGATTGAATTATTTTCGCCCAAATAATTTACCGCAAAACAACCGAATACAAACTTTTTGAAAGGAAAAGGAATGTATTTTGTTTCCGAGAAATTTCCCACACACACACACACACACACACAAATTGTTTATTGGTGAAAATTTTTTTCTGTTCCAATTTACTTTCGCCATCTAGTGATTCGACAATTAATCAGCACTTGTGAAGAGTTGCGCGCCACTTTTGGTCATCTGATTGAAAACTCACGAATTTTTCTTTGTTTGTTTCATCATTCTTGTTTTATCAAAATTTAAATCCTGTGTCGATTGAAAAATGCAGTTTTAATTCAAACAAAAAAAAACAACAAAAGCGATGAAGAAATCACCATTTCGTGGTTGTCAAACACCTAAACAGAATAATACATTGTTGAATTATTTTTCTCGTACTACACCGAAATCTGTGGAAAAATGTGACTCAACCATCCAATCGAAATCAAAGGATGATGTATCGGATAAACGAATTGAACTTTCTGATCGATCAAATAAAAGTGAAAATAATTGCAAAACTGCTACACGTAATTGTTTGGAAAAAGAAACACCTTCAAAACGAAAAACTGAACAACGAGCATCGGATGATGATGATGATAAAATTGGCCTGATTAAATCGAATGATTCAATGCAAAAGAATAAACGATTCAAACGAATTTTTCTCAGTTCAGATGATGATGATGATGATAACGAAAATGTGAGCAAGAATGATGGAGATGATTATCAACCAGAAACAGAATCTTCTGACGTTGATTTTATTTCCGAAAATAGTGATTCAAATTTTGGAAACGACGATGATGATGAAGTGACACCACCATCAAAAAAATCAAAAAAGAATTGCAAATCTAGTTCGAAAAATGTGAAAGCAACGAAAAGTAATAAATACAAAAAAGATGCTGATGATTTCATCTTTGATGATATGATTGAAATCTCAGATGATTCTCAGAATCTATCGAATCTGAAATTGAAAACGAAAAAAATTTTGGATACAAATTCAGCCGATTCGATAACAACACTGAAAATGAATGAAGATAAAAGTATTGCATTTAAATTCATTCCAGTCGATCCAATCGTCCATGAAAAGGATAGTGTTTTTGATGATGAAAATTTGGCCGAAAACGCAAATGTTGCCAATAATGAATATGCCATTTTGGATAATGAAAAAATTGTCAAAAAATCATCATATTCATCATTATCGAATGTGGATAAACCAACCTCATCGGAGCAAGCAACAAATACACAATGGCCACATTTATCCTATAAATTTTTGCAACCAAAATACATAAAAGATTTGAATGGAAATCCAATGCTTATCAATGATGAATTGAATGTCAATTATGATCCATCAACATTGTATGTGCCGATTGAATTTCTTGAACAACAAACACCAGCAATGCGTCAATGGTGGGAATTGAAATCACGAAATTATGATACAATTCTATTCTTTAAGATGGGAAAATTTTATGAATTTTTCCATATGGATGCTGTATCATGTGCTAAAGAATTGAAAATATTATTTATGCGTGGTAATAATGCACATGCTGGTTTTCCCGAAAAAAGCTATAAAAAATATGCCGACGCATTGGTACAGAAAGGATACAAGGTTGCACGGGTTGAACAAACCGAAACACCAGAAATGGTTACCGAACGTTGTAAAAAGATGAAACGTACAACAAAATTTGACAAGGTTGTCAAACGTGAAATCTGCCGTATATCATCGATCGGCACCCGTTACATGTCCGATATTGATGCCGATACATTTCTTGATTATACTTCGTATTTAATGGCTTTCACTTGTAAGGTATTTCATTTGTTTTTTCATTTGTTTTGTTTGGATTTTCAATTTTTTTGTTTGTTTAGGAATTTACAAAATCTTCATTCGATTTGGGCGTCTGTTTTGTAGATGTATCTATTGGACAATTTTTCCTCTCACAATTCCGTGATGATCGTAACAATTCCAAACTTCGTACATTGATATCACACTATTCACCAGTGGAAATCATTATTGAAGAATCCAACAAATTATGCAAATTGATCGAAACAATTTGCCCAGCTGCACGTGTTCAGAAATTGAAACGATTTAAATCGGCTAGTCAAACTTTGAAATTTATTTATGAAAAAAATCTATGGTCAAATATTGCTACCGATTTTCGAAACGAAATTCTCGATCCATCCGATGTGATTCAACAGTCTGCCCGAACAGAATTCGAATTGGCCACCGTTTCAATGGGTGCCATAATTGATTATTTGGAAAAATCATTGATAATTGATGATATCATGTCAATGGGACAGTTCCAAGTATATCGTCCACCAGAATTTAACTCAGTAATGACTAAATTGCCCGATCATATGATTATGGATTCAATGACGATGAAAAATTTGGAAATTCTTGAATCATTAACTCATAACGATATGAGTAAAACATCCACTTTGTTCAAAATTATTAATCATTGTCAAACTGCATTCGGTAAACGAATGCTTAGAACTTGGATATGTCAACCATTATGTGGCTTAAGTAATGGATTAGAAATGAGACGTGAAGCTGTACGAGATTTGGCCGAAAATATCGACATTGCTGGCTACCACAAACATTGGAAAGAAATGCTAAAAAAGATTCCTGATCTGGATCGTTTATTGACACAGATTCATTCACAATCATCGCTTAAACGTTCGAAAGATCATCCGGATGCACGTGCCATACTATTTGAATCGGACATTTATCGTATACGACGAATTAAAACTTTTCTCGACACTATTGCTGGTTTTGAACAGATTTCGAAAATTGTTGAGAACATTCAATCAAATTTAGATTTATTCAAATCCAAATACATTCACCAATTGATGACATATATAGAAGATGGGGGATTGTTTCCTCGATTCGATGATAAAATTCAATTTTTTCGACAATCATTTGATGAAGAAAAAGTTCGTCAAGATGGCCATTTCATACCGGACAAAGGTGTCGATGATGAGTATGATCAGGCCTGTGAAACGATTTCAAATATTACAAAGAAATTTGATGATTACCTCAATGAGCAGAAATTATTTTTCAAAACACGTATCAACTATGTGAATGCATTGAAGAATCGTTTCCTATTGGAAGTACCGGATTCATGTGAATCGAAAATTTCAAAATGGCAAGAAAATTATGAATTGAAAAGTTCACGTAAAGGTTATAAACGTTATCATACGACTAAATTAATCGAAATGATTGAACAGCTGGAACAGGCTGAAAATGAAAAACAATTGCTTCTTGGTGATATATTTCGTCGTCTTTTAGCTCGGTTCGATCAAGATTATAAGATTTGGCGCCAAGCAATTTCATGTATTTCACAATTTGATGCCTTATTGTCATTATCAAACACACGACAATTGTTTGAATCGAATGGTTCAAATTCTTGTTTACCAGAATTCATTTGGGATCATCAAGATCAATCGATTATACGTGCAAAAGATTTGCGTAATGCTTTCCTAGTGATCAACAATACAGTCATACCAAACGATATTGAATTAATGGGTGAAACATTGATTTTAACCGGCCCAAATATGGGTGGTAAAACTACATTGATGCGTTCGGTTGGTTTGTTGGTCATTCTGGCACAAATTGGTTCCTATGTTCCGGCTAGTGAATGTCAGCTAACACCTGTGGATCGAATATTCACCCGTATCGGTGCTTATGATATTGTTTTGGAAAATGAAAGTACTTTTATGGTCGAACTAAGCGAAGCCTTGTCGATTATGAAATATGCGTCGAAATTATCATTGGCATTGATCGATGAACTTGGTAGTGGAACATCAACATTTGATGGTACAGCTATTGCTTCGGCCATCATTTTTAATCTAGCCGAAACAATTAAATGTCGAACATTATTCTCAACACATTATCATTCCATTCTGGGTGAATTGAATGGCAAAGCTAACATTAAACTTGGCTACATGTCTTATATGATTGAGAATGAAAATGACAAGGATCCAACCGATGAGAATATTGTCTTTCTATATAAACTACAACCAGGTATTTGTAATAAAAGCTATGGATTTAATGTTGCTAAATTGGCTGGCATACCAAATGAAATTATTCGCCGTGCACATCAACATTCACAACAATTTGAGCTGGAATGCCGTATTAAATCATTGTTAAATTGGTTCCAGCAACGAAAAAAACAGCATAATAAATCAATGATTAGCGATAATGATCGTGTTGAAGCTGAAGAAAATTGTCAACAACTTTTATCAACAATTCGAATGTTGCGAACATTTATTGGAGAAAATAATCCATAAATTTTATTATTAATTTGAATATTGTCTCATGTTGTAATAAAAAAAATTGAAAAATATCATTTTCATTTTCAATTAGCCTTTTCAGCTTTGGCTTTCAATTTATCCTGTTTTTGTTTTTGTTGTTGTAATGCACGTTGTTTAGCCTTGTCATACAATTCGACCAATCGACCATCATTAGCCAATTGTTTAAGTATTTCAATTATCATTGGAAGATAGTTATGTTTACGGCGAATGTTTTCAATCTATTGAGATGGATAAATTGATTTTAAAAAATTAAAATTAATCTCTCCATATTGTTCATACCTTATAACGTTCCATTTTATCCGATTCTTGCTTGATCAGATATTTAAGGTTTTCAATCTTGGCTTGAATTTCACCATCAATGTTTGCCTGTTTCTCCATATTGGCAATCTGTTTTTCATAAAGCATTTTTCGATCACTAACAACGGCCATCAGATTGAAATGTATTTCGCCGGTTGCATATTTTTGCATTCGTTTTTCAATAAGTGGACGTGCAACGGCTACCCAATCTTCATTATCACCGATCGGTCCCAAATCATAAGGACCTTCTTTAAGGCCATCCAATTCGATTAAACGACCACCGTATGGTATATAGCCGATGAAATGAAATACATCTTCTTTTTCTTTTTTTCCACTCAAATTGTCAAATTCAAACATTTGTTGTCGAGAAAAGGAATTATGAACTTTACGAATCAATTCTGAATTGCTCAACGATAGACCTTTCATCGAGGCATCGAATGTTTTGGTGAATTCACGAAAATCGGTCAATGTTGGACCTAGATTCAAATCGGCATGTTTACAATTCATTAATATATTGATCAATGCCTGTGTAGCACAAGCATTATGGATAACTTGTTTAGCGAAAAAAATTTCATTCATTAATCGATAATCTTGAAGTAATTTTCCATCCGAATAATCATCCGATACCCATTTGAATAGGAAAATTAGGCCATGAACTGGTTTAAGATTTTCAAAACATTCGGGCATCAATGAATAAAGTTCTTCGACTTGAAGTCCGTTCACACCAAATCCACGAATCAATTCGGTGAATACACCAGGATCCGATTCAATCAAACACCATTGGTCAGCGCCACTAGTATTAGACATTATTGATTTTGTCAGTGATTGATTTTGTTGGCAATATTTTTTGTAAAATTTTGTAAAAAAATGTCAAATCTTGTAAGGATTGCTGTTTGAATTTGAAAGAATAAAAAACAAAATCAAATTTTCAAACAAAAGAATGCATGCACAATGAAGTCAGCAAAATATATTGCCATTACTAGCAGCGTATAAACGCGGAGTTTCATGCACACACGTGAATGGAAAATGATCATCAGTGAGAATATTCAATTCAAACTGTTACATTTTGTTCATGTTCTAAAGTTTAATGGAAATTTAAATTATAGAAAAAAAATAATGCAGAAAAAAATGAAAAAGAAAAAAAACTTATTTGACATTCTTGACATTCAACAACAATTTATAATGATGTTTCATACTTGTGTCAATTTAAGCTCCACCTGTTTGTCAAGAAGAAAAAAATGGTCTTAGTTATTGGAATTTTTTGGAAAAATCAAATGCGCCATCTATCTTGATTTGTAATTAAAAACAAACAAAAAAAAGAAACAAATTTTTCTTGGAAAAATGTCATCATCATCCGACATCTTTGGATTGGTTAGTATCTAGACCACACAAGACGAATGATAAATGTTCGTCGCAGAAAGCTACTTGTACAATTTTGGACCATTTAGGTTTGAATCGAATCAGAGTGTCATTTTTGTTATACTAATGTTTATTTGTTCATTAGATCAACATCACATGTAGAAATTATTCTTATGATAAGTGATACATTTTCTAGATTTGATTATATTGGTAAGTCAAGTTGTTTAATCTAGGTTCAATTTTTTTTACAAAATGAATCAAATATGATAATGACCTCCTTATCACAACGTGTGAATCTTATTTCATTGTCCTTGAAATCTACATATGTATGATTATTATTGGTTGGATCATAATCATGTAATTGCAGCTAATTTATTTTCACTACCATAATTTCGATAATATGAAATGATCCAAACTGTGTTTGTCTTGACTTATTTCATATTGGCTCTCCTTTTCTTATTCATAATCGAATATGGTGCATGATGAATCCTAATGGCTGCCACCATTATCATTAACATCATCATCATCATCATTCGAATAATGCATGCATGTCTATACCGAATTTTCCTAAATCTGTCAAAGGCGACGGATAGAGAGGGTGTTATGCAATTTGCATTGTACATTTGTTGTTGCATTTACTTTTTGCTTTTCCTTCACTGGTAGAATTTTCCTTTTTTTCACCCTGTCATTTTTTGCTTATAATCATGTCTGTCTGTCTTATTTGTTTATGTGTGTGTGTCTGTGAATAGTGAACGTTGAACCGAATAAAATGTTGATTCGAAAATTCTTTATAAAAAACACCATAGCAGCAGCATAGCCATTTTTTTCATTGCTGATTGTGATGTAGCCGAATCGACAAACGCACAGACAAAGAGAGAAAAAGAATAATAATGGAAGATCCGTGCATACATTTATTGACTCGAGTCAATAAGAGATTTTCCCATTCTATTTCCTATAGGAATGGCTTCATACAATATTTGTAGCAAAGTTATTTATATGTGAACAATTCACTGGAAACAGGAGAAAAAAATGTAGCTGCTGCTGTTGATGATGTTGCTACTCCCTGGTATGTTTTGGTGTGTGGTGTGTATATACAGTGTGTATATATAGCTGGTTATAGCCTGCTACATTTTATTTCATTTTTCTCTTGTGGTCTCTCCAGCTATCATTTTCACTGATGATAATAATTTTGGCGTTCATTTCCAAAAATGTATGCTGTATTTATTATTCTGTGAGATAAAATGGTCTAGACATTTAAAAAAATAAAGCGATGATGATGATATAAAAACAAAATTATTATTATCGATTGTGTTACGAGAATGAGCCAAGAAAAATGTTGCAAATTTTTTACATTGATAACAACAATATTAATGTTGACGTATACATGAATATAAACACAATAATAACATGGCCATAGACGATCGACCTTCGGATACATATATTTCGATCTGCGCATACAAATTTTTTATGCTATTGCGCATCATATAGACAATCATCAATAGCATCCTGTCACTATGCCACTATGCAAGTGTAGCATTTTTTTTTGTTGTTTGTTTGGCTATTTTTTCATTTCATTTCGTTTGTTGTAAAGGCGGTAATAAAAATGTACATTATTCTTTTCATTATTTCGTTTCGGTGTCGTGGTTGGTAGTGATAATTTTCGGTCTCCAAAAAAAAACTATACGCTCAACATCTATACCCGAAAAAAGAAAGTCAATTCCTTAGATTCCGGTAATTGTCTGTTTTTCTTTCATCGTGTCAAACATAATTAATTGTATCATTTCATTCGATTTCTTTTCTTTTTTTTAAATCTGAAAATTTTGTAGTTTCGAAATGTCTTTTTTTCAGCCAACCAAAGAGTTTGCCTTTACAAATTGTTCTTTGGTTCTACGAAAAAAAAGATTTTGGTCATTTCGAAATTCGATTACTATTCCATTTTATTTGTATGACGCAATTTATCACAACCGAATATTGTCTACATTTTTTGGTTAATTCTTATTTTTTCCAAACAATGAAACTTATCATCATATCCTTCATAATTCATTAATCTACGGGTCAAAAATTTTTTTTTATTTAAATGAATATTTCATTTCTACATCATTAAATGCTTTGAAGATTAACTGATTCACCAAAGAAAACGAAACCGGAACAATCGAACAATTTCTATTTCTATGCTCAAACTTGATTGGAAAATTTGTATTCGAATCAAATCTAACCGAATCTACCTCTATTCATTCTTTTTGGCATAAATTTGATTTTTTTTTCAATTTTTACATTTCATTATTACCATCATATACAATTTGAAACGGGTCAAAAATACAAATACTCTCTCTCTTCTCTCGCTACTTAAAATCATTTTTCTACTTGACGAAATTATTACTTATTTTCTATTGTGTTCATTCGAATGAATGAACAGATTTGTTTCCATCTCACTGGATACATCATCGAGAGGTATATATTTTCAATTTACAATGTTACCAATATAATAAAGTGATTAATTAATTGTATTTTAAAAAAAAAATAGATTCAAAAATGGAAGATATTCAAACCAAATCGAAAGCTACTGAAGATGCAAATTCCGAATCAGCTATCTACAATGATTCTAAATTATTGCTTAAGATACCTAAATGTTCACGTTGTCGTAATCATGGTTTATTAAATTCGCTCAAAGGTCATAAACGTACATGTCCACATCGAGATTGTATTTGTTCAAAATGTTTTCTGATTAGTGAACGACAAAGAGTTATGGCTGCACAAATTTCACTTCGTCGCCAACAAGAGATGGAAGATAAAATCAAAATATTATCACAAATGCAGCATAATTCTGATGGTAATTTGGAAAAGATTATATTTTTTAAAATTTTTAACAGAGAGTCTTGTTCATATCTTTTTTCGAAATTCCAAAAAATTCTCAGACATCATTGATATTGGTGTAGGAAAAAAACGAATGAAATTATTGTCATCAATAATGAAAGATCAAAGTAATAAAAATGCTTTAAATCAGATGGCCATTGCTGTTGTTGACAATACAGCCACCAATATTAGTTCATTGCCAAAAGCAGATCATGCATTCAACCCAGTTACAAATCGTCTGGAAACATTGATTGAAGTTGTGCAAGAACAATCTCAACCACCACCGCCACCACCACCACCACCACCAATAATAAAGGAATCGAATATTTTCAAGACAAAATCCTCAAATATGGATTCAGCTACAAGCAGCAGTGACAATAATATGGCAGCAGTATTTGATGATGAACCATTTGAATCATTTAATATACCATATATCAGTGATAATTCTAGCTCATTTTTAGAAGATACTGGTAAATTCTTTTTCATCGGTAAAAAATGTCAATTATAATTGAATTCGATTCTTGATTTAGGAGGTGAAGATCCGATTAGTGGCCATCATTTGAACCGTGATGAACAAGATTCGATTGCTGGCAAAATAAGTGATCTTTCGGTTAAGCTTTCAAAAAGTGGCTTTAATCTGGATGAGAATTTTAAAACTCATTGTCTTTTGGCCACAATTATTAATGATAATGATGGCAACATTGATGAAAGTTTTGGCAAAATTATGCGATGTAAGTTTCAATCAAATTTTTTTCCATTATAATTGAGTGAAATAATTTTTGCCATAGCTATCATTAAGTTTAGTCAGTTGGTATATGATGACCATTGTAAAAAAACAGAAACCAAGGGCAATCGTAAAAGTAATCAAGCATCAGCAAAAATAGGAGCCAACAACGCCAAACGAGAACAAACAAATTTTCATCAAAGTTTTGAATCGCCTCATCATTACGATGAAAATCGTATCAAATTGAGTACTAAAGATGATCCGGTCACCAAACATCATGCAGCAATAAACTTGGATAAAAAACCATTAAAAATGTTCAATATCGATTCGCCTTCATTACTTTCGAATACAACTAAAATATCATCATCGCCGTCAACAACACTTACTTCCATTGTACCGAAATCACTCGCCATGCCATTGGCAACATTGATCAATCAGGGCATTATTCCTCAACAACAGCTAACAAAAAATGTCAAAGATTTATCAATGTCCGGCAACTTGTCAGCATTGCAAGTACAATCGAACAACAAACATCTAGTATTCGTTATTAATCCTCAATCGACGTCGTCAAATAATGCACCAAATCAATTGAACGATTCTCAAGCCAAAATTCAGTTACCAGTTTCATTGATGATTCCATCTACTTCTGCTACCAATCTAAGCAGTTTCAGTATCGATGGTAACATTGGTGATCATGATAAATTGCAATCACCACCACCACCACAACAAGTCACCAAAATTATTGATCCAAAACAAATTTATGCCTCCACTCCTATAGCTGGTACAAACAACTTAACACCAGAAGTAAATAATCTCGAAACATCAGCCACTTCAATTTTGAAAGCTCAATTGTCTTCATCGTCGAATAATAATCCATCATCATCATCATCAACGACAACAACAACAACAACAACATCATCAAGTATTTATACTAGATCGGATGGTGGTTTAGCTGAAAAATCCTTCACAGCATTGGTTTCGAATGGAGTGATGGGACCTCAGCATAAAATCGGTATGCAATCTCTATCAACAACATGTATCATTGAACCAAGCCAATCAAGCCTTGTTTCATCAATGTCTCAAAATATGAATATTGTTCGTGAATTATCATCATCATCGACAACAATATGGAGCTCAAATAAGGATAAAAATTCTCCCGATTTAAATGACGGCAATAAAGGATCTCGTATTAGCCATGTTACAATCTTGAATAGGAACCGAGCCAAACTTGCCAAGTTGCGAAATTCGAATATTCAATCATCTGATAACGACAACAATAATGATTCACAAATGGAATCTTTAAATCCGGTTTAATCAATCGAGCTATTCAATTGAAATTTCATAATTTCAAAGTGTAACTTTGTTCATTGTAAAATTGATTAATTCATTCTCGACTTTTTCAGTTTTTTCTTTTTTTTAACAATGTTGTTTTCTTTTGCATAATATAATTATTCAATTCGGCTGTGTATTTAAACAATTCTGTAAGACAGTATTCGGATTTTTTTTGTATATTGGTCGTTTTTTCATGGAAAAAATAAAGTTCTCGAATTGAGAAGAATTCAAAATTTGATCCAGCTATTTTAACACAATTCGTGCCTTTAGGTCAAAATAGCAATTTAACAACATTGTTTCAACTCGAATTTTTCAAAATTGAAAAAATAATTCAACAATTTCTCACCTGAATCAATCGAATTACCACATTCGTGTCTATTCGAACATTTTGAATTAGCGCTTCTATTTGGTAGAAACTAAATGTGTAACATTCATTATGGAACAAAATTCTTACAGTAACATTCCAAGTATTGCTGGTTCACAAAATGAACTGGATCCAGAGGCACAACATTTGGCTTTTTACAAAGTCAACTTGCCCAACCATCTCCAATGCAACCACCTCATCACGATAATACTGTCCAACCACCATCGACACCAAGTCAGCAACATTCACCGCCATCAAAACAACAACAAAATAATGACAATCAAAATGCTTCTTCTCCTTCTCCTTCTCCCACATCAACTGATGTGCCAAATGAAACCAATGTTCAATCGGAGAAATCTAAACAAAATAATCAAAACAATAATCAAAATAATAATAATAATAATAATAATACTGTTTCAACACCAGCCAAAGATGAACCGGCAACTCCATCATCGAATCTGTTTCAAAGTTATCCAGGACCGATGACTCCTCGTACGCCGATCACGCCAATGTCTGTTGATTCACAAATTGTACCGCAATTACAGAACATTGTATCCACAGTTGATTTAGGTTGTAAATTAGATCTTAAACGAATAGCATTACATGCAAGAAATGCCGAGTACAATCCAAAACGTTTTGCCGCAGTTATAATGCGAATTCGTGAGCCAAGAACTACTGCTTTGATATTCAGTTCGGGTAAAATGGTTTGTACTGGAGCCAAAAGTGAAGATATGTCTCGACTTGCAGCTCGAAAATATGCTCGAATTGTGCAAAAACTTGGTTTTGAAGTATGAAATTTGAATTATTATTTGCAGTGATTAAATTATCGTTTTTTCATTAATTTTAGGCAAAATTTTCTGAATTTAAAATCCAAAACATGGTCGGCAGCTGTGACGTGCGATTTCCCATTCGTTTGGAAGGACTTGTTCTCACCCATAGCCAATTCTCAAGTTATGAACCGGAATTATTTCCTGGTCTCATTTATCGTATGGTCAAACCTAGGATTGTATTATTGATATTCGTATCGGGCAAAGTAGTATTAACTGGCGCTAAAGAACGTAACGAAATCTATCAAGCATTCGAAAATATTTATCCAATTTTAAGAAGTTTTAGAAAACAATGATTTCTTTTTACTTTATTCTGTCATTTGTTGGCATTTTGTTTTCACCATTGAATATATACATGCACATCATTCGAATAATTAAAATTCTTTCAAACCATGTGAAAAAATAACGAACAATCAGAATGATAATATGATGATACGTATAACCTCCTTACGTATATTAACCCTATATATGGGGTTAATGATATTTTCTATAAAACTTTTTTTTCTAATTAACAAAAATCATTCATTTCTGACAATTACGAACTGAATTCTTCTCTTGTTTTTAATATTTTAAAAACTAGATGGAAGTATACGTTTTAGGATTTTACTATTGTGTGGAATTAAGATTCAAATATATGACTTGCAGTCAAATAAGAATAAATGGTTTATATATCAATTCAACAGTTTTTAATGATGCCTTATACTTTAGTAAATGTATAATAGGATTTTAACTATTGTAATTTCATACAATAGTCATATTAAGAATAAAATAATTAAATAACCGTACAATTAATCAAATTTCCAACAGTACGAAAAGTTAATTTATTTACAGAATAAGACGAAAAAAATAAATTCTTTTTTTTTGTTCAAAATAAAATTCAAGCCAAAGAATTATCGCTATGTGATGATCATAACAAAAAGAGGATATAATTATGAATGAAAATGATAATGAAAATAAGAAAATGAAAATGAGAAAATAGAATCTGCACACTATGACAATCTCTAATATGTAATATAATTTAATTAAAGGAATCAATCAATAAAAAAATAAAGAAAGAGAAAAAAAGGAAAATAAGAAGAAAATGACATTAATGACAGATTGATTTTCCGGCAAATGTAATAGTGATTGGGTGTATATCTCTTTCTATGTGTGTGTGTGTGTTTCAATTGAGGGAATCGAAAAATTAACTGGCTTGGCACAGAATGGCGCTTAGAAGGCAGACTTAGAAAAAAAAGTATGTGACGACGAAGAAAGTGAAGAAATATCACTGACAGTTGATGATAATGTTAGTGGTGATACAGTTGTATTCATCACAGGAGCGGCCAATGTAGATGATGATGTCGTTTGTTCAACAATAGCAGAATTTGGATCGTCATCGCATTTTTCTAATAATTCATGCAATTTTTGTTCATTATGATTGGTATCTGTATCCGGACGGATAAAATGTACAATTTGTCTGGATTCATCAGCATGATTCGTTGAATACGAACCACCACCATCATCATCGTCATCATGATCGGCTTCATTACGTACGATTTCATCCACTTTTTTCCTATAAACGCCGGACAGCACATAGGTTTTTACTTTACGACCATCGTGGCCAATTTGTTCGGTTATAGCTGTTGTCGGATGTTCCATCTCACTAATACCTAGATCAGTATGTTCAGATTCAGCCGGATGTGGCTCTGGTCCAATATATTGATAATTAGGATCATAACCTTTTACACGATATCGTCGAACCGGTCTTGGTGATGGCGATGATCGTATCGGCTCATATCGTTCATCTGATGCTGTATTATCATTTAAATCATCAGCCATATCTTCATATGATGGTTCATTTGATGACGATATACTTCGAGGGTCATAATCACGGTATGATTCACTTTGATTATCATCTAATTCGGAATTATTATTATCTCGATCATGAACTGATGAATGTGAATGTGAATGATGATATTTATCTTCACTTGGGAATTGTTTTAAATATTTTTCCGGTATTTTACCCTTTGTTTGTACTTTATGAATTTCGCCTTCTTCTTTATCTTCGAAATCCAATTTATGTCTTTTACCACCGGTGACCATTAGATTTTTCAATGTTTTCAGCAATTGTTTATCATAATTATTCTTTTCTAAATTTTCTAATCCTTCCGCCGTACGTATAGTCATAGGATGTCCAGATTTTGGCGCTGGTTGTTCGGCTGAATCATTATCGCTATACGATGACGATGACGATGACGATGATGATGATGATGATGATGATGGACGATAAATTGGACTAAAATCCAATGCAGATTTATTATTATCTTCATCATCTGTTGATAGTGTTGACTTTGAACGACTATTATGATGACCTGATGTTGAGCTGGTACTTTTCATTATTGATTTATGATTATTTTTATAATTATGTCTAGGTAACTGATCATAACTAGATGATGAAGGTGTATATTTTTTACCACTACTACTATGCGGAGGTATAGTTCTTGGATTGATATCATCTAAATTTCTTAATGGTGGCATATTCTGTAAGATATTTATCCGGTATCACTTTTGATCGTGTTGGACCATTTGAATAGGCAGTCATTATTTTCTTATGGCCACGATTATGATGATGAACACGTGGATTTATGGAACTTTGTTCCGGTTGTTTTTCATAACTATCATCATCATCATTATTACTAGTATTAGTATCGATAGGAAGCTCTTTATTTTTATCCATATAACGGATTTTTGGTTTTAAACGCATTTGTCTTTCTGCTTTTAGCTTTATCTGACCAACCGAATTGATACGAATTGGTGGCCTTTCAGCTTTGATTCGAATAACTGGTCGTGTTCGTTTCTTAGGTGGGGCTGGCGTTATCGTATTTGGATCATTGACCGACGAAGGGCTACCGTGTTGATTATTGTATTGATTATCAGTGTTATCATCACTGGATGATGAATGATGATGATCCGAATATGTTGGTGAACGTTGATTATTACTACCTTGATTATAATCACTTTCCAATGAATTATCTGGCCATCTTTCTTCGCCTGGTTTATCCAATTTAGGTGCCGGTATAATTTTCATTGCATCAGGCTTCGGAGGAGGGGTCTATGATGAGAAAAAATTAAAACAAAATTAAAAGATTAATCAACACCACTACCGAAAAACAAAAATCAATAACGAGGCCTATAATCTATTAATCATGATTCGGATCGATAAATAAAACGGAACAAAAACAAAACAAAACAAAAAACTCAAACTGAATCAAAACAGCCTATTCATTGAAAATGAAAAAGGGAAAGAAAAAAATTATGGCTAACGATCGATCAGAAAAAAAAATCGATTAAAATCATTCAAAAAATCAGGAGAAACCGATCCCAAAAATTTTGTTTGAATCAATGGATTTTTTGCGCAAAAAAAATTCGACAGAAAATTTATATGCAAACAATGTGCATATTTTAGCTATATAAATCTAATGAAATCAATCATATCAAACCAAAAAAAAAAAACAACAACAACAATCAGCTCATCATCATCATAGTATTTTTCTTCCGAAAAAAATATGAAATGATTAGAAATTTGAATAAAATACGAACAAAAATTTATTCGTAATCGTTCATGATGATGATGATCGGATAAAGAGAGAGAGAGAGAGAGAAAATGATTAAAGACTTTTCGGCGATCAAGAGCAATAAACAACAAGAATTGCTTGATCAATCAAGCATTATAATCAATGTTGAACGAGAATTTATTTTCTGGTTCAAACTTGGCGGCCAAAGATCTATCCAATAAACAAGCAACAAGTATTATAAAGATAAGTATCCTTGCTGTGATATGTGAATAATGATTGTATTAGAATGGCCAAATATTTGAATTATTTAAATTTATTTTTGGACCTATTTTCGACTTTCGAACATAGAGAGAGAGAGAGAGAGAGAGAGAATAATTTGAATCATTACAGATAGAACATGAATGAATCATGCTTTGACATCAATGGTACCAATTGATTATGGCTACCATACACCATTAAACATAGCCATAATCATCATGATCATAAATTATCCGTTTAAAAAAAGTTTTCCTCTCTCTCTCTCTTTCACTCTCGTCCTTCCTGTTTTTTCCACCACTCAATCCATCAATATTGTGTTGAGGATATACAACAAAAAAAATTTCCAAATAAAAAAAGACAACAATTAAATCAAAAAAAATTTGAAGATGATAACTGAGAGAGAGAGAGAGAGAAATAATGGCCACCTTGCTTGGACTGTTTTGTTGTTGTCTTTGTTCCAAATGGAATAGCATGTTCATCATAATCATGGATATGACGGTGGCAAGAATCGAATTGGATGATGGAACATTTGAAAAGAAAAGGTCCAAAAATGCAACAACAACAACAACACGGTCAATATGAACAATGATTACATCTTTATTGTCATATTACAACTGTGTGTATTACCTTTTCCTGGTGGCTATTTTGGTTATCATAATTTTATGCTCATTGTTGTTGTCATACGCGATCAATACTATCTTTATCATCATCATCATTATGTTTCGATTTAGCGAAACGAAACGAAAACGATATAGTCGGGAAAATGAATGAATGATGGCAATATGGCTAATCTAATCTTTTTTCATCCATTTTTTTGAGATGACCAGACAATCATCATAATCATTATTTGATGATCGTTATTTGATTTCAATACAAACGAAATAAAAATGACTGGACAATTGTTTGTTTTCATATTTTGTTGATGGTAAATTTTTTTTTGTTTTGTTTTGCTTTGTTTGGCTTACATTCATATCCTGTTCCTGGTTACCCACCAAAAACCAAAGCTATATATATATATGGCTATAGATAAGATAAAAGAAAATTGCCAAAAATTGATATCGTTCAATAAATTTTCTCATTCTGTTTCTATCTTTTCAACAATTAGAAGCTGTATGGACATTGTGTGGATTTTGAATGAATTTCACACAATGTAGAATAGAATAATGTCATAATTAAATAATTATGCGAAATAATCATTCACCAATCCTTTGGTCATAATAGATATGATTACATTATCATAATATTGTGGCCAATGTAAATTAAATCAAAACATAACAATATCATCATCATCATCATCATGTCTGGGTAAATCATTTTCAACTAGCTAGATAGAAACAACAATGGATAATCATCATTAGCATCATATATATCGGTTGTGGAAATGTCATCAAAAAGAATTCGGAATGATGTGAAAAATGAAGAAAAATTTTCCATCATTTTTATTAAGGTCATTGATCATCATCAATTCAGAAGAAATCTCTATTTTTGGGATTGCCAAATTACTGATTATTCAATTCATGACAGCCATCACTTTTATCAATTCAATCACCTTATTCTTTAACACAGTCGAAAATAAAGGTCATCAAAAAAAAATAAATAAAAATAAAAATTAAGTACCATGATAAAGAAGAATTCGAGACGAATTACATGATTTGATTTAATTTTTCTAGTTTTCTATTTCTAAATTTAAAAGTCCCACATTCGAAACAATGTATCGTTTTCTCATTCTTGATAATCTACTTTTACATTTGATCATTTCTCATTTTCCATGTGGTAATTAACGAAATTTAATCTTTTGTCTTTATGGTTAAAAATGAATGAAAAGTTTTTTCAAGATGCTCAACAATCTACGAGCCATTTGAGCAGCCCCACTCTAACACGGATTTTTGTTGTTATTCAACATTCTACATCTCCATTCTCATCATCGTCAAAGTGATCATCATTATGATGATCATTTAGCATCACCAATTTTAGTTAGACAAGAAAGTGATGAATTAATTAATGAATTGCTTTGATTGATTGATTAATCGTGATTCGTTCGATCATGTTAGTGGCAAGTGGATATAGTGAGTGATATAAAGATAGAGATGGTGAGTGAGAATAAAATATGAGTGGAGATGATAGAACCGTGTTAGCGAGATAAGGGGAAAAACAGACATTCAAAATAGACTTGACATGAACATACCTATTATTAATCAGAATAATATTCGTGTATCATATGGCAATCACATTTTTTGTAAGACATGTGTGTGAGAATTAATGAATAAACTAGTAGATTTTTCATTCAAAATGAGAATGATGTGAAATCCAAAAATCTAAAAATCCATACAATTTCAGACTTTTGTCTCTATCATTTTTGTATTCTGAATCACTAATTATTATACAATCGACCATAATTTTTCTGATTATTCATCATTTTCACTATCCGTTTAGTATTTTTATCCGAAGGTTTCATTAATTTCATTTTAGGCTGTATTATTAATCGGCCCGGTAATTCTCTGGTTGTCGTGATTACCTGATTATTATTATAATCGCTGTTGTCTTGATCTCTTTCACGGCTATTGTTATTATCATTAGGATTATTAAAATTTTCTTTTGCTTGATTATTCGAATGTGTATCGATATTGAATTGTTTGATCGATGGTGGTGATGATGGTGGCGCTGGTCGATTTGGTCCATGATGCATGGACATACGATCAGATTGTTGTGCTGAAGGATTATTATTGATCATTGGTTTACGGAAATCCAATTTCGGATGTTTTGGGCCATTATTATTATTGAACAATACATATGGATCATTCATATTATTATTATTATTGTTGTTGTTGTTGTTGTTGAAACTATTGCTGTTGAAATTGTTGTTGTTTTTATGATTGTAGTTATTGCGACCACCACCATCATTAATATGAAAACTATCATCATTGCCCCTATAGTTTGAATAATTTGGATCAAAATTCGGTGCAACTTGTGGTGGACCACCCCCACCACTATTCCTAAATGGCTGTTGTGGTGGAGCTTGTTGTATAGGATAAGCCATATAACGGGATGGTGGTGGTGATGATGGTATAAATGGTTGTTGTTGCTGTTGTGGTAATTGTGGCGGTGGTAGTGGTGGCCGATTAAAATTCATTTGTCGTCCAACATTCATCATGGGGCGATTAATATTGTGATTAAATTGATTATAATCCCGTTGTCGTTGACGATTGTGTATGCTTGGTCGTCTTTGATTATTATTATTATTGATTGGTTCTTCTAAAGAATGGAAAAGAGGAGAAAATTGCAATGTCATTGAAAAAATTTGAAAAATTTGAAAGCGAAAAAATTCTCACCATAAATCGGTATACGTATTGGTTGTGCTGTGATAAGTTTAAAATTGATATTATTGCTACTGGATGCTTTATAAATATCTTCAGGTCGTAATAATAGTATCGGTATCTGTAGCTGTTGCATTTTGAATGGTTTATTCAGATCAACCTTATTGAATGGAATATCACCATTGATTGCTGCCTGTGCAATTACATTGACCAATTCGTTTAGTGGAAAACGATTCTGTATTTGTGGATTTAAAAGAGAGGAAAAAATTATTATAATGGCATCATTTAAATCAAAATTTTTCAAAAATAAAAAAAAATAAATGCATATCATATGAAAAACAAACAAAAACATTCATTTCTGGATAGGATCGATTTCAATGAAGAATCCATTGTTTAACCATTTGACTATTACAAAACATTATTATGACTACCGGGATTGATGATGAAAAAACAAACAAAACAAAAAACGATTGAAAAGTGTGTCCCTGTGTCCGATCAATTCAATTCAAATCAATCAATTCAACATTAAAAATTTTTTTCTCGTTGAAAAATCAAGAGAAAAAAATACAGCAGATACTTCAAAAAGTATTCCGAAATATTTATTTTTGATCGATATTATGATGATGATCGAGACGGCGGAAATAAAAACAAACAAACAATCGAAAAACGGTATCCGAAATCGAAAATGAATGAAACGAGAAACAAAAACAGAAGGTGACAATCTTAGTTTATGTGGAAATTTTTTTGCTTTTCTCATGATTGATGATGGCGATTGTATGAATTACGGTGACAAAAAAGTTGAAAATAGGAAAACTAATTTCCCATATCCGATTGGATGTGTGTGTGTCGAGAGGATCTGTTGAACATTTCTTTTTTCTCTTCCTACTATTTTTATGTGATTGATTCGAATAAAAATCAATCGATCAATCGTTTAATCCCATTTCAATCAAATGAATATATCAAAATTCACACACACACACACAACCAGGTACACAGATGTAAACAAACAAGGTTAGAGAAGACAAAAAAAGCCGGAACATTCAATTCAAATCAAATTTATCGAAAGGGAAAAACATATTTTGAATATGTTATGACGATGAAAATTTTCTTTGACACAGCATTCATACATTTCATTTGAATTTTGTGAACAAACACGAAAACGATAAATTCATCGCAAATTATCGATTAAAGCAATGGTGATGATTGAATTTGAATAGTAATAAATTCAGATTTGATGAAAATTGAAAAAAAATTAAGGAAATCCAAGCCGTGATACATTTACTATTATAATAAAAATAATAGCTATCATCATCATAAATATTTGATGATCAAAAAAAAATTGAAGCAAAGAAAAAACAAAAGATCATTAAAAACACCCAGAAAATGAGATTTAAATCATTCATATTTGAAAAATAATATTTTCTTTTCTTTTCCTTTTATATAAACAACTTTCACATGAAAACAATCCAAGATGATGATGATGATGGCCAATATTTATGTTTATGAGTGTGTAGGATGAATTGAATTGAATTGAATTGAATTGAACACTTTTACTTTATTCAATTCATGCATTTAGCACATAGATCTTGTGTGTGTGTGTGTGAGAGAGAGTGAATGAAAAGGAAGAAAATATTTCGAGCATCATTAATTGAAAAGAATTTAAATGTCAAATCGAGTCTCGATTTCAATCATTTCAAAGCAAAGTGAATTCGGGTTTTTTCTTTCTTTGCTTGCTTTGTTTTCTATGGAGCAATAACAACAGCAAAAAAAACGCGTCATCTCATCACATATCATCTGTGCGTGTGTTGAAAAATTTCATATAACAATCATCACGTAAATCAACGATCATCATTTGTTTATCATGAGCAAAAAATTTTCGTTTTCAATACAAAAATAGTTGTTGGACATAAAACTATTTTTGTACATTGATTTATGCATTTATGTATTTGTTGTGTGTATTTTTTAAACATGACGTCGTAACATCATCACGACAGATTATATTATAATATCCAATCCAATAAATAAATCAAATTGTTAATAACCATGATGAGAATATGTTATGAAGCAATGAAATATTCAAACAAATGACTTATATCTTTGTCTTGAATTTCACCATTTTCATCCCATTCATTAATGCTAAATTGAATTGAATTGAATTAAATGATTAGAAACGGAAAACTATATTGTCGGTCAGATTGTCGTTTTCAGTTGTGTCACTGAAACTAAAAAGTGAAAATTTATTCAAGTGAAAATATTTTTCTTTGAACAAGAAAAAAAATGAAAGAAAACACAAAGACAGCATCTGTTGGCTTGTTTTTCTGTGACCAACCGCAGTTAGATATATTATACCTTGCTCGATATAAAACTGTTTCGCTTTCGTTTATTCAATGGTAAATTGTTGTTTGTTTGTTTCTTTTTTTTTCACCATCAACATCATCCATTTTCATCATCAGAAATCTTGAGAAAGTGAAAAAAATTGGTAAAAGTTTACTATTCATGACATTTTTTTTCTCGTACAAACATACACACACACAAACAAAAGAGATGAAAATGAATAAATTTTCTTTTTTTAGAGTGCAAATGAAAATCAAATTTTTCAATAAAAAAAACATGAAAAAATGATGACTGAACCAAATAATGGTTCCAAAATAATTCTTTTTCTTTTTTTTGCATAGATTGCGTGATTATTGTAGGAGTAAATACGTTACTACTAAACATCATCACACAACAAATAGACATTCATAAATGTTTAGCAGCAATATCAAACAAATCTTCAATTATGAATCTCATCATCATCATCATCATATATTCAAAAGCCTTTGCCTGTTTTGCTCATCTGGTTTGTCTTCTTCCACTACCGAATTATAATCGACCTGAAGATGCCGAAAAATAAATGTGAAAAATTTAAAAAAAAATTCAACAAAATCCAAGTAGCAGTTAAAGTGTGTGTGTGTGTGTGTGTGTGTGGGTCTTGGTGTGGCTGTTTACGTAACAAAAGAAGAAACTTATTTTTATTTTCATTTTTATTTTTTTTTTTTTGATAAATAAATGATTGCCTTGAATGAAAATGATGTGTAAAATTTTTAGTTTTTTTCGGCCATCATTTATTCATCAAGATTGGTGGAAAGATCTCGTGCCATCATGAATAACATTCTGGAAAGATTCAATTCAATTCATTATGTTTACCATCTAGCCTTTTTTTCGTCGTTTCGTGAGATAAGATTAGACCAAATCGTCGTATTCATAATAATGGTTCTTCGTAATATTCAAAAATCAAAAAAAAAAAAAAAAAAAATAATCTGACAATGGCCTCTCAATGATCACTTTGAATATGAATGAGAAAAAAAATCTGGAAACAAAAAAATGACTAAAAAAGCAACCTTTTTTTCTATCAAGAAGAAAAAAAAGATTATCTACGTCTTCTATATGCATGATGTCTGGCAATCATTCGAAACTCATGTCCGACAAAAACTGAGAAAAATTCAAGATGTTTGACATATATGATGAATGAAAATCAAAAGTCAATATTCAACACATAATAACAACAAAAAATTGAAATCAATAAAGTTTTGCTATTTGCTATTTAAAATCAATTAGCTGCAATTATTAAATGACAAATGTGTGTGGTGAAAATATTATTGAATGCAACATTGTAAATCATGGATGTGATAAAAACAAAATCTGATTTTAGTTGATTGATTTCATCTATCGATTTGTTTAGAAATTTTCAATTCGATTGAAACAATTGTTTTTTTTTCTGTTGTTCGTGAGAAAAAAATGACTATACATAGTAAAGCTATTTTTTCATGATGATGACTGGAAATTCTCAGATTGCATAAACCGGTAAAAAATGGACGTTAAGGTGCGACACTTGTCTCTATTGTGTTGATTACTTATGGAGACAATCAAATGATGATGATGTGTGCTAAAATTAGACAATCGAAGATGATAATAGCCAAAGATAGATTAGATAAATAAGAACTGCAACTGGTGTACAAAAATATATGAAAAATAAGAAAACGAAAAGAATCATTTTCGCCTGAATTGATCATCATCATCATCAGAGGTTTTTTCACATCACTTTCATTCAGTAATGTTTTTTTCGATTATTAACGGAGAAAAAATGAAATAAAAATTGGGATTAAATAGATTTTGTATTTTCTCTCTTTCAACTTTCACCCTACACACACACAGAGAGAGAGAGAGAGAGAAACTAAAATTGAAAAGGTGTTAAATAAAAATTATAATCAAGATGCAAATTTGACACATAAACAATGAGAAAAACAAACAAAATATGCCAAACAAAATAATGTGGATATATAGAATTTTTTTTCGTTTGGCAATTATGCTCCACAAACACATTAATTAGTTTTTTCAACTTGCAAATACTGTTTATTGTGCCGAATTAGATAGATTGATTGGCGATAATAATATGATCGATTGGGAATGGAAACAAAATGGGCGAATCAAAGGAAAAAAATTCATCAATCAAAATTGAAAAATCAAAGATTAGCCATACAAACGAACACACATCAATACTATAATCAAGGTGTCAAAAAAAACATCAACAAAAATCAATTGATTAGTTTCTGATAGAAAATAAATGTTCGTTCATCATAATCATCATCGTCTATGTATATGAATGGTGAAAAAACTTTTTTGGCAAATAAAAAATTTCTTAAATGAATTTCATTCAAAAATGACCTAACCAAAATCAAACAGATTGCGTGTGTATTATTTTCGAATTGTCATTATCGATTCAAACGATTTTAATGATGATGATGATGATTGTTATTTTCATAAAGTTCATAACAACACTTGCACACTATGAGTGAAAATTCAATTATTTCGCCACACACACATGGGTGATGATGGAAATATATTTGCTTCCGATTCGTTAAGAAATGGAAAAAAAACGAGAAAAAGTGGATCCATGAAATCAACAAATCTAAGGGGCTTGTAAAATCAACGACGAATAAAAATCAGACACATGGAATGATATAAACTTATAGAATGTATTGAATGAAGATGATCATCATCCATCAAATATCAAATCAATCAATCAAGCCAATTATTATGAAATGAAGTGAATGTCATTTGTCAAATTGTTATTTATAAAAAAAAACAAAATTTTTCTTAGAAATAAACAAACAAACAAACAAATTGAAGGAAAAAATGATTGATTTTTTCTAAAAGAAAAAAAAATTAAAAATAAAATTAGCCACATCTGTATGA